GACGGCGTCCACCCGCGCGATCTGATGCCGAGTCGAGAGGTGCCGCCACAAGAGCTGTTCGCTACTCGTCCGCTCGGGACAGTGGAGACAGACAAAGCCAGGCGCCGTTCGGAGCAGCGGGTCCTCGGGCGACTCGTCCGAGCGTGGCTGCAGGTGCGCGATGTCGGTCAAGGTCCGGGACGCGAGTTCGTCGAGGCCGGTCTGGCCATCACGGTCGAGGAGGTGAGTCTGACGGAGGTGCCGTCGAACGGCGGCCGGTTGAGCTGGGAGCGCGTGGCGACACGTTTGACAGACGAGCGCGGCTTCGGGGGTGACGACGAGACCGAGGTCCTTGAGCCGTGCCGGAGACATGGTGATTCTGGGTGTTCGATCGTTCATAAGATTCTCACGGTGAAGTCGTCGCCAGGGATGACGATGCCGCTTCCTATGTCATTGTGACGGGGAATCACTACGACTACTGGTTTACCACGATTCTCCGTGTGAACGAGGCGACGCGTTAACGCGATCCAGGATCATAGATTCACGCTACACACCGAAAGCTCGCGCTACGCGGGTGGAGACCGACCCGTCGACGCTACACACCGTTTTTGGACAATGACGCTGACGGAGGGCGACGCTACGGGCCGCCATGGTTTAGTAGTAGGTCTCGACCCATCTCGTTCGGCGAAGCCAGATTGATAGAGTGTCGGAGCTCTGAGACTCGCGCGCGAGAGTGGAAGCGGGCGGTAGACATTGCCGGAGATAAGTCTGTTCACTCTCTCGAAGTTGCTCAATATAATCACCCCGGCGAGGAGAAGTATCGACCGAATCGTAAACCTCGGGACGTTGTTGATCGAGAGGAGAATAGCTAGAGTGAACGATCTAATAGCCTTGAGGAGGACTAAGAGTCCAGCTCTGAAGGGAGACGGGTCGAATATAATCTCGAGTCCATTGGCCGGAGTTACGAAGATCGAGGTGTCGCGCGGTAATATGATCGCCGACGAGCTTATAGTTAAGACTGCGATATAGACATTTCGAACAGCTATAGCCTAGTCGAATCGTTAAGTGAGGAAATGGCGGGAGATCGTCCTTAGGTAGAGAGAGATCTCGAGGATCTGAAAGCCCTAGCGAACGAAGAAAGGTGGTTAACCCTTGATGTCGAGCCGCAGGGAGTTGGCGCTTCTCTTTTAGATGCTTATTGACACTATTCGCCTGTGTCGAGAGAACATAACCACAGACGCGACAGATCAAGAGAGATCGAGAACGACGATCGGCGAGAACACACTCGACGATCTCGAGATGAAGAGATTGAAGACGGGTCTGTCTTTCGACCGCGGAGAGATCTGACCATTTCATCTTCACGAGAAATTTAGTGCTATCGATTTACTGCTAATAAGCTTCATAAATTCTGTACTTAAGATACTCGCACGCGTCGATGGCTAGAAATACTCACGACGCGTCCTATCGATATCGGTAATCGTTCCTCTATCGTGCCTACGACCAATGAAACGCATTCATGTATTCGTGGTCGGGTGGAGACCACTACACCGCCAGGCGATTGGCGGAGGTACGAAACGGAATGCGTTTCGCACCGACCTAGCGGGGACGGGGGACGGAAACACATTCCGTTCCGCACTCTCCTAATATGTGTAGGCGTCTTTAACATCTATACTTAGGTCGCCGTAATACTAGGTACATCGGGTGTAGGTGTCCGTAGCTTTACATCTAGACGAGCAATCACACTTTCCGGGTCGTAAGGAACGAGCCCGGCCCCTCTAAATCCTCCCTAGACGTTTTAAACCGTTATCGTCTACTAAAAAGCGGCTAAAAACGCGGGAAAGAAGTCCTCCTTCGAAATATAGATGGTACCGGCCCGGACTCTCTTCTTAATTTAATCACCGTACGCCCGTTTTAACGGGCTAAAACACCTAACGTCGAGAGGCTAGAGGATATAAGATAAATGAGGCGGTATATAGAGGGTAATAATATCGTGCTCCTTATAATAGAGCTTAAAATCGGTCGAGTAGTAGCTTTCGTGCCCGTCGAGCACTAAGAGACGATATTTACCCATCGTTCGCGGTTTTGTGTACTAATTAAAGTACCGGATCTATTCTAGACCTCTCTCGTTCGTGGTCTAGCCGTTAGGAGACGTAGCGATAACCTAGTTAGGTGGGAGAGAGCTGTTTTAGTACTAGATGGAGAGATAGTATTTATCCGAAATAATAATAAACGGCGGAACCGTCCAGCCTAGCGCGTTGACGCCCTAAATCACTATTACTTATTCTCGATTGCTAGGCTGGACTAACTTCGCGCCCGAGCGCCTTTCGGCACTCGTCACGACTATACCTATCGAGATTGTACCTATTAGAAACCCGGTCTTATTAAAATTATAGATATCCGCGTCTACCACGTCATATTTTACGACTATATTCTTTACGAGCGCGAACCACGCGCGAATCACGTCGGGATCTTCACATTGGGCCCTCTAATAGTCATACCGACGAAAGAAACGCGTCCGGAGCTCTAGTCGTCGCTTAACAAAGTTGAACGCCCATCGCTTTCCGACGGGCGGCGCGTCGCGCTCCGCCAGTAGTCGGTTAGCCATATCTTCCACACCACCGAGTCGGAGAGGGTGCGATCGCGTATCGAGGTCGAGAGTATACTGAATAATCGTGTCCTCTTCGAGGGAGGTCAGGTTTCGTGAGTTGGATATGCTATCGTATCGAGATTGGGTACCCTTGAGTCGCGTACCCAGGGTAGAACGAGGGACCGAGTAGAGTTTAGCTGCCTCTCGAATACTTAGTTTTGGGTTTTTCTTGATAGCTTGTTGGGCAAGGATCAACTGACATTCATTTGAAGACATATTTAGCTTTGGTGGTAGAGTAATATCTATTTAAAGTTGATGGTCGTGATTTTGAGGGAAAGTGGCCAGCTCGCTTATCTGGCCAGCTCGCTTATCATCCACGTTAGTCGTGGGTTCTCCCACCGTTCATAGCTTTTCTTCCGTAGTCAACTTCGTTCACAAACTAGGTGATACATTTCATCAATAGTTTTCGTTCTGAATACATGACACCCTTGCTCTAGCATACGCATCGAAACATCTTCTTCCGCTTATCAGTACCTTCACTCGAACACGTGACTCCTTGAGGAACGATTCGTGACACTTAGTCTATTAACCTCTATTCTCGTTAACTATTATTATAGTAGATCTTAGAGTTACTACTATTATAGTAGACCTAACTAATCCTATTAGCGATCTAACGCGAGAGCTAGCTATATAACTTCTTCTTCGATTAGACGGTAGTTAAAGTGTTACGAATTATTCCTTTGAGAAGTTACGTATTTAATTAGGGTTACTAATATATAAAAGAAGATATTTTGATATATATACTAGAGTAAGAGTATCTATATTTAGAACGAAAACTATTAATAAACGTATTATCTAGTTTATAAATAAAGTTAACTACGAAAGAAAAGCTATAAGCGGTAGAAAAACCTACGACTATATAGATATAGGAAACTCGTAGTACTCTATTCTACTCTATTACTCTCCCTAGAGTACCTAGAGTTATAGATTAATCTAGATCTATCCTACTCTATTACTCTCTCTAGAGCGCCTAGAGCTATAGATCACCCTTAGATTACGTGATCTCTATTATTATATATTCTTCGGTAGTCCTACCCCCTTCAGTTTCTCGGGCTGTAGGCGGGTAATATACGCTGCTGCCTCCGCATGAATCCTGACACTTGTCTCGTCTTCCAGAGCATCTATAACATCAGCCTAATCCTAGTCTTTAGTCTGTCTCTTAGATATTCCTCTCTTAGCTCTATCTATCTCTAGTATCTTAGAAGGACATGTTATACTATTTCTAGTTCTCTGTATATCAGACAGAGTGGGCTGTCAATGTTAGGGACCTTTATTTTGTGGAGGAAGGCTCGAAAGCCTATCTGTCCCGTTCTTAGTTGCACCGTGATTGCTGACTGATATTTATTCATCCTAGTGGGTTGATGTCCGGCCTTAGACTCCTCTGCCTCTAAGGATTACCGCCCCTCGAGAAAGTGAGTAGTAATATCTACAAGTAACTAACTGATACTTTAGTTTATTTTATTCAGTTATTCTAGAGGCCAACTACCGTGAATATCATCAGCCAAGTTGGCGCGGCTTAAAACAGCCTTTCCAGCCTTGATTCCTTCACGTATGACCTCAGCTTCATCCATAGTGGTCAGCTGGCCGTTCTCTACCGTGACTTTACCGTTTACCACTACCAGTTTGACATCCCTGGCATTTGTGGCATGGACCACAGTACTGACGGGATCGTAGGTGGGGACCTGATGTAGATTTTCGACCTTAATGCCGATGAAGTCGGCTTGTTTTCCAATCTCTAGAGACCCGATTTTGTCGACAAGACCGACCGCCTCGGCGCCTTTGATGGTTGCCATTTCGATCATGGTCTCGGCTGGAAGGAGTTTGGGGTTGAGATGTAAACCCTTTTGCAGTTTTGCCGCAAGAGACATCTCTTGGAACAGGTCCAGCGTGTTACTAGAAAGTTTATCACACTCCTTCAGCCCAGGTTCTTTTTGTCTGGCTCTTGTATTGTATTGCATTGCCAAAAAGGAGGAAGGAGGGAGGTGAAGAAAAGAAAAAAACAGTTCCGACGAGTTCCAGGACTGATTGCTTACCTGCAAGGAGCACCATCACAACCAATTCCGACATTGACATTGTTGTCAAGAAGCTTGGGGACCGGACAGAACCCCGACCCAAGTTTCATGTTACTAGACGGACAATGGGCAATGTGTGTACGCGTGGTGGCCAGACGGTGAATATCGTCATCTTCCAGCCAAACCATGTGAATCAAGACGGTTCTGTCGCCGAGGAGACCAATTTCCTCGCAATATTGCATGGGGCCCTTTTTGAAATCCTGGTCAAAGACGTCTCGGTCGGCCTTTTCTTCCAGGCAATGCATGGTGATGCGAATGCCTTTCTCTCTGGCAATGCTGGACATTTCGGTCAATAATTCGGTGGTAACACCGCCGGGGGTCCTCGCGCCAAACCAAACCTGCACTCTCCCATCGCTAGAACCGTGCCATTTGTCGTGCATTTGGACAGCGTTGGCCAAACTTTGGCGGTCCTCGACCAGACCGTGGTGCATGCGGTTCCTGAACTCGGGTTGGTCGGCTCGTCGATCCATGACCACTTTGCCCAGGCAGCCCCGGATGCCGCTTTCGTCGACCGCCTTAACCAGCCCGTCGAAGCCGTACCGCTCGGCCCACAGCGACTCGATGAAACAAGTGGTGCCGCCCTTGAGCATCTCGGCCATGGACAGGCGGGCCGCCGCGTAGGCCTCGGGCGGCGTGATATTGCCCTGTGCCACCCAAATGCGGTCACACATCCAAGAGATCAGGTCGCGGTCTTCGGCAATGCCGCGCAGGATGGATTGCACGCAGTGCATGTGCGTCGAAACCATGCCCGGCATCACGATGTGGTTGGAAAGGTCGTACTGGGCTTCCTCGGGATACTTGGTCGTCAACTCGGTCGTTTTGCCCACGTCGACAATCTTGTCGTCGTGTACGAGGAGTGCGCCATCGCTGATGACCCGGCGGGTCTGGTCGACCGTGATTATCGTCGCATGGGTGTAGAGCATCTTTAGAAAGAAAGAAGGAGGATATGTGTAAATAATAACCAATACAAACCCTGCCCTGGTTTCGCAAAGCCAAAACACACGTCAACAGGGTAATCTTAGAAGTCGTGAGTGGAATGATGATGATAGGCAAGAATAGTGCAGATAGATTATTAGAATTGAGAAAGATAGAGCAGCATCAGCGCCCTTTGGGAGAAAAGTGAGTGATTGGACCGACCGACCGACGGCCCTTTTCTTTTCCAACCGTGTTTCCAGCAAAGGTGCTTCTATTATTACAGGACAACGTGGCACCACGTGGCAATAATAATAAGGTGACGTGACGACTTTGTCGGTTTGAGATTGATACGTATATTGCAGAGTTGATGAGCCTTAGATAAGTTTCAAGTTAGCCGCTAAATTGTGTAATAGGCCCTCCTATCAGGCTGGCGGGCGGGGTGTGTGGGTGTAGGAGGCATAATCTCGGCATGAGAGTCGTGCAAACCGAGCATGCTTTGCTACGAGATGTCCGGGGCACCGGCAACGAGAATGAAAAGCCGATAGTCCACTATGACAGATAGTTATCTAGTATGGATAAGTCTAGTTATCTGACTCGCTAAGTGGGTTATCTCGGTAAGCCTGCTCGGCCTGATACGGTAGAATAACGGGATACTACTAGGTTAAGGTTTAAAATCTCCCCCAACTAAGAGTTTCTTTGATAAGGCTCTCCACACCAGCCTCGACAAGGGCCAGATAAACAGACAGACCGGCTGGCACATGGCATGGGCCCCATACATTTGTTTTATAAAAAGTATTATGGGCCCTTAAACGTTTTATATTTCCCTATGCTGCTCACACAGAAAACCATATCAACATCATGACCATCATGGAGTCTGTTTCATCATCAGAGAACCACGACATTGTCGTCAACGGCGGCGACCAGAACCGAGACTATTACTCGAAACCGGAGCTCGTCACAGCCGTCGGAACAACTCCCGCAACACCGGACGACGAAATGGTCGAGTCAGGTACCACTACAATGCATATGTACTCGGAGCTCAGCAGTCGGGATCAAATGCAATATGGCAAGACCAAGCGCGGCCTGTCTTCTCGACATATGCAACTTATCACCATCGGCTCGTCTATCGGGACGGGTATGTTCCTGGGTATTGGCAGCGCCCTGGCCCGGTCGGGTCCCCTGAGCGTCTTTCTGGGATTCACATTCTTCTCGGCCTTTGTCCTCTTTCCTCTGATGATGTGTGCCGCCGAGCTGTGTTCGTGGCTCCCCATCAGAGGCAGCATCTTTCAATTCGCCGATCGGTACGTCGATCCTGCCTTAGGATTTGCGAGCGGTTACGTCTACTGGTACGGGGCTCTTATGTTGGTCTGTTCCGACTTTACTGGTACTGTTTCCGTCATTCAGTTTTGGGACGACAAGGTAAGTTATCTCTCTCTCTCTCCCCGTCTTGTGTTTTTGTCTATTCGTCTTTTCTTCTTCTAGTATTGTCATGATTTAACTATTTGACTTGGCAGACCAATCCAGGATACTATGTGTTACTCACATTGGGAATTTCAATCCTATTGAACTTAGTGGCAGTTCGCTGGTATGGGGAGATTGAATTCGTCACGGCCAGTTTCAAAATCCTACTTATGCTCGGCCTGATCTGCGCCACCTTTATTACCATGCTGGGCGGAAATCCCAACCATGACCGATATGGCTTCCGCTACTGGAAAACTCCTATGAAAGAATACCTCGAGCAAGGCGCCCTAGGTCGGTTTCTGGGCTTTTGGCGTGTTCTTATATATGCTGGTTTCGCGTGTGGTGGTCCTGACGTGTAAGCTATCCCTCATGCTGGATTTGAAACCCACATGTCTCTCTCTCCCTCTGAATCCTTTGGCAATGGTTTTGGATATTGACTTTTCCCTCCCAGTATCATGATGTGCTCTGGCGAAGTGCAAAACCCGCGCAAGGTGATTCCAGCAGCGACACGCAAGATCTATTTTCGGTTAGGTCTTTTTTATATTGTCGGCACGCTCGCGCTGGGGGTCATCTGCGACGCATCGAGCCAGGAGCTGGTCGACGCGCTGACCTCAGGGAGTTCGGGTGCAGCGGTATCGCCGTGGGTGATCGGGCTGCGGTCGCACGGGGTGAACGGTCTAGCAAACTTTGTGAACGCGATCGTGCTGACATCGGCGTGGTCGTGTGGCAACGCATACGTGTATTCCGCGACGCGGACACTGTACGCCATGTCGATCAACAACAAGGCCCCGAAAATCTTCCGCAAATGCTCCAAGGCCGGCGTGCCCGTATACGCGCTGGGCGTGGTGGGGCTGATCTCATGCATCACCTTTCTCAACTCCAGCAACTCGACGTCGACCGTGTTGAACTGGTTCATCAACCTGTCGACCGTCTCCTTTTTGATCACCTACATGATCATCCTGTACACCTACATCTGCTTCCGGCGGGCCATGATCGCCCAAACGGGTGACCTGTCGGTACTGCCGTTTCGCACACCCTTCCATCTCCAACCATACGCGGCTTGGTTCGCCATCTGCTTTTGCTTTATTATTATGCTGTTCAACGGCTTCTATGTCTTTTGGCCCGGAGCCTTCAACGCCGCCGACTTCATCTCGTCGTATTTCGGCATCGCCTTCTTCATCGTCACTTACGCCTTCTGGAAGATCTTCAAGAGACCCAGCTTCGTCAAGCCCGCCGCCGCCGATATCTATAGCGGCAAACAGGAGATCGATGACGAAGAGGCCGAGTTTATCGCCGAGCAGGAAAAAAGACCAAAGAAATTCTGGGATCCCGTGGTAGACTTTATTTTCTAGTAGTAGATAGTATGCTATAGGAGACTATACTTCTTACTGATAGGGAGGATTTACGCCCTATAGTATATTTTACTTAATACCTATCTATACCTCTGCTAATACTTATTAGTCCTAATATCTAATCCTATATTAAGCTAGAAAGTGTACTAGTAGAATAAGAAAGATTATACTTTCTCTGCAGAGTACTAGCTAAGGTGTCAGTATAGCGGCTGTGAGCCTTTAGTGGCCGCCAGCGCTCGCTCTAGGATCTCAATACCCTCGTCTATTTGCGCTCGTGTGGTTGTAATGGGCGGCGCGATCCTGAAAGAGCCACCAGAGACAGGATGGCTACTAAGGTTGGCCCACAGGCCCAGTTCGTATATCTTGTCGGCGAGCTTTTGCGCCAGCTCCGGTGAAGGGGCCTTGCTATCCCTGTCGGCAACAATCTCCATGCCCATCATGAGGCCGCGGCCGCGTACATCGCCAACGCAGCCGTAGCGAGACTGCAACTTCTTCAATCCCGCCTCAAGATGGAGACCCATGAGCCGTGAGTTTTCTACTAGGTTGTCGCGCTGCACAATTTCCAGCACCTTGTCGCCGACCGCGGCTGGCATGGGGTCGTTGACATGGGTGGTGATGAACATGAAGCCGCGCTCGGTGCAGACCCGGTCGATCTCAGGAGACGTCACCACCGCGCTGAGGGGGATGCCGTTGCCTAGGGTTTTACTTAGGGTCAGGATATCCGGGACCACGTTTTCGTGGTTAAAGGCGAAGAGATCGCCGGTCCGGCCGACTCCAGTCTGTGCCTCGTCGATGATCAGCAGCATCCCTCTCTTCTCGCAGTGCTTCTTCAAAGCGGTCAGATAGCCCGGTGGTAACACGTGCATGCCGCCGGTTGACTGGATGATCTCGACGATACACGCAGCGAGAGAGCCACACGAAGCGCGGTCGACCATCTCCCAGCCGTAGTTCAACTCCGTTTCCCAGTCATAGCTGCCGTCCGGGTGGCGGAAAATCGACCGATAGGCATTGGGGGCAGGTAGCTGATGAGACCCGGGCACCAGAGGACCCTGACCTCGGCGGCCATAGAAATACTGCGATGACAGTGCCTGCGCGGTCATGCCGTGCCACGATGCCCCCAGCCCGACGATTTCAAACTTTCCGGTATAGATCTTGGCCATCTTAATCGCCGCCTCGTTGGACTCTCCACCAGTCGAGAGGAAGACCGTCTTGGACAGGGGTTTGGGGAGCACGGAGGCGAGGCGTTTAGCGAGGTTGATCACTGGGGGCGATACCATGGCACTGAAGAGGTGGTCGAGGTTGCTGGCGTAGTCGTGAATCACCGACACAATCTCGGGATGTCCATGGCCAATCAGGCAAGACATCTGTCCTGAGGTCCAGTCCAGGATCCGGTGGCCGGTCGAGTTGTAGACATAGAGGTCTTTAGCGCCCGTAATGATATCAGTGTGAAGAGGGATGCCGTAGTTGGCCAGATACTCTCTGGCAGACTGTTGCAGGTCCTGCTCATCAACATCGTGGTAGAGGGACGGGACGTATGCTTGGGATTTGTTGGTATTGGTCGACTCTGAGCCAGAGACGACGATGTCCTGTGCATGTGGCGCCATAGTGTTGGGTTAGAGGTTGGAGGTTAGGGTTCTGTTGTTCTCTTAGAGGATAGAGGATAGATATAGAGATCCAACAGTAGTAGATGCTCATGAAAGAACCGCAGGCTGACCAGCATCCAGCAACGAGGAGACACGGCTCATATAGTGAATACTGGAGTGACCCACCGACGGCGAAGCTGGACAATGATTGGTCCCGCCGTTGCAAGGTTGCGCCATGATTGGAGGCTGTTGAGTCGGTTCGAGCGGGCTGGTGATTGGCCTGAGTGAAAGCCTTATCGCAGCCGGCGGCCACAGCCTGGCTCCCAGTCAGCTAACATGTTCATGTTGTAATGTTCTGACCTGACGAATCGACAACCCCTAACTTGCCCTCACCAACATGAAGAGCGCCCGCCCATACCGGTCGCATCGATACCCTGCATGTACTCGCTGTCACCAGCGTCGCTCTCGATGTTTAGTCGAGGTCCCCGGACAAGCTTGCTCGCGCTGCCACCGACACGGCGTCCCCTGTTCATTGGCCAACACCAAGAAAGATGACAGCCATGGCCATGAATCCCAGTCACCCAAGATCGGCTTCATTCACCGGTCACTCCTAGCCGACGCCCGGTCTCTAGAGAGTAATGCTCGTGTCGTCGGGCCGGTGATGGCGCGCGACACCCAGATTCTAGAACAATATCTCCACCTCCCGCCCGCCAGCACCAACGGTCGGTCGATCCAACGAGAAACCCAGCAGCAGCAACCCATCTACCAGGTACCTATCCCACCGCGGATGCCGAGTCCCACGGGGTGCCAGTGCTCGAGAAATCTTCCGCAGGAGCTACTAGCCCAGGTTGACCCTTTCCTCGACAAGCTGATGTCGAATTACTTCGAGCACATCGAACCCTGCTTTCCCCTCACCGACGAACACTACATCATGACCCGGATCCAGAATCGCAGCACCCTGCCCCAGACGTTCTTAGTCATTCTCGTCTCTCACGCGCTGTTCTACTGGGACTTGTCCCCGACACTGACCGCATATGTCCGTCCTGATCAGGACCTTGCCTGGCAGACCTCGGTGGCGTTGAACGCGGCCAGCCTACAAAAAGGCGACATAGCCACCATCAGCACCATTTGTATCGGTACTTCTGGACGACCATATCAACGTCTCGTTCACAACGTCGCCAATGTGGCCCGCACCGTGGCTCTGGCATATACCATCGGACTGAATCATGACTGTAGCGAGTGGAAGATCCGAGACTTGGAAAAAAGACTACGTTGGAAGTTGTGGTGGGGGCTACTGATCCAAGATCGGTGGCTGAATTTCGCTCAAGGCACACCTCCCTATGTCTCCAAGGATCATTACAACGTACCTATTCCCACGGTCGAGCTCCTACTCACCCCGAGCCGAGCCGACTCTCTAAGAGATGTCCGGGCCGCCGAAGTGTATATTCAACTATGTCGGCTTACAGAACTCATCGGCGACGTGTTGCCGTTGATCTACTCTTTCCGTGCCAAAGACAGCACCGAGCAGATATCCCAGTTAGAGATTGCCCTAGACCAGTGGATGGAGGGCCAACCTTCCTGGCTCGACCTGGGGGACTTCTACGAGCGACCATCGGTGCCGGGCCTGGTGAATCTACAACTTTCATATCTCTCGGTAAGAATGCTCCTCCGACGGATGGCGTGGCATGAAATTAGCCAGCACGATAGCCACTGTGAGAGCCAGCGTGACAGCAATCCGCCCTCGTCGTGGCTATTGGCTTGCCAGGTGGCGGCGGGCAACATCGTCGGCTTCGTCACGTCGTTAAGGAAACACGACCTAATAGCATTTTGGCTTCCCTATAACGCCCACCACTTTACCTCGGCGGTAACACTACTACTCCGCTGCGCGCTCCAGACGAGTGACACCAACGTACGGAGGCAGTGTATGACAAGTGCACGCGCTCTGGTCGACTGCCTTCACAAGTACCAGGAGGAGGACAAGTGGGATCTAGCCGAGACCTGCCTATCTCAGAGCGAGTGTGTGCTGAAGAGGATCGAGGACTCGCTCCCGTGCACGCTAAATGACACCCCTCCTACCATGCCCAGCCACTCCGTCGCCGTCGACACCCAAAGCCATTTCAAAGGCGGAGCTGTGGATGAGGCCATGCCGGAGGATGTGTCTACTATGCAGCAAGTGCAGGACTCCAGCCTCGAAGAGCTCTTCCCGGAAATCTTTGGTGACTGGCCCAGCGACAACTTCTTTATGGGGCAGGGTGATTTCAGCTTTGGCGATTAGCAATGTCGTTGAAGAGTATGAGTATGAGCATGACCGGGAATAGGAGTGGAAGCATGCCGCCCCAAGTCCGGAAAAGTATTGCACAATCAACAGTTCAATTGCGCTGCCAACTCGACATTTTATAGTACATGACCTGGTCCAGCCAGGTCCCCTATTTCCCAGCTACCTGGCATGCTGTGAGCTCCCATACCACATTTCGCAAGTCATACAGAGTGTAACCTTCGTCAATCGAAACCAGTTACGATAGCCAATACATCTGGAAAATATGGATTGAGCGACAGCTCTAATCAGGGGCGTGGCGCTTTGGAATCGCTTCCTCCCGGATACTGCGCGACAACAAACTTGTATGTCTTTCCGGCCTGGGACCCGGTAGAACTTGAACTCTTAGCAGTTGGGGAACTCGAAGACTTGCCCTCGCCTCCCGTGGGTGTGGTGATGAAAGCTTTGCCGCCCCCCAAATGTGGCGAAAGATTTGCAAGTTGTACGCCGAGAGTAGCAAGCCTGGCGTCTATTTCACAAGGCCATACTAGCGGCATTATGTAGCGACCAAGATAGGTCGGCAAAGCATGTGTGATTTCTGGCCCAAGAGGCCCCATTTGTCTCTCCAGGCACTGTCGGAGTAGTTGCAGGAAGAATTGTCTCGACTGCTCCGCAACTCCGCTGAAGAGGGCAACGACGCAAATCCAAGCCAAGCAGGGTAGGCTATCGGATCGGATCCATGGCTCCAAACCCGGGCGTAAAGCATTTTCCAGGCAAGCCAAAAGTCCTTGTGCTATTCGATCGTGATCTTTCCACCGGGTGACGCCTCGAATGCGGAGCAGCGCCATGCAGATTGAGATGCACTCCGAAGAAGATATTGTGTCATGGTGGCGAGCCAGGACGATGCCGAGTTGAACGTCGATATATCGAAAGAGGGCAATCAGATACTGAAACTCGCTGTGGGAGGCAGGTCGCAACGCGCTCCCTTGGCGATACAAGATGAGAAGACGAAATGGTTTGACACTAGAAAGTACATCGGGACTGCAACACCGCCAGTAAGCCGCATCAATGGTTCCGACGTCGTAGATCCGCATCGACGCGGGGATAGCGGGTAGCTCCATGGATCGAAAGCGAGGCGCGCTCAAGTTTAAGTAGGCCACTTGGAGATCGGTCCAGAGCAAGTTCTGGATGACCGAGTCCGGCAGGGTCTGGCGGAGAAATTCGAAGCCGCCGTTTTCGCGGACCAGCTGTTCGAGCCCATCCATCAACCTGCGACGTTGGTCGTAGTCGTCCTTGCCAAAGATGTTGACGCACATGAGATGAGTTGAGGCGGCAAAGAGGATGCTTTGGAGAGTGGACAGTCCCGACTGACTGTTAATGTAGTCCTGAAGGAGAGAAATCAGGTGGCTTTGGACCTTGAGGCAGTAGTTCTTCATCTTCGGGCTTGGGTTCCACCCCTGTTCGATGAGTGACCAAAAGGCCAGGGTGGCAGACAGGGTCAAGCGGTCGGCCGAGGCGACCAAAAGCCACTGAGACGTGGTGGGATCGATTGCGGTCTGCGAGGAGTGGTTGATGCCCACGTTGTGTGAGATGTCCCGGGTCATATACGTATGTAGCGCCTCGTGGGTCTGGATCCCACTGTCGTTCAGGATAGGAAAGTCGTCCGGAAAGCCCAACGATGAGGCCCCAAGCTCGGCAATTCGTACAGGATGCAATGGGTTGAAGGCATAGGACGCAACAAAGGGAGAGTTCATCAAGGTGGTGAGGTCTGCCGCATTGGGGGCTGTCGTTGCTGCTGCTGCTAGGGCCAGCCTAGGGTGCGGACCGCGGAAGTCCTGACCGATTTGGTGCTGGAGAGAGCCAGCCTGATATCTGCATTGTGGGCATCGAAGGGAAGACATGAGGGTCTGGTGGACATGGCGGTTATCGTTATGGCCCGGACGTTCATGATAGGGAATCCGGGAAAGTGTGCTTGGCTCCGCTGGTGTCGGTGTCAGTGTCGGCCTCGAAGTGTAGAATGGCTGAGAAGGGGACGTCATTTGGAGCGGTATGGATTATAGATCATAGAGTCTATGCGATGTGAACATCGTGTTCGCCTTGGCTGAACCGATTTGATCAGATATCTCTGATAAATCAAGTTGATGAGCCTTCTTTCCCTTGTACGACAGCTAGCTCACTGTTCACCGGACACCGCTCACCATTCGGCACCACCAGCGGTCTTGTTTGATCCCCGTCGCATGTAAGACGCAAGAGACTTTCAAGTTGAAGTTGTAGCTGCCGGCTGCCCAGCTGCTCAGGCTCGGCTGCTCAGTGTGTGCTCGCTAATCGCGATGACAGGGATGCTGCAGTGGGAGTAGCTCGATTCAAGTTTCAGGGGTGTCAATTCTGGTTCCTGGCGAGCTGGGAGAGGAATAGTGCGTTGCATGTGACGATGAAGTCATGCCAAGAGCCTATCACGTGAGCAATGCTCGGTGGACCGGAAGAAGATTTTACCGACCGCCGAGATGGTTTGCAGTTTAACTACAAGGTCAACCCACGTAGTCAAAGTCGACTCAAAACACATCTGGCAATTAGATCAACAGGAAATGTCTTCCGTAGTGATTTTCAGCTGGTGGTGACACAAGCATGTCTATGACTCTGGCTCTGAATCGTCCCGCCGCCGTTCTATATCAATGCCCTGGGATATTCCTGGAGTTCTGGTCGCCCCTTCTTAGGGGAAAGCCTGGCCTGAGCCTTCATTGCAGACTTCATCACCAACCTGGGAGCCTGTCTCTGGGTCCAACTCTCGAATTGCAGGTAAGACTGCTCTCTCAGGACGTCACTGAGTGTATATACCTTCCAGTGTGCGGGGTACCTTGCTGTGCTCGCCCAGTCTCGCGAGTGAGGTGTCTGCCCTAGCTCGAGCTCGAGCTCGAGTTCGATGCACACGGGATCCAATTGGGAAGGTACATGTTCGCTCAACTCTTCGTCTTGCAGATCGTGTCCACCACACTTGAAGACAATCAGGCCCTCGTCCATGGCCAAAGACTCCATTACATCCTTAAGCTCTGTCGGTCTCGAGGAACGACCATGGAAGTCGACCGCCATCGCCTGCGCTTTGTCTTCATCCGCGCTGATAACAATTATATTCCGGACCCCTAGACGTTGAGCGGCATAACACGCTGCCCTAGATCGTTGACCGACTCCGACGACGAGAACTGTTGTCTTGCTAGCACAGGCCATCTTGCACTTTCCAATACAAGCCTTGATCGCGGTCCATGTCGTGTTGTCGCCACAAAGTAACCGCTCGCCTGACGTATCTGTGACCGAGATTGTGTCGACAAGTCCAATTGTTCGAGCAGCAGGCGAAAGCTCCAACTCTGGCATGTTCTGGCCTACTTGGAGTTCCCACCCAGATGAACAGGCGCCACCAAAGTCGGGTCGCGCCGCAACGGTTTGCCAATTATGATTTGCTTCATAGATGCTGTAGGGCAAGCCCAAATCCTCGAACGCCGCAAGGAACGGGATTGAAGAGTGAAATGGATCGATTCCAGCAAGAACAAACTTCCTCGTTGGGAGTTGGCCGAGGAGCCACAAGGCTTGATTGATTTGTGACAAGGTTAATTGTTCACTTTCAGGCGGTTGCGGGATCAACCTGTGTGCCACAAAGGCGATGGGGGCCAAGAACCGTGACAGTCGTCCATGAAGGCCCATGGCCACAGCGATGATGGGCTTTTCCATGCACCTCTGATAGTCCCGAAGGAAGAGGCCGTGCTCAAGATTGTCGTTGATGTCTACCGACTGAACACATAGCTTCAGCACATCTGCAATCGGACGATAGGTAGACGTTAACCAATTTCTTCCCACCAGAGAGCGGGTGAGCTACATACCACCAACTGCATCGAGTGCCACCAGTTTCTCCTGCAGTACCGCGCTCGTCCATCTCACGTTCGTCGAGAGCTCGTGGTAGGAAGCGACAATCCGCGAAGAAGTCACCAGAGCACGGATTTCGTCAATCACGAAGGCCGGCCAGTTAATTTCCACGTCGATGTACGCACAGCCCAGCTCAACAGCGAGCTTCATCAGCGCCAGTGCTTCGTGCGCCGCGTCATCCGGGAATCTACCTCCTTGTGAAACGGTGCGCACCGTGAAGAGAATGGGGAGCTGGGTCGACCGTTGAAGGATCTGCAGCTGGTTCCTGATAAACTGAATCGGTTGCACGGCCGTCTTCCCAAGTAAAGGACACTCTAGCAAATCTGCTCGGAATTCCCAGACGTCGCCTCCGTAGCCAATGCGTTCTAGGTCATCCTGATGAACCACAGAAAGGTCAGGGAATTTGAGCGTGATGATGTAAGTGTGCAGCCCCTTGCGGTACCTTTGAGAAATAACATCGTACTGGTCTGCGCCGTCGATCGACATCCTGACCACCAGATCAACGTGAACGTGAAACGGGCAGCAGCATCTTTCGCATATACTACTACCCAAAGCTGCCGAGAAACCGACGGCTCGACTGCCACAAGAGGACCGGGGGCGGTTCTCCTGATTTGGATGTGCCGCCTTGAGCTCTGGAAAGCGGATTCACGAGTCTGGAGCAAATCTAATCTATATTCGGCGTCTAATGTTTAAGCTTCGTTGCCCGAGGTCGGATACCCAGTCCCGTCAAAAACGGATCTTGCTGGCCTATGAGAAATTCCGTCCTTGATTGCAGATTGTTTAGCACGGTTTCCTCGTGGGGCAGTGGAGGCTAATAAGTGATTCCGAACATTAGGACTGGATGGCGTCATTCTCAACTCCGGATACAGATACGTATTTCCATCTTGTCCCTAATCCGCATGTCTCTTAAATATGCGCGAATTGGTTGGTCCATACTATCCTGGCGTTCTGGAGATGCGAGTGGCCTGCAGGGAGCGACCCAGATCTGGAAAGGCAATGAATCGTGGTTAGAATGGAACAGGAACCTTTCGCGAGGGGTAAAAAAGGTGGCCGTGCGCCTTTGTCCCCGAGGTCGGGCCTGCCCACAGCCTCGTGGAGGGGAATTTTAGTGAACGTCGGTCTGGCGAAGCAACTGTCGTCCATTGCCAATATCTCAGCATCGCCAGGAAATAATACCAATGAGCGAATCCCAAAGCATACGCCACCCCGAGCAGAGTGGTCATCCCGTCAACACCATTGAAATAAAGACTACCGCGAAAAGTACTTGGACGGTCGTCATGGTGTAGACCTGAGGCGCACTCCCAGTGCCAGTGCCGGTTCCTGTCTGGGCGCTGCCACTGATGCTCACATTGCCCCCGAGATATGGCTGAAACGATGGAGAGAATGTGCTGGCCTCTTGACTCGTTTGGTTCTGGAGAGGGTTGTTGCGTAGAGCACAGAGTGGGCGAGTCTGAGTTGCAGAGAGTTGGGTCTTGTTTGGAATGGAATTGGTGACCTCAATGGGAAGATTGAAGATGGTGTAGTATCCGGTCCCGTTAACACGAAATGACTGGTGGATCGAGACCTAGATTCATGGTCAGCCTTTGACTTGCGGATGTCGAGAGGTATGGCAACTGTCGCACGTTATATGCGCCCCTGGCCGAAGAATTTGCACTGCTCGCTTGGCCATCCCCCACCAAACAGTCAGGCCACGCCCAATTGACATGTTTCACAGTACTGCCGCTCTCTTGCGCCATGATCTCCTCGCAGCCTGCATTTTGGAACTTCTGGGTAGTGGTTGCGTTGCAGTGGAACTCAGGAGCTTCAGTTGTATCATTGAGCCAGCCATAGCGGGTACCGTTCGATATGGTCAGATTGAGGCCAGTCGAGTAGCTGAAGAGAAACATGGTCATGTTGAAGATGCCAGTCTCGACGTCCGAGGCATAGGGAGGCTGAGGGATTCGACCATCACCTGATATGTCAACGGCTACCTGGAGGAAGTCTAGATGCCAGGAATTAGTCCCCTCTACGCCAGATGTGTTGGTCGCACCAGGGACGCGGCGCGCAGATATCATGAGTACAAACTTACCACCTCCTTCGGGTGTGTGCGGCTGCGGCGCATCGATAATGGCCAAGCCCGGTGTGTAGACCTGGCCATTTACAACGGTGAAGTTCGCCGTAGCTTGCACGCAGGAGACAAGTATCAGGCAGAGAAGGAGCCCGAGAGCTTTACAAGGCCAGGGCGTCGCCGTCGGAGCCATCGCCGAGCAGGAAGGCGGCAGACCGACCGTGTATCACAGTTCGTGCAGCTGAAGGATCTGCAGTAGAATTGTACCCTCAACAGGTGCTGAACGGCCTCCCATAGTTCGCTGCAAGAGGAAGAAATTGCGAGATTGAGAGGGATCGTAATATGGAGTAGTGGGATTGACTAGAAATTAGCCGAGATCAGGCTCAAACCCTGGTGAAACTTGTTTCGATACGATAACGCAGCCACGAGCGGAGGAACTACACATGCCATGTCATCGACAGTCGTGGGGTATTCAGGAATCGACTGGAGGCTCTTTCCGCCACTTAGACGGAGGAGAGTCGGGTTGATTCTGAACGCTGTCAGGTTTTGGTGGGGCATGGCCCTGGGGCAGGTGGTTTATAGCGTAATCTGGGATCCCAACAAGCTTCCCACTTTCAGACGAGATCCCTTATGCCGAACACAAGGCTAATGCAAGATTTAGGCACTGTTGCGGCAATATCCTGGAGAGGTTAGGGTTAGAAGGCCACGTGTTTATTGTGAACTACCCGCGAACACCCACTGAATGTTATGTACATGGCGTGGGGGAGGGGCAGATGATCCCGGGGGCAATAATTGTACACGATACAACGACGACTTTAAGAAATGGTTCCTGCTCGCCACGTTGTTTGGCGATCGCTCCTCATTTGGGGGTGCCCGCTTCCTGTTTGGCCTAGATTGGGATTGAGTTCTGTTATGCTGAGTGGCAAGAACGGACTTAGGAGCCTCAGTCCGTCAATATATAGTAGATCGAGAGGGCATGGTCGGTCTTATCACGGAGCAATGCCATGAGAGACGACCGCTACGAAGCAAACATAGGTGCCAAATCTAATGTCACCATTAGAGGAGAACGATAATCAAACAACTATTTATTTATTTAGTCTCGTTTAACGTCCTTCGGGTCACATTTAAGGTCCCACGTAGACGCAATCAAACAACTACCTATTTTAGAAGGGGGGGATTAGGCAGCCTCGAAATAAGCCATTCAGACGTCTGTACCAGCTCTCTCTCACGGCAGAACCATATTTGGCCTTGTAGGTCCTCAGCCGGTTGGAGGACCTTCAACACCGTCTCTTGGCAGCCGCTTCAAATTGACAATTAAAGTTTTCTTCGAGACCAAAGGAGAGACGTGAAACAGTTCTTGAAGATGCAAGACTTCTCTTCCGTAAAGAATATCAACTTGAGCGACTACAAACACTTCAAATGCCACCACTATCAGTATATCTCAGCTTTTGAACATGGATTCTATCGGTCATCTCGTAGATGGGGCCGAAAAGTTCCGTCGCATCGGACAAGGCTTCTGTGGGTCAGTATGGGCAGCCGAGGGGGTGAGATAGCCATGAAGAGAGAGGATGGCGGGCCAGGGCGATCCGTCCTCATCGACTACTCCATGCACAAACTCGTTATCGAGAAAGCGTCACAGGGGACCGCCAAGGAAAGGGACAAGATTCAGGTGTGCGTCCCACGATGGCCCATGTTCGTCAAAATCGACGATCCATGGTGGCACGCAAACCTGGCCCGATTCCCCCATGGCTACGCCGCCTGCAATATGATCTGCTCGGAGCGCATCCCGCCCTTACCACAGGAGGTGAGAGACCGTCTAATCGATCTATATTGTCCGGCCGCCTCAATTGCGACCATCAAAAGCAACGATGCGGACCGAGACTGCCTGGTCCGACTCTATCTCGGCCGACGTAAGATCCAAAACACGGCCCGGAGAGGCCGCAACTTCTTCTCCCTACGAAACTACCCCTTGCATCTCAATCAGGCGGAAGAGCTCGACCTACAGATCTTCGAGTATGCCCGTGCTATGGCAGAGATGCTGGCCATGATGCACTGGACTGCCAAAATAGATGCCAATGATGTCGAGTTTGTTCTTGGGGGTACGCAGAAGACAGGCATAGGGGAGCACACTCATGAATTCTTCGGTCGCCACTGCCTCTGGGTCTTGGATTTTGACTGTTGCAAGCCTCTGACCATGGACGCTGCCGGTGTCGAGCAAGCTGCTCGCGCCTTCCTGAGAAACGATCCATATTTTCCGCGTCCTGCAATCGAAGGATCTTTAGACCACGCTCTCTGGTTCGAGTTCCGAAGCCGATACCTAGACTGCAGTCAACACCGAGTCGCGACTTCCAACACACACGACCTCGGGCTGCCAGAGCTTTTCATCACCCAAGTTGAGGAGTTGCACCACCAGATCGTGAACAGAAGACCCTCAGCGCCGAGCTCCTGATGGACGACCCCGGGACGACACCGTCCAACACCTATCCACCAGTCCTGTTGATCCATGCGCCGTCCCTTTTACAATTTCATCAAGCCATTGCCTCCTTATTTGCAATATACGTCCCCTTCCGAAGCAGGTTGGGGCGAGCCGAGCACTCTTCCCAAGCTAGCACATCGACAGCGTCAAGAAACGTCCCAAATCTCATACTCTGCACGCACGCCTTCGCTCGACCCCCTGGCAATGCAAAATCTCCGCTTGGAGGAGCAGCTCATCGCCAATGAAACAAATGAACAGACTTTGAAACAACTCCTATCCACCCGGTCGGTCATCTCTACCACCTCCTCATTTGCAGAACGCCAACAAGTGGCGGCAGGAGAGCAGAACGTCTTCGGTGAAATAGGCACTGGCTCAATCGGCATGTTCCTAGAGCATACTGGATTTATTTGCGTCTACATTCTCTCTGCTGGACCAAAGCGATAAACTATGGAACAACTACCTCATGGGAAGGCGGATTCAATATCAGTTCTCACGCAACGGCGCCGTTTCTGGAGATGTGGCGATTCCACAATGTCTGTGGTTTGCAACTGCACACTCGCAGTTCTGGTCAAAATACAAAATGGAAATTCCGGCGTCGCGGAAACCTGGAGATGTTATCTGTATGGAGCGTATTTTCCCTCTGCCGCAAATCATACGCAACAAAATCATAGATGTTTTTTGTCAGCTCGACCCTCCTGCTCGCGAGGAAGCCAAAAAACTCCCAAGCAACAGAGACTGTCTGGTCCGTCCGTATCTTGGTAGAGTCCGCATAGCAGGCAGCCAGAAGAGGCTCAGAGCATTTTCTCTTCGAAACTACAAGCTGCATCTCGACCAAATCCAGTATCTAGGTCTAGATGCTGAAGCATATGCCACTGCAATGGCGAAGGCAATGGCAACAATGCATTGGGACATCAGAATCGACGCGGCCGATATCGAGTTCGTACTTGGAAGCTCACCTGCAGAGGAAGACACGATAACCAGACCAAAAAGCTTGGAACAGCTGCAAAACTTGACGGCAAAAACAGATACGTACACCGAGGTTGTGGTGTCAAGTCCAAATTTCAAGCAACGCCTCGTCAGTCTTTGGCTCGTGGACTTTGATGCATGCAATGACATCAGCATGGATGAAACAGGTGTTCAACAAGCAGTCAGAGCCTTTGTGGAGAATGAGCCATACTGTCCACGGCCGAACGGTGGAACATCATACAGTGATCAGTTGTGGAGAGCATTTAGTACCCAATACCTTGCTACAAGTATGGCAATTCTGGGTGAGAAGCATGATGCCGCCGGCTTGCCACGCATGTTCCTAACCGGTGTCACCAATGCTCTATCTGCTCAACATTCGCAAGTCAGTCGTGGCCAAGGACGAGGTAGGGCACAATCAGAGGGAGTTTCCAGATCACAGGGTCGGGGAAGGGGAGATCATAATATAAGGGGGCACTTTCGTGAAAGATCAGAGTTTGGGAGTGGGCAGTCTTTTAGCAGAATAACACTCCGAGGAGGGCGCAGCTGGCGAGGCTAATAAGGCTGGGGGCCATTTCAAGATGACGGGTTATCAGCTAAAGAATCCTGATATGGGCAGACTAGGAAGTAGACCAGATGAATAGAGATATTCTAAGAAACTAATCCGTCTTAAACTTGAGATTTTCGCAAGGTTAGCGTCGAGTTTGATACAAGACCTATTTGAGCGAGGTCCCACAGGCTAAGCAGGAGCCAGCTTTTGGTTGAATCTGATATTGTGAGGAAACATTCGAGAAGAATCCCCCTTGATAACCCGGCACTGTGCATGGATATGCCTGTGAAGTCCATCGATCGCGCCACACACGCCTCGTATAGAAATCAAGCGTCTTCCTCCTTGTAAGCAGCTTGAACTTGAATCTCGATCAAGCACTTTGGTGGGAACAATGCTGCAACACAAATTGCCGCCCACGCTGGCTTGTTGTTCCCTTTGCTGAACCACTTTCTAGCACTTGCTGCAATCTCCAGTTGCTCTTCTTGCGATACGACGCCCACATGAAACGATGTCATGTTGTAGACGCCCGCCCACAGCTCTTCGGGACTGAGATGTGGAGATGCAACAGCCAGAGCCCGCTCGACGTTGTACATTGCAACGTCAAATTGCTGTGCATGGCCACCTTCGAATTGCGATCCATCTGCGCCATCGGGCGTAAAAGGCGAGTAGTCGGCGGATTCACCTATCTGACCGCCCACGGCCACAATACGTGCACCTTTGACCTTGAAAGAAGATGAGCTGCTGCAGTGGAAGACATCTCCGAGGATATCAGCCCCGGGGTAAAAGTGGCTCTTGACGAATGCCATGGCGAATGCTGGTGAGGAGGGATGAAGCAGTTTTGCAGAAGTGTCTCAGAGACTTGTCTATCAATCCTACTTGGTGACGCTGTCGCCTTTAAGGACTCTCTTGAGAGGGAGGACAGCGGTGAAAATCGTTCGACCCCTTTTTGGTTTAGGTACGCTCCTTACTCGCTATCTAGGTCAGTTGGTACTTATCTCACAACTCTTTGGTATCGCTGGTGGGGTACCAGGCTCGACGCGCAGGGGCCCAAAAAGGAGGCTAACCTGGTTGTGGGCAATATCTGAGCCCCAGTTATCGCTTATCGAGGACCCTCTGACATACCCGGGCGCAATCTGGATTACAGCTTCGAGACCAGCAATGAACGAGGCTCCCATGCTCTGTTGGCTTTATCTCTTAGGGCCAAGAGAGCGGAACGACTGGGAATGTGGTTGCGGCGACCAATCCTCTCCCGTTTCAGGAACATATATACTCTAGACACACCCAGCCCCGATCAGGGGCATGTTGCTCGAGACAGAAACTTCCACAGAATCGAGTTCTGTTGATCCTTTATCCCGTGACACGACCATTTGTGGCATCCGACAACACTCGCATAAACATGAGGGACGAGGTTCACTCGACGGTCAACGAGCCTGTCAGCCCAAGCATCGACGCGACCAGCTTGTCTGCAGACGAGAGACAGTTGAGAGCTCAAGGCCACACCGGTGAACTTCCTCGTCAATTCGGAACCCTTGCGACAATCTCGCTAGCCTTTACCATCACCAATTCATGGATCGGAATCTCGGCCGTTTTTGCAACTCCTTTGTTCGCTGGGGGTGGGCCAACCGTCTTCTGGGGCCAGCTGGTGGCTGCAGTTGCCTGTAGCTTCATCAATGCTGGATTGGCCGAGCTTGCTTCAGCCTATCCGTCCAGCGGAGGGCAGTACCAGTCAGTGCTATCCAAGTCACCTTTCTTGTCAAATTGACGTTTCCACTGACAGTTTGTTTACAGCTTTGCCTTCATGGTGGCGCCACCCAAATACCGAGCTGTCGTTGCCTTCGTCACCGGTTGGCTGAGTGTAGTGTCTTGGTGGATGACGGCTGCGTCGGCCTGCATCTATTGTGCTCAAGTCTGTGTCAACTTGGGATCCTTCTTCCATCCAGACTACGTCTGGACTCAGTGGCAGGTCTACCTGGTCTATCTGTTGTTGACCTGTCTCGCTGTGGCCATCTTCGTTCTTCTCCCGGCCTTCATGCCCAAGACCGAAATTGTCTTCTTCTTTGCCAGTGTCCTGGGCTTCCTCGTCTTCTTCATCACCGTCTTGGCGACTTCTGACACCAAACAATCTGGCCGCACGGTCTTCACAGAATGGAACAACCAGACTGGATGGAACGACGGCATTGCCTTCTTCCTGGGCGTTGGAAGCTGCATGTACATCTTTCTCGGTATGTCTTAGGGTCCTGAACTCCTTTTCCGCACACCGTAACTAATGACCCGTGAACAGCCACCGACTCGGCCACTCACATTGCCGAGGAGATGCCAAATCCTTCGAGGAATGTTCCCCGTGCCATCGCCATGACCATGATCATCGGGACTGTTACCAGCGTGTTGTGGACGATAGCCTTTCTGTTCTCAACCAACGATCTGGAAGCGGTCTCCGAGTCCTACCTCCCCATCTTGACGGTCTTCTACCAAGCTCTTGACAACAAAGGGGGGGCCGCATTCCTGGCGGTATGGCTTATGATCGTATACTACGGTGCCTCAATCTCCTGCTTCCTGACCGCCGGACGACTCACCTGGGCATTTGCACGCGACAATGGTCTCCCCTTCTCCGGCTTCTTCTCCAAAGTTCATCCGACACTTAAAGTACCGGTCAATGCTTCCCTTCTCACCATGGTCTTCTGCGCGGCATATGGAGCCATCTACATCGGATCCACCACAGCATTCAACAGCTTCATCTCGCTCTCGATCCTCGGCTTAAACATCACCTACGCCATCCCTCAAGGTATCGCTCTTTACCGGGGAAGAGACAAAATTCTGCCGGCCCGTCAGTTCAACCTGGGTCCGATTCTGGGCCCCTTCTGCAACGCCTTCTCCGTCCTCTGGACTCTCTTCTACACTGTCTTGTTCTGCTTCCCCGTGTTCTTGCCTGCGACCGTGGGGAACATGAACTACGTCAGTGTCGTTCTCGTGGGAGTAGCGGCTTTGACATTGTGTGTTTGGTGGGGCGGGAAACGGAAAACCTTTACCGGACCCTCAATTCAAATTGATGGGCTTGAGACACTGGATGAGCTCAACAAGGCTACCGCCCGGGCTGGCGATGAAGAAGGAGTGGCAAGCTCGAAGGATACGGAGATTGCTCATTGATGTCCAGTACCATTAAACTCTGCTCAGATATCATTCTTTTGTAAAGGCTGCCATTGTTTAGGCAAGATGTTTTGGGCAGGAATGTATTGTTAAGGACCTTTCTACTTTGTACTCAATGCCTAGGTTTGGACCAGAATTGTGAACCAAAAGACATTGGATACGTTGTTCATATGTTCAACACGCTCTACGGTACATGGTTGACTCGGCTCCGGACACAAAATCACTTCTGTAAAAATATATTGCCTGATGGTTTCCAACTAAAAAAGATCGCGTTGCGTCGTGTCTTCCGCCCTGATCAAATCATAGGGGTTGCGAAAGTCGGACCAACCGCAGAAAGGAGCGCTGGCCTTCCAACCGAGAAGATCCTGCACATCATGATCGTATTTTGCCACCTGTTCCTTGGACACGGCAAGGAATTGATTCTCCTCAGCACGACAGACGCCCTTACAGAACAAGGTTACGATGACACTGCGGAACTCGTCGGTCGTGGTGTTGCTTCCTGCAGCGTGGTAACAGTTGCCCATGATGAACACGCAGTCGCCTGCATCCATCTCTGCATAGGTGCATTCCTCTATCTTGGGCTTGCGCTCGTCGTCCCAAACATGAGAGCCGGGGACAACTTCGGTGGCGCCGTTGGCTCGGGTTGTCTTGGATGTGGCGACGATGCAGCCCAGCTTGGTGGTCTCGCGCGGGTCCCCGTGCGTGTGTGTGGCGTGGTGGTCTTGATCGTCGCGGTGAAGGCCTTGCCTGGCACTTCCCGGCCCAACACGGACGGTGAAAAAGCTCGAGAGGAGCGGTGGGCTGGTGCAGGAGTTGCGCGCGTCTCCCCACCAGGATTGGGTGGTTACCGTAAGCACGTCGTTGACGGCGGCTTTGACCGTGGGGTGTTGGAGGATGTGTCGCACTGCAGCTGGCGATTTGCCTGCAAGACCACACACAGTCTTCGTCTGTTTGGCGAAGACGTCCAGACCCGAGTTGAAATCGGCGTCGAAATATGGCTTGATCTCGGCGTTGATCTCGTCAATTTCGGCTGGCGAGAGCAGTCCCTTGATGCGTACTGCGCCATCTCGATACAGTGCTTCAAGCACCTTCTCCATGGGCGTACCATTGGCGAAAGATTCGATGGGGGAAACTGCTGTGAGACCCATGGTGTATGGTATAGAGGTAGATAGTAGATGCAAGTGCAATAGGGAACACGCCTGCGATGGTGTTCAGTCCTTTCTCGGGCATTGATATCTATCTGTATGTCCTCCATGTCAGCCTCGATACCGGGCGGGCGCAGCTTGCGGGTGGTCGTTCCATTAGATTGTCTCTGGTCGTCTTCATCCACCAATAAAACGGCCTATGTTAAAGTCAGCGGTCCAGAAACTCAAGCACTCAGCTCCATGTATAACCTGATATGGCAGACCTTTAAGACGCTTATCGCAGCACCGGAAATGGGATGGTTGCAGCTCGGACTCTTTTCACAGCGGCCTATTCCGAGGTGCGGCGCAGATATTGCCCAAACTAGGACAAGGCTGGTTTCATAGATAAGGAAGAAACACACACATGGCAGGCCGGGTCTCGACTCAATCTGCTGTTGAGGAGTACACGATTGATACACAGGCCGGCGTCTGATAATGCGCAGTCTATCTACTCCAAAGAAAGACCCATGTGAGCTTTCAGGCTAGCCTCATCAACGGCATATCTTTGACCACCCGGGGGCTGTCTAAAAAAATGGTCAAAGTTCTTACGCTCCCGGGAGGAGAGAAGAAAATCACTGAGCGATCACAATCATGTTGTCCAGTACGAAAACAGAAACACAAACACCCGATGAGTCGAAGAAAACGGTCTTCGACTACATCATCTGCGGAGGCGGAACGGCCGGTTGTGTCATCGCTGCGAGATTGGCAGCAGAAACAAGTGCGACTGTGCTGCTGATCGAGGCTGGTAGGGATGCCAGCGAGTCGCCGGATGCGCTCGTACCTGGAAAGTTCGTGCACCAGCTGTTCGGCGGAGATAGTGATGGGATCTGGGCGATGCCCAGTGTGCCGCAGAAGCAACTGAATGACCGACAGATTGTGTTTCTCCGAGGAAAGCAACTTGGCGGTACGTCGGCAGTCAACTATATGGCCCTCGCGCGAGGTCCAGCCGCCGATTACGACGAATGGGCTCACCGAACTGGGGACGAAGCGTGGAAATGGAGCAATATCCTGCCGTTGATGAAGGAGCTGGAAGACTTCAAACCACAGCCGCCCCCGGGATTCGGCCAGTATGCAGACCCGGACCCAGCCAACCACGGTGTCGGAGGACCGCTCAAGATCGGTTTCGGAGATGTCATGACTCCTGGGGTCGAGCGGTTTTTCCAGGCTTGCCACGAGACGGGCATTGGGTTCTGTCCCGACAACAACTCGGGAAACCCGGTCGGGGTGGGCCTTGCACAGTTCAACAACGGCGGAGGCATCAGATCGTATGCTGCGAACCGCTTCCTCAACACGGAGAAACAGCAACAACTGCCCAATCTCCAGATCATCACCCGTACTTTGGTCAACAAGATCATCTTCAGTGACGACACGACGCCCCGGGCGGTTGGTGTGGAAATCATCGATCAATCCAGTGGGAGAGCTTGTCGCATGTACTGCCGGCAAGAAGTCATCATGTGCCAGGGGACATTCGGATCCCCCCAAACATTGATGCTGTCAGGGATTGGACCGCGAGAACATCTCGAAAGTTTCGGCATCGACTGTGTGGTAGATAAGCCTCAGGTGGGTGCGAACATGCTTGATCACAGCATCCTCACCCTCGAGTACTTGGTCGACGACGACAACATGGCTCATAACCAGATCTTTGAAAATCCGGAGCTGCTGGCTGAAGCCGACGCGATGTATGCGAAAGACAAGACAGGCCCGCATAATGTCTTTGGAACCAGCGGGACAGTGGCTTTCCCCAAGCTCGAGGGATTGTTTGAGAGCTCAGAGTTCCAAGATCTCGACAAAGTGACTCAAGCATACATGTTGGAACCCACTCGACCTAATGCGGAGATATGGCTAGGATCGGGCCCAGTGGCTTTCCAAGGAGAATCTCAGAGTGTCTATATGCATCACGAACTGCTGCTCCAAAACAACCTCTCCCGTGGCACGGTTCGTCTGAAGTCGGCAGATGCAAAAGACCTCCCAGAGATCGACCCTCATTTCTTTGAGCACCCATACGACCAGCGGATCGCCATTGAGACCGTCAAGCAGGCCATGAAGATCGGACAGGCCGACGCTTACAAGTCGTATGTTCGTGAAGTGGTGCATGGGCCGAGCAGAGATGATGACGAGACCGTGCGCGAATTCATCCGCCACCACCTGGGTCAAGGCTATCATAGCATGGGCACCTGCAGAATGGGATCCCGCGATGACACTGAGGCCGTTGTAGACCAAGACTTTAGGGTCATTGGCGTACAGGACCTTCGGGTGGCCGATCTTTCGGTTTGTCCGGTTCTGACCTGCAACCACACTCAGATCAACGCCTATCTCATCGGTGAGATGGCCGGTCGAAGGCTAGTGCAATCGTTTCACGCCAGCGGAAGTAGGTTGTGACTGTTTAGACTACGGGCAAAGATAGGGCGGACTTGGACAATATTTTGAATTGATAGTCATACAAAGAGCATGGTCCCAAATGTGCCAGCCGGGAGAAAATCTGTATAATCTGGAACAACGCCACTGCTCCAGACCTGTTCCAGAATCTTCATGGACGTCTCCACGTTGCGAAACCCTCCACTTTGTTGCATGACCACCGATCGGTCTCGCAACCACTGCTGCCGATGCTCGTCCCGCACTTCCAGCCCCGCGTGGAAGAGAGGCCATAAGAGATGATCAGTCCATCCAGTCGAAGGGGTGGTGAGCTTAGAATGGTAGAAGACGCTTTGTATGAGCCACGAGAGCTCGTCCTCATCGGCCTCGACACGAAAGATGCGAATGATATAGAGAGCAATGGCGTGGCGGAAGGCTTCAGTGAGATGAAGCCAGCCTTCCCCTCTTTCGATATGCATAGGTAAGCTTAATATTCGTCTCTTGTAGTCATGTGCCTTGGCCATAGCCTCCCGTGTGGGATGCAAGGGGTCGGATTGGGTTTTGAAAAGTGCAATGACCTCTGAGACAATTCCAAATTGATCGGGGGGACATGGGAACACGTCGTGGCTCCATTGCCGCGTCGGCCCAGTAAAGGAAGCCACATCTTCCGAGGTGAACAAGGCCTTCCGTCGGTTGTTAGCCGCACACATGATATCGAGCCATGCAATGTACTGTTCCACAAACGTATCTTGCGTCCGGTTCGCACCGCGTAGATCGATGAGCCTCTTTGCGGCTCCGAAATGGGCGTCAAAGTTTGACGCGTCACCGAGACACATGTCGGTCAGAGTAAGCATCAGAATGGTCGTGATATTCCCATCGTCGCTCGCACAATGATCCGACCATAGCTGCTCCTGCAGCCGGCGCATAGCCTTGCCTCGAAATTTCCAACAATCCACCTTGCAAGTTTCATTCGACAGTCGTACGCTCCGGTGGCTTGCAGCCAGGGCAGCACAGGCATATAAAAGAGGCGGCTTCTCCACCGCCAGCTGAAGTATGAATTGCGAATAAGGATTGCGAATTGTGGTGTTGTCAACGCATAGCTTCGGTGCCACTTCAAGGAGATGATAGTTTAGGATGTACTTGAGCTCCATGGGGATGTTGTAAGGATCCAGAGGGCTGCTCAGCACCAGCAGAGAGCCATCGCTTGGCGGCTCAATAGATTGGTCGAGAAGCTCGTCGAATTCATCAGCTTTGAGGGCTGGCTCAAGGCTGAGGTCGAAATCCATGAGAGCAGCCTGTTCAAACCGGCTTGGGCTCCAATCCGTGGTCGTGGGGGAGCTAGACGGGGATGAGGCAGCTGGCAAAACTGACCTTGACGTGTCCGATGGTTGTCTTTCGGCGGGAGATTGTTGGGTCGACCGTTTTGAAGGCATCCGTTGGCTTGTCTTTGTGGTTGATGGCTCTTTTAAGGACGACATTCCTGCCAGCTTGCCACGACTGGCCATGCCAGCCCAGCGTAGCGCGTAGCCTTCACAGTCCAGCTTTTTGTCTAGACATGATTTACACTTTGGTAATTCTCTGGTGCATTTGCGCCCTCGCCGGCGACAGGTCAAACAGGCAGCGCCATGGTATTTGGTGTTCATCTTGCTCCTCGTAGTCTCGTCAAGCGAAGTTGCAAGTATTGAGACGTTTTGGTTGGGTTGACCCAAAGCCAGAAGTTGTTATCAAGCGTTCTGGTGAGGGGAAGATAAGAGCAAGGGGATTGGCACGGTCACACGCTGGACGCCTGCGTGTCTGCTCCTGATAGCGGGTCGTCTCTGATCAATCAGATGGTGTTGATAAGTAAACTGTCTACTCCGTAAACGAACAGCTAGTCCACTAGTACCTACCGACACCGAATCTGTTCAGCTTGCGTTTGGTCGCATATTACTCCAGATCCCACGTTGTTGTTCCCGGTCGCGGCCCTTTCTGACCCTGCATGAGTGGTGCTTCAAGTTCCAATCGCAAATGGCCTTGCAGAAACCGTCCAAGAATCGTTTTGAGAAGAGCTTGAGAGCATGGATCAAGACAAAAACTTTGTTAGCCGCGCGATGGATGATTCTCTCTCAATGGTACCATTAGGGCTACACTGGAGATTGCCTAAAGAACATCACTCGGTATACACGCTGGGCATCACACTTTTCCCCGTATTTCCAGCTTGTGCCCGCATTTTCGAGCTGTGGCACCATTCGCTTCTTCCAATGCTGAGTACAAAGAGAGGATATACAGTAGCTTGGTGGCCACCAAGGCGTGGACATCAGCTTTGATGATTAATGATAACCAATCTGTGCTTTTGCACAAAGTTCATGCAAACAGCCGCAGGAAATGACTCTTTGAGTCTCCAACTTGGCTCGGGAGGTGTTGCACATCTACCTAAGTAGTTACGAGTTGTCAATGATATCTCAGCATCTCGCCTATTGGTTCTCACTATTATCCCATTCTTTCGTGAAGAGTGTTCAGGGCCCAAGCAGGATGCTTCCATGTTTATTCACATACGCTCGACGCTTCACTGGAACTGTGCAGAAGATTTTCCGCAGGGTTGCCGATATAATGTCATTGTGTACTTCTACCGCGGCCTCTTTAACGATACCACCATTATTGTGAATCTGCGTATTGTTCAACAGCATCATGGATTCTAATCAACAGTGTCGCGTTAGTCAAGCGCCATCGCAAGATGATAATCATGGAGAAGGTGCATAAGCTCAAGTTTGGGTTCGCAGCCAAGAGAGTCGTAGAGCAAGATGAGGGTATCACAACCTTTTTCGAAAATCTCCGTCCATTTAGACTTGTCACAATCAAATACCCATACCACGGCAAACTTGTCAGAAGAAAGCCAGACCTCCGACTCGACCTTTTCAATAGGTCTCAACTCCAACCTGCGCTGGTGGTTGAGACGTCCTACGCACAACCCGAGGAGGACATGAAGGCCAAGCTCAAGGAGTACATCGACTGCACCAACGGAGAGATCTTGACAGCTGTGGGCTGCAATCTCGACTATCCGGCTGCACAGGGGATTCGCGTCACCGTTCTTCGAGCCCAATTCAACGACGGCGGTATCTACACTGGTGCGAGCGAGGAAACTCTGGTATATTACTCCCGTTTCCCACCGTGACGAAGTGCTCTCTCTAATGCGATTGGAATTAGGAAATCCGTACTGCAGAAGGCTCCGTGGGCCCGGTCTCTGAAGCACTGAACCTATCCCTCTACGACCTCGGTCTCCCTTTCCCCAAAACTAACACCGATCTCCTACAAGAACCTCGTCTCCTCGTCTCTACGAACGAACTCTGTCACTGGGTAGATCGAGCGGTCGAGCGCGAGGAAGCTGCGGATGCTGCAGCGGCTGCATCGTTGACTCTAGGCAATAAGTGAAAGCACGACAACGGCTGGGCCTCCGGGACTTTGCGACTGGTACGGTTATGCGGCAAAGCATGGTGAAGAAACAGCGGCGATGTGGTGAGGGTTACCCACCAGCTATTATGAGATGATGAATTGGCTCCCACGCGGCACATATGCATATCTCGTGCGTGATGAAGCACTCACATAAATCATAGGCAGACATTGAGCTCAATCAATGTATTAACCACTGCTTCGATATCGTGTTATATTCCTCGTGGTTCTTATTCTCCGCCGTTCTCTTTCTCATATTCTGGTCGTGATGTGACGTATTTGGCCCTGGAGAGGTTTTCTTTCCGCCAATCAAAGGTGCTAGATTGCGGCGTCTCACGGCGACTTTCTACAGTATAACCAACACCAGCCACTGCGCCTGCGCTCCTGCATCGTATAATCCATCCATCCGGCTGAGATAGTTTTCCCGTCATGACTATGGCCTTGCATGTATGGATCTTTCGGATATGGTGGCCGGAGCACCATGACAAAGAGCAGTAGCATTGTGCCTTGCTCCCGGGTCCTTTCCAGGCTTTGCAGCTGGCACCATTGTCATATTGCAACCACGGCCTACAGCCCTTTGTCTGGTGAAGCAACCACAACAATTTCTGAAGGCGATCCATGCCGACCATAGCTTGATGATGATCCAGCAGTACCAGAGACGCGGCGTGTAACGCCATCTTCCTCCTCGACGGCCGTGTCCTCCCTCACCTTGACTGTGGACTTTGCTCTCTTCTGGATATAGGCCAATGTCAGAGAGGCAAGGCAACCCACGAGACAAAACCCCATCGCCGTCCAGTTACCCTTGACAACGCCCGGCTGATCGACGGTCTTGAAGACAGCAAGTGGACTGAAGATCCCAAAGTCAGTTACCGAACGGACATGCCATACATGCATAGGCGAGGTGAAAAGCATCCCATACGGTGAGGGTTCACTTACACGGTGGCACCGAACACAGAACTCCAGAGATTGAGGCCTCCAGAAGCAAAGGCTCGAGTGGCTGGATCGCCGCCCCTGGAGAAGAAAAAGGCGTGGTCAGTCACAGTTACTGACCTCAGATGGTGATTCAGAGCTGGTACGAATCAAACTTACAGAATATCTTGTGTCCAAGCCCAGAACAGACTGTTTCTCAGTCAGCTACGCGGAAATTGGTCTAATATGGATATCGGAGACTTGCGTGCTAGATGCTTCGATGAAGCCGCTCATGTAGTATAAAAACCAGCGGAAGGACTTATTGTCTGGAAACACGGGTGTCGCCGCCAGAAGAATACAGACGATGGCTTGGCAAAATTGGGCGAACACCAGCATCGGCCATCGACGACCGTGTAGAACGGTATCGCCTAGGAGGAGAAGGGTGAGTGAGTCAATCTCCAATCACACAAGATGACACCAGAAGAATATTAGCTTACTTGCCCACGCGAAGGAAAGGTCCAACACCACGGTGATGGCATATATCGGAGTGATGTAGTTGTCTTTGAAGGGTTTAGCAATGTATCGGCTCTTAGGGTTCACGGGGAGAAACTTACTGATCTGGGGAACAGTAAAGGATCCTGGCTTTCTATAGTTCCAAGCCTTGAGCCAGTAAGCCATCGAACTGCTGACTTGATTTCCCATGCCATTTGCCCTATGACTTTGGTCAGCACTGAAATGTACCCTTCATGAAGCATATTGTAAGTATACGAGAAACCTACACGGAAATCATCCAGAGCAGCCAGATCTGGGGGGTGAGAATGAACCGTCGTAACTACAGAACATATCAGCATCAATGCACCAGCAACTCCTGCTCTCGCAAACCTGTTTCTTTGTAAATGCTCCTTGCTTGACGCGGCCCTCCCTGGGATTACGGTCACGAGCAAGCTCAATCTCCTGTACAATAATTTTAGCAGTGACTCGGTGGTTGGGGTTGGGAGAGGAGACACACTCTTTCCGAGAACACATGGTCCGGTTTCTGGCGAGCAGGCACATCCGGGAAGAAAAACAGTGGAGGAAGTGCGATTCCCAGAGATAGAATCCCATCGATGATGAAGACCTAGACCAATTGTTAGGTTGATCATGAGAACTTCTTCAACCGTCGGAACCACTCCCGAGTCTTACCCATTGCCACCCGGCTCTTCCGAATCTCCCATTGAGACCTCTGTATGCGGCGGCTGTCGTCTGTTAGGGCATGGCATGCACTGCAAGATGGAGGCCACTATCCGTACTTTGCAAGTAAGAGCTGAACATGGGACCGATGTGGACAGCACAATTGATGAGAGCGATTCGCTGGTGGAATGTTAGTTACGCCGTCTGGAGTACGACAGGCCGAGATTCTTCTATCCTACCCTCGACAGTTCCCCCTTCTGATACCAAGAACCAGCGACATACATGACTGCATCCACGTTAATTTCCCCTTCCAGAGTTTGCGTGGATCAGGGTCAGGCCATACGGGCGGAAAAGTGGCCACTGTGTGTCATTTAGGATCAGTATCCGCGGCTTCAACGAAGGATGGGATATCCGAACGTACCATTCAAACAGTGCAACCAGGGCTCGGAGTGCATACATCTGCGTCGGTGTCTTCATCGCCGACTGGCAAAAGGTGCTGTGGCTAGGTTAGAGCCGACATTGGGGAGGGTTGAGGGCCTGGTGTCCTTACACAATCGACCAGCCGATTTCAATGGCCCTGCAGCTCTGTTGTCAGCGGAACTGAACATCTAGTTCTAGAGAGTATTCGGGACTCACGGAATAAAGTAACGAGGATTCATTCTGGTCATCGACAGGTTGACAGGCCACATACAAATGATCTTTCGCCCAAAGGTCAGTTCAGTCCACCATGGAGCCCGTCATCTTCTGAAGAAGGCTTCTCTTACATTCACGATCGAAAAGGTCGTCTGGGCGTAATTCATCTCCTATTACCCGGTCAGCCGTCATGCTGAATCACCTCTACCTCCCAGCTTGCCGGGTACTACTGACATTTCCGTAGAGCTTGAGATCCTCCTTCATACCGGAGACAAATGCATTGGTGAGGTTGGATCTATCAACAACCTAGGTCAGGGGTCGGTCCTATGGATTCATCGTCTTCCATACACACAGACCTGTCGATATGCTTGATGATGGTTCCCAAGAAGCCAAAAAGAGTAATGGTAAGATCGAGCTGTTGAGTATGAGAAGCAATTCCCAGGTTGAGTTGGCACATTTGCTATTACCTTGAGAAGCAGGCGGCGCTCCTGAAATAAGCTCGTCGTTAGCAAAGTGATTCTCGCTGCCCTGCCTTGCGGCCGTCGGCTTACCTCTGGGCCTTTATCCCAGGCGTCCCAGATGTAACTCTTGTATGAGCGGCTCTTTGCAGAAACGTCAATGCCATCTTTTATGCCCGCTGGCTCTGGATGGGGAATGTCAAGCGGTTGCACATTTATCTCGGTGGTAACCTTGGTCATTTTGTCGGTCTCGTTTGCCAAATCATGTAAACGACGCGCCTTCGAATGAAGAGTAGACAGCTCAGGAAGGAAAAGGATAGGATTTTCCTTCCTGTACCGAAAAACACTATCACTATCAGATGTGGAACCTTGGTGACATGGCAAGAGAACCACAGTAATGAATGGTGCAATAACCCCCAAACTGGCAACATCAAAGGCTAGTACACGGTGAGGGACGAGCCACTTGAGAGTTAGTCTCTAGAATATCAATAAAAAGAGACCTGGCCTGTCCACTGGCGTTGTGCAGATGCTAGCTTGCAGTAATCTACTTTAGCATAAGACACCAGTTGAAGAAAGAGTCACACGGCCAAGTGTTGTAATTTCTATATGCTATCACGTTGGCACTGATCTCAAGCCGGGGTGTCACGAGTATATTCAGCTGCGGCAATTCGGTTATTTTATTGATTGATTCAAATGTACTGAATAAATAGACTGAAAACCCTGAGCCCACAGACTAGCAGCTGGCGTACGGAGGCCTCAGAGACTGCAGTCAAACACTCTTGACTTCTTGTTGGAAAGTGGCGGTGAGGTCTAGTACAATTCGAGATCATTGATATCATCCCATAGACTGACGAGAAGAGATCTTTCCCCGACCCACGGCTTACGAGAGTGCTAATTAAAATGATCTATCAACAGATGCAAAGATGAGGAGGATGACCAATTACCTGGACAGTATAGTTATTCACGAGGGCCACGTCTCCTCGCTGCCAGGGGACCAGAAATTGAATTGCTTCCTGGATCTCGATCAAACGATCGAGCCACTCGGAGGGAATTCTGCTGCCATCCCCAAAAGACGTCGGGAGTTTGTAACCTTTGCCGTTTTTGATGCGATAAGGCGGTTCAAGAGCACCATTCAGTTTGGCACTGCCGTAAGTTCCAGCAAGCCCGTTGAAGAAAGTCGGAACCCCGGTGGACTTGACTCGTCTTATGGCCGGGACGTGCTGCAGAACGTGAAGCGACCCGTTAGATTGCCATTCGCCGGTAGCTTGGAGGTATTTTTCTAGAACAGCTTCAACTTTCTGGTGTTGCACTTCCAAGCTGTCCCCATCTTCAATCTCGAATCCGTATGAGTCCTGGAAGAGAATGTCACAAAGGACGTCCGTACAGATTGTCGGAATGGGAATAACGAACCTTCCAGTTCCATCCTATTTCCTTCCAGTCTGGATCTTCTTTCGAAGGGTAGTACTGGCGACCGATGATACCTACAGCAATAATTATTGACGATCACTTGAAACTCTTGGATCAAAAACTGGGCGTCATACCCTTGAAGATGAGTTGGTCATGCAACTCAGGGAGCTCTTGCTTCACACGATCGTAGAGCTCTAGGGAGGACAGTAACGGGGTTTGCCCGCCTATCGTTCGACATCAGCACAGCACCTACCGAGTCATTGGTTGCAGCATCTCAATAGACTGACCTTGTTGGGGGACAAGCTCCGACCAAAAGAAGATCAGTTCGGGGAAATGAGCACTGCGTGCGTACTCGTTGTGAAAGTGGAATATCGCATTGGATGGCATCTCGCTGGCCGTTTTGATGTTGTCGACTACGGTGGTTCTCTTCCCAGAGAGCCCAACCTCCTTGTGAGGCCGCACGAAGTTGAAGGAATCGACAAATGACGACAGGTCCTTGGGGGTCTCAATTGGGAGACCGCGGAAGAGGATGACCCCATCTATGCGTAGGAGGGTAGATTAGTCTCTCTCATTGTATCGATACCTGCAAGTGCATGGTGTTTTGCCTTCACGGACGTACGTTGCGTAAGAAGGTCTCGGATTGTTCCTCGATCGGCCAGTTGCTTGATGTGAGCATTTACGTCACTCAGTGACGGCGATGTGTTGTCCTCGAGAGCCAACGCCAGGGGGAAAGCCTTGCCATGGACAGTACGTGATCCTGGAACATCGAACGCCTTGAATTGTACAGAGGCAGGGTCCAATTGACCAGCAGACTCCGTAGAGACCGGCAATGACGAGAGAGCAGTGGCGGTCGACATTTCTTCACGGAGGTGTAATTGATAATTCTTGCACCACAGCCAGGTTGAGTAGTAGGGAAATCAGAGCTGGACGTGGCGATTAAAACATCCCACAAAACAGAGTATCCTGAGCAACTGAGATGAGTTGGTGATCCTACCCACAAATGATGTGACGCCCGCTATCTATTCGTATGGGTGTTAGGGCGTAGCTGGGCAGAGGCCGGCTGTCTGCCCAGAACGCATAGGGAGCCTACTGCAGTGGAGAGGTTGCAAGTTGATTGGAGAAGGCTACCTAGCCTATAGTGCCGGCATATTGGCAGTATATCAAGTCTGTATAGCCTCAAGAATGGCGCATCTATTGACAATCTCGGTGTTGGCGCCGTGCGTTGGCTCGGATTTCTTCATTGGCCGACGTTAACCTCATCCCAGCCTAAAAGACGTCATATCGTGGGTCATTTATTAGGTTCGATCCGGATAGGGAGTCCATCTGTAGATGGCGTACTTTGTCTAGATTATTCGACCTACCCTGTGGTCCCGCCATTCAGGATTGAAGATCCCATATCCATATCGTAAGCCATCATCTACTCTGTAAGTATACGTAAGCACCGGTATAAGCGAGTTGGGTTCTTCTCCTCCCACTCTCTGTTCATTTGTACGTGTTTTACAAGACATGCTCAGAGACCCGGCCACCCTGTTCTTTTCAGTTTCAGGGTTCGAGTGAGATCTTGTCCTGAATGTCGGATACTTCGATCATCGTTTCGCTAGGCAATCCGTCGCCACCTGATAAAGTCGAGCAACACTAACTCAATGAAAGGCGTGTGCAGACAACATAACCATAATTGATGCACCTTAAAGAAAGTATCGGTGCTTGTGAATGGCGTTGTTTAAGTATCTGAAGATAGGGTTATTCCAACATGACAATGAATTGTCCCCCTCAGTATGGCAGGATGTCGTATTCATCTTCACCGATTATGATTAGCATAGGGGCTACTGAGACCTATGTCGAAGTATTGACTTACCATAAGACTGGTGCGCGAGGGCGCCCATCTTATCCACGGCACAGTCTTGTTGTCTCCACCATTTCTCCAACACAGTCCGACAAGATCTGACATTGCCCATGCCAAAATTCACCCACAATGTCTTCAACAGACTGCGAACCTTGTCCCGGTCTGCAGGATTGGTGCAGAAACTACCCGCCACGAATAACGGAGGCAGCGCGGCAACCGCGGGGCAAGGAGTGCTGTGATAGGAGATTGAGGCGAGTATGGCCAGAATGGCGCGTCTGCTGTCGTCAATCACTTGCCGAGGAACCGACAATGATCCACGACGGAAGACCTGAAGGATGGCCATGTGATGGTGGGCTTCGTCCAGAAGGCAGAAGTCGTGATGTATGGCCTGAGGTAGGTTTCCGGGATTTTGTTGTGATCGGGACAGCTTTTGGGTTGCCAACATCTCCTGGATCCGATCAAACAGCAAGTGTGACTGATGCTCGACCGGCGAGTGGCAGTCAAAGTGGGGTGGTCCAGGAGGATCATCACAGACGAAATCACTCTCTTGCATTTCGTGTGAGCTCTCCAGGTCGTTGATTGCTCTGAAGATGGGTAACAGATTCGTGGAAAACCCGGCCAGATCGTCGATGTAGGCGGCAGTCTCCGCGGCAGGCGACAGTAGTATGGGACCCGTGTATCTTCTCGAACCACATGCCAGCGCAATCGCTTGTAGAGCTTGATACTTTCTCCTCAGGAAGCTTGAGGCCGAAGTCAGATTGGAGCGCGAGCTGGTGTGGCGGTGCGCAAACAAGGTGGCGGCTCCGTGGAGATGTGACCGCCACGATGCGTTGCTGGGGTTGGGAGATATGATCTCGACCATACACAAGATCAAGGTGGTGGCAAGCAGTTGGTCATTGTCGGCGGGGTTGAAGCAGTCCAGGGCCGACCTGAGTTGTTGGAGGCTTTTGCCCTTCATCATCTCAAACCGACGCTCTCCCTGGAACAGACCAGAAGTCTGCCGATGAGCGGCCGCGAGGGCCAGCACAGCGGAGAGAAGATGGGGGACCTGGACCGCCATGGGCACAATGGCCGAGCAGAGCTCATCTTGGATGCCTTTGTGGCAGGAGATTGATACGCTCATGCCATGGACGAAATAGTCGAATAGGGGCCTGGACTCGGGCGATACTCCAGGCGCAACGGCCAAGACGTGAAGGTGAAGAGCGGACAACGCCGCCAAATCTTCGGCTGTGGTTGGTGCCTGAGCGGTCGCGATAACAGGGATCTCCTGTTCAGACACTGTAGTGTTTGACGAGGTGGTCGAGCTGCTTTCTGAACGCGGCCTGGAACTAACTGCTTCAGGGGAATAGGTATAGACGAAGTCTTTGCTTGTCGCCGCAGTATCTGTTGCAGGTCAAGGTTAAACCGACAACCAGAAGCGGGAGCAGAGCGCAGGACTCACCATCAGACCCGGTGGAGGTCACGGCTCTGGCTCCAGAGTCCAGACACTTGCCGAAGCGAGACTTCTTGAACGGCCGGCCGCCCCAAGAGAGCTGCCGGGAGTACACGCAGGGTCGCCCGACGCTCTGGCAGTAGGCGCATGCCGGTTTTGCCTCGTTGCATTTCCAGTGGCGCCGGCGACACTCTTCGCACCCTGTCCGCGATCGTCGCTGGCGGGGAGGCGCGCAAGAACTGGAATCGGCCATCATGTCGTCGCGATGTTGTGTTGGGAGATGGACGCAGATAGACTATGGGCAGCAGAAACTAGATAGCCTATAAGGCGGTTGCAGGCGTTGATCGGACGAGGCGGAAGCGTGGTCGAGGTGAAGTTGAGGTTTATCGGGAAAGCAAGATAGGTAACACCTTCCCCGATAGGTCTAGCCTGTCCAGCGGATCTCCATCTCCATCTCCAGGGGGTCCGGCGATAGGTGCAAGGTGCGTGCTGAGGCTGACTGAAGATGGCGAAAGAGAGCATTTCTCTGGAATAAAAGAAGAGCCACAGCAAGAACTTGCCTGTGCCTGTGCCTGTACCTTCAATCCCTGACTCTGACTCGATAAGAACCAAGAAACCATCCCTCTCCATGGCCGCCACTGACGCCGACATGGACGAACGCGCCCTACTCCTCCCGGCCAAGAACCAAGACCCAGAAAGGGATCAAGAGGGTGTCTTCAGCCTCTGGCACGACCTCGCCGGGCTCACGAGGCAGTCACTGCCCATCTGCCTCTCGTTCGCCCTCCAGAATGCGGTGCAGGCCATCAGCGTCCTGACTGCCGGGAGTCTGGGCTCCTTTGAACTGGAGGTGGCCTCGTACGGCTTCATGTTTCTGTCGTGCACCGGCACCATGGTGGCCATTGGCGGCGCCACCGCCCTGGACACCTTGTGTGGTCAGGCATTCTCGTCGCACACCATGGCCGACAATCCCCAGATCCTGGGCCGGTTGTTGCAGCAATGCCTGCTCGTGTTGCTCGGCATCTACGCCCTTGTGATCGCGCCCATTTGGGTCGTGTCGGGCCACATCTTCATTGCTCTCGGTCAAGAACGAGGATTCGCCCTCGCCACCGGCAGGTTTATGCTCTTGATGCTTCCCGCCGGTGTGCTGCAGGTCGTCTCCGAGTGCCTCAAGAAGTTCTTGCAGGTCCAGGGCGCAAGCAACCCGGTGGGATGGGCTACGGCGGCCGCCAGTCTGGCGGGGGTTCTCATCAACTTTGCTCTCGTACACTGGACCAGTCTGAAACTCTGGGGCGTCCCCTGTGCCTTTGGCATCTATCAGCTCCTCACCGTGGTTGCGTTGCTTTGCGTCGTCTTTGCCATGCCTGCAATCCGGAAGACCTGGCACTGGTCGACAACAGGCATGTGGCACGGCCTACCACGCCTACTGTTCTACGCTGTCACTGGCATCTTCACGATTGCGACCGAGTGGTGGAGGTGAGTTTGAAATTACCAATATCGATCCATCGATCCCTTAGATCTGATATCTTCCAGCTTCGAGATCCTCGCCATGATGGCTGCACGACTGGACCGAGACTCTATCGGCGCTCAAAGCGTAAGCGTACAAACCAATGCGACTGATTATGCAGACGAGACTGACCCTCCATGCAGATTCTGATGTCCTCGGACCTCCTTTTCACCACCGTCTCCCTCGGCATTAGCGTGGCCGCGAGCCATCGGATTGCCGGCTTCCTCGGTGCTGATCAGAGTCAGCTGGCCAAAAGGGCCGCTCGAACTCCTTATCTGCTGTCTTTGATCATTGGAGCCGTGGAATTTGCCGGCATCATGCTTGTGCGCAACGACTACGGACGGCTGTTTACCAGCGATCGATCCGTCATCCGCCGGACTGCCCAAGTGCTTCCTCTGATGGCAGGATTTCAAGTTCTGGACCTGTCGAATGGTGGCGCTGGAGGGATTCTGCGAGGGGCCGGCAAAAACCATCTGTCGGGTGCTTGCAATTTTCTCGCCTATTATGGTGTGGGCCTGACCTCTGCATGGTTTCTGTGCTTTCAGAAAGGCTATGGCCTGTTCGGCTTGTGGGCCGGTATCATCAGTGGCAGCGGGGTGCTGCTCATCCTGCAATCATGCTGCATTTTGAGTATTTCCTGGAAGAGGTTGGGGGAGGCTATAACGACATCTCATGCTGCATAGTGTTCCATCGGTCGGTGCGTTGCTAGAGTTTCAAAAAGTCTTTGCATACCAAGCTGAAAATGATCAAATGCTTGTGCTCACAGCCATTCAGCCTTTTCTTATTCATCATGTCGCCACAATTTGGTCAAGGTCTGAAAGGCTCCTGGCTCGTCATCAAAGAGAGGGCCTCGGCCAAAATCACTCAGCTGTTGCTGGCATAGACCCAGGCCAAGAAGCCTATATTTGGCAGTTCGAAGAGTTTGAATCATGTGGAAGAGTTTGAATCATGTGATATCTCTTGGTCAACTCTACCAGGTAGCTCCATGTTTTACTTTCTGTCTTCTTGGGCCCTCCTTAGGCGCCAGATTGCCTTAATCAGGGCATCCTTCATTCATCGACATGCCATCTCCACCATATTCCACTGCTTGTCCCAACTCACTGACCGATTCTGTTTCGGACCAGTCTGGTGATAAGCTAATAAAGTCAGTATCTCTTGTCACTTTTGTGTCAATTCGGAAACCAACCTCGATTGTAAACTCGGCAGCTGCTATACCCGTGATCTCGGCCTGATCAAGGCTTGGAAGAACCTCGACGACATCCACGCCGACAATATTCAGTCCCTCCAACCCATCAATGATGATCTGAATGATCTCTCTTGGAGTCCATCCTCCAGAAGCCGGGCCAGCAGTGCCTGGGACAAATGCAGGGTCGAGACTGTCCACATCGAGGGACACGTAGACCGGCTTGTCGTGGGGTACCACGGCGCGAATTTTGTCAATGACCCCCCATACGCCATCTCTCTTGAGCATTTCCCATGCCGGTATGGTGGTGAACCCCATCTCGGCATCCAGATCCATGTCCTTTTCAGAATCCAGACTGCTCCGGATTCCGGCATGGACATTCGTGGTTGTCAACAAGCCTTCCATGCCGGCCCAATAGTAGGGAGTGCCATCAGCAAATTCGGCCTGTTTGCTGCCGGCTTTGGCTCCTGCAAAGACCTTGGGCGACCACGTGTCGATGTGTGCATCAATGTGAATGGTGGACACTTTGCCGTAGACGGTGTTCAAAGCTCGCAGAATTGGCAAAGAAATACTGTGGTCCCCACCGATGGCGACAATTTGGGGATGGACTCGACCCGTCTTGCATCCAGTCGTCGTCAGCTATGATCAAACACCAGGATTGGCGGCTGACCAACCTTTGAAGACCTGATTCCCTTCTCTGCGGACTTGACCTCACGCCATAGCAGCCGCTTGTACCAATCTTCCATCTGGGCGAAGGCCAAGCCGTTGTCAAAGGGTGATATGGGAAGATCGCCGCAATCGACAATGGATATGTTCTGGACATAGGGGTTGATGGACTGGCGGTAGTTATACAGACCACTGGCAAGGGGTCAGTCTGGCTACCTAATAGTGCATGGAAGGGGCACCGACGCAAGAGTCGCCGCCCGAGAACCTTGACGGACGGCGTTGGGCCCAAACCGGGTGCCGGTGCGGAACGAGGTGGCCGTGTCAAATGGGAACCCCAAGACCAGAATGTCGTCAACCGGGCCACTTTCCATCAAGCATTGGACCTGGGGAAGTCTTGCAAATGTTGTGATGCCCGCAAAGGAGAAGGTGGCAGAAGGATCGAGGTCGTAATCATTGTCGTGTTTCGTTGAGCCAACTAGGCGGCTCTGGCGGTCCCCAACAGCAAGAGCAGCAGCAGCAGCCGGGGCAGCCCATGCCGCACTGGTGCAGAAGGACAGGAAACGCATAGTGAAGTCCAAGGAGTGGGAGTGAGGTACTGTTAGAAAAGGGAAAGAAAGGACGACACCAGCAGTACTTGTAGTCGGTGCAGAGTACAGTCCCGCCCTGTTAGGCTACACCTCCCGGATCAAATCCAGAGTTGTACTCTGTGCTGGACCGGTAGCCTTGTGGGCGAGATGGGCACGTCGGCAGCAGATCCAATGGAGCCTCCTGAGCCTAGCATATTCCTTCCCCTTTGGGCTAGACCCAATTTCGAGGCTCCAAGGCCACGGCGATGGCCAGTCAAGCATGCCAAGGGTAACAAGCATATCAAGCACAGAGTCATGGCGATGGGGGAGAGACGGGTTTAACGGATGGGAAGGTTCCAGCAATGTCGTTTCCATCTCCATCGCCGTCGTAAGCAACCGTCATCCTGGCCAAGGAGTAAACTCTTCCATCATTCTGTCACTCTTGGCTTCCCAAAGAAGCCCCCATCTGGAACCATATATCTGCATGCAGTAATATGACCATATGTGCTTGCTTCGTTCTCTCCTTCGGTTCTCTGAAAATTTGGAGGCATGGGTACCTAGGTACCTGTAGGTACCTATAGGTAAGGTAGTCAGATCAGGCAGATCAGGTCAAAACAGAGGTCGTAACCCGGTAATACACTAACCTATACAAGTAACTTAAGCGACGAAGTCTGGCCAGTGCTAACTTTTATAGGCAACCCGGGTGCCATTTAGTGACATCTAGTGGGTTTTAGTGAATCTGGGGAAGAGCTAGTGATGCTTGGCATGATATGCTGTCCTGCCAGTGCACTACTGTCCATCTTCACCGGGACTGCCGTGTAACATACCTTACCTACCTACAGTGCCTGTGATTCCTGCAGTGTCTCAGGTAGTCACCAATACAGGCATCAAGACAATCACCAACGCAGTCACTGATGCAGCCTACGTCATATGTGCGACACAATCTCTCTGCCAAGCACTGCACTCAGTCAGGGACATGGAGGGACACATAAATACTTTGTCCCGAGACTGTCCATCTTCTCTTGTTCACAGCATCGCACGACAACTTCATCTGTGGAAGACGTTCTTAGCTTCAATTTTTCAAGATGCCGACCCCGCCAGTGACCCCTGTCAGCTGCTTCGTTCCATCTACGCAGGAGAAAAGGAAGATAGTTCCTCTCAGCTCGTGGCAGATGCCGAAACACAGTTCTAGCTCTGACACCGCTTGTGAGCATCCAGAACTTGTCAAAATTGATTGCCGTTGTCCTGATACACCTCTTCTCACCCCCGGTGGCCTTGATGTCGAAGAGTATCGTGTTGGGGGACCATCCCTTCCCATGCTCCCCGTCTCTTTCCCACTCACTCCTAACGATGTCGAACAAGACTTCGAGGACAATCTTCGAAAGCCACTAAACCACCTGCTCCGACAACACCAGATGTCCTGCAAAATCAGCACAATCCAAAGTCATCGTCCACCCGCCGAGGAACACCACTATGTCTTGATTTACGCACGGTGGTCTCCCGGGTGCCAGGACACCTGGATCAAAATTGCCGACCTCGTCCTCCTCAAGCTCAAACAACTTGGCCGCAAATCGCTGAAGGTGCTTCTGACAGACAGACGCGGTCTGGTTTCCCCCTTCACTGATCCCATCGCGCCAGACGATTCCCTCCTTCCAGACTGGCCTACAATGGCTCACAAAATCCTCGATGCCGTCGCTCCCAATACCACCTGGCTGTCTCTTGACCTCCTATGGCGTTGGAAAGAATGGCCAAAGTACGATATATGGCGTGGATCATGGAAGGAAGAGAACTATGAATCAGAGCCCAAGAAAGTCAAGGTTGTCCTTGTCATTCAGTGGGAGAGTCAAGAGGCTTGGAACAGTGCCATCAGCAGGGTCGAAGCTGTCATTGCGAACAATCCCATTTACAAATCTAGGGGAGTCGAACTGGAACTAGTTCGAGGAGGGCTTTTTGGTCTTACTTTAATCAGAAAGCCGAGCTTTCAGCCTGCGCCTGTCACTCATTTGGAAGAATGGTGGAATGAAGTACCATATATGGGAGCGAGCATCGGTCCAGAGAGCGGGATAGGATCAGGATCATACGGCTGCACAATCACACTTGACGACCGTCCGTACGGGATCACCGCTTGCCACGTGGTACTTCCAACCTCCGATGATAGATATACCTACGCGGACCCGGAAGCTCAGCGACATATCGATCCTCGTCACATTCCTTTACTGGAAACTGGAGCTACGCTAGGCGATATCCCTGGACAACTCCCGGTAAGAATGCCATCAAAGCAAGACCTAGAAGACACCGAGCGATACTATCGCGACAAGATCGCAGAAGGAAAAGAACTTCTGGCGGGCAAGTTGGAATTCGTCCAGTCAATAGTAGAGGCTGGCATCGAAGACCAATGTTCTCGCAGGAATTTGGCAGAACTCAAAGAGTGCAAAGAGGAACTTCGCAAATATGAAGAACTGAAAGCCAAGGCCAGCGAAGGTTTGACCCAGACTGGAGGATTCAGTGCTCTTGGAGAGGCGACTGCATTTTCAGGATTCCGCAAAGATGACGAGTCAGGGATGATCCTGGATTGGGCATTGATACCGCTATCAGACTCTAAGGCGCCAAAAGAAAACAAGATGCCCAAATCGCTGGGCACAAAGGGGTTCCCCTCACCACCCAGATCTCGAAAGTTGACGGAGTTTGTAGATCCCAGACTTTACGAGCATGTCTACAAAAGAGGAAGATCATCCGGACTGACAGATGGATATATCAACAGTGCCAAATCAGTGCTACACGGCCTGTATACTAGGGTCTGGCCGAAAGAATACGACGACGAGAAGAAGAAGGTTACTCTGAGCCGACCATGGGCTGTGGGTATAGTACCTTCATTGTGGCTGCAGCCCACGGCGCAGTTCGTCTTTGGCATGCCTGGCGATTCAGGTGCGGCGATTTTCAACGAGAAAGGAGAAGTAAAAGGAATATTGGTGGCAGGCTGCCAAGGGGATACTAAAATGGTTTACATGATGCCAGTGTCAGAAATGATCAAGGACATCAAAGCCAAGACAGGGGCCACGAAGGTTGGGCTACCACAGGGAAAGAGACAGGATTGAAGGATGGCGACACGAACTGAACGATGGATGATTTTATGACCACAGAGATGAGAGCAGAAGAGCGATGCAGCAATGCAAAATTATTGTTTTGGATCCTGGCCTGCCAATAACGTAGACATCAAGTGCCTTGTCGCCCGGACACACAAACCCTACGCTTACATGATGCCACCAAGATGGAGAGCAAACCAACTTGGGTGTCGTGAGCCTGTCTGTGTGGCCAGGGCCAGAGCTACAGCTAGCTGCCCATGTAGATTTCCCACGGGCTCATTCAAGTGGCGTGGTCCAAGACGCCGACGAAATCTTCTTTGATTCATAACTAAGACATACCGGACGTGACAGAGCCCAACGTGATTAGTGTTACAAGTGAACGCCAGTGACACAGTACTCGTAGAAGGGCATATCCGCACTGAGGTACCGAACCCAAGACCTTAGGCCGTCCAAGCAGTTTTCCGCAACCCATCCCTCCAGGCACCAGATCAGATCGCCTTCCAGATCTTCAATGCAGATCATAACACAAACCATCCGCCAGATCTCATGCCGATCTCATGCCTTACTAGAACTTGTAGCAGCGGCAACGGCACTCACATCCTCGGCACGGGCGTCAAGAACGGCGAAACAGTGCTCTGGTGGTATGCCCGTGTGCCTTCTTCCAGAAAGGCTCCGACGTAGCAGCCAGACTCTACATTAGGGAGGCTTATGGGGGTTACCGGGAGCGGCTGAGGTTTGCTCTATAACTACGGGGTCATCGGATAAGGACGATAAAATCTCCAACTCTCGTACGACAATCCTCGTGTTTCACTGCCATGCTATGCAAGCAGTTGATTGATACAGTATCATAGTTAGACCGCCCTACCTGGTACCTGGTAGTCTGTGGCTATGACATGTGTCCTCCCCCTAGCTCTGTGCTACAAATACTACGTTGATGAGATCCGTGCGCGTTGACGTCGGATTACAATATCGAGGACTCCATGTCCTCAACGCGTGCAATCACCCCTTGAGCTCTGTAGCCTCCATCTCCTTGGTTGATATCTCGGTGCCATCCGCCGGTGCGTCGAGTATTTCGACGCCCTCATGGGTGTATTGCACATTGACACGAGGTCCCTTGAACCATTTCCTACCACTGATGGCATACCAGGACATTGCAATGAACATCACGCCTCCGTAAATGAGACAGGTCCAGTTCATGGTGAGCGCGTTGAGGTCCTTGCCTTTGACGGCCGGGAAACAGAGGGCTGGAACGATGAGGCACCACCATCCAAAGGCGATGATTCCCAGGGGCTTCGAGAACCGTCCCAAGTGCCACGGGCCTGTAGCGATAGTGGTCAGGTTGGCACAACTTCATCATCACCGGGACGTTGCTTACCTGGGCGAAATCTGTCGTTATTGAACAGTTTCAGGACCACCGGGGTCGTAAAGGCGGTGTATTGGGCAATTGCGCCGATGCTAAACACTGCACCGATAGCCACCGGACTTGCAAACGACAACAAGCCGAGCAAGGACGAGACGGTGAGCACACCCCAAGTTGCATAGACAGGAGTCCTGGTTTTGGGATGGATTTGGCTCCACCATCGCGACCCAATGATGGCACCGTCTCGAGAATAGGCAAATACGACCCGCGTTGCCGTGATGGTGCAACCCACGCCGACAAAGAACTGGGCAATGATGTTGAGAGAGAACATGGCCAGCCCGGCCCTCTTTCCCAGCACCTGCAGGCACAGACTCCCGAATGGCTGCCCGTACTGGCCCGCGACGACATCGTCGATGTCGACGACGGTGGCTGCAATCACAAGGACAACGGCCCAACCCAGCCACAGCCCAAATTGTGCCGTCATGACAATCGCTCGTGGTGAGGCAATGTTCGCGTTGCTGCATTCTTCCGAGAGATGGAACGGGGCATCGTAACCCGACATGGTCCAGATGGTGGTCAGGAAACCCATGATAGTAGCCCAGCCAATGGGCCACTCGGTCCCGTTCTGGAATTCAAGCCAAATCGTGTGACGGTCGTTGGTCTTGGGGTGGTTGATCGAGCCAGCAGGGAACCAGATGAAGAAAATGAAGGCCACCATCAAATTGATCAGGGTTCCGACCTTGTTGACCCAGCCGATGAACCACGTCGACTGCATGGTGATGAGGCCATTGATGATGAGCAACAACAGCAGAACCAAATATGTATGCCACGTCTCGGGGACATAATCTGGGTTGGAAATCATGCCGCAGGTGATCAGCATCGAGGCCAGCGCGTAGTTGACAGAGCAGGGTCCGGCCACAAAGCCGCAAAAGTTCGACCAACCCACAAACCATGAGGCCAGAGGGCCCCATCCTTCAGGCGCCAGAACTGCAGAAGCGTAGTAGAGACCGCCGGCCGTAGGCATGCTGGAGCACAATTCAGCCATGGTGAAGGCGGTGGACTGAATGCAGAGCGCGGCCACCAGCCATCCCCACACGGCACCACCGGTGCCCGAGTAACCCAAGCTGTAGCCGATGGTGGAAGCAATGGATGGAAGAAGGCCAAGGACGGAGAACGACACAGAAAAGGACTCCCAGATGGTGAAGTCTCTGGGACCGAATCAGTTCCATCTATGCACACGGCTTCTAGGACACACCTCTTGAACTCCTGTTTGTAACCGAGTGCGCCCAGGGTCAGTTCGTCCTTGGAGACGCCTTCTTGAAGAATGGCATGTTCACCGCGTCTGGACAAGATGGACGTGACACCAACAGTGTTTTCGTCAACCACCGTGATCGAGGCCTTTCGCTCCGCCGCCATGGTCGTCGAAGGTAGTAACAAAGTAAGGGTAGGTACTAGTAACGAGGTAAAGGTAGGTAGTTAGTCTGTCTCCAGACCCTGACACGCACGAGAATTCCAGGAAGCCTTATAACCCAATCCTCATCCTCCATCCTCTGTTGCCGTCGCACCGCGACCCGATAAGGTCACGATTCGCGGTACAGTAGCGAAGACCCCGGCTCCCCTAGATCAAGATTGGATTGGAGGTTAAGAAAGCACCCCTATCAACGGTAGCCATAGTGTAGTTTCTGCATAATGGTCATCTCTCAAAGTAGCAGGAGAGTTGAACCACAATATCTTGGCTCACGCTCTAAGACACCGAGGTACCGAATGATTGGTGAGAAGATCTGATAAGCGTTGTCGTCCTTATCAAAGCGTGAACCAGGGCACTATGCACTCGACGAGAGCACTGGTCGACCTCTGGTCAAACCCGACTCGCGATTCGTCAGCACCTTTTGGGCGAAGATACCGGGGGTTTGCCGTGATGTCGCTACGCCCTCTTAGCGATCTGGCAGCTCTGGGAAGATAGCAGCAACTCCACGTGGAGCTGGTCGTTCGACTGCCCTGAGGAATCGCCTGGCCCAAGTGTGTCTGACCTGCTATCGCTGAGTCCTTCTGCTATCTAGCCCATATCTTGGTAGCACATGTCCGATTCCCCAGCGAAAGATCGGAGGTTGTCTGAAGGTCTTGTTCACTTATCGAGAGCAGATTTCGGACATGAACGAATACAAACGCAGCACGGTTCCTGCGCGCCAAAGTCAAAGTCAGCTTCCCCTCTCCAATGGCATGGGTAGTTGAGATGTTTGAGAACCCTCTTGACACGAGAGGTGGATGAATGGGAAACTTACTCCGTGATGCCAGAGGCAGAATCCCATCGGCCACGGCCACGGACCTATCACCGTCGTCATGTGCAATAGCAGCCGAATCTGAGACAAGGGGCAGGGCAAGTCTGAAACAGCTGAGGGGCTGGACCATGGGTCTGCTGGAGAAAGCACACGGCGTGGCCATTGAACATTGTGTGCACTGGGCGCGTCACAGTGTCGTGACTGGAAGTGTTTTACATCGTGATTCAACCACCGTGTTCATGTCGATAGAATTGTGCAGATCAGATTGACTCCTCTGCTGAACTTGAGAACCTCACAACGTCGCTGATGACGGTTGGTGGTGGGTGGCTGGTGGCCTAAGGGCCTGAGGCCCGGGCGAGAGTGCCTGAGGCCCTTGGCCTTCGGTGCTCCGTAGTCCGGCGTACAGTGCCTAATCGATAAAAGCTGGACAGTGCCCTGGCAACGGGCGACACCCTAGGACCCCCGGCCAGACTCGAGGGAAGCCCACTAAAGCCCTTTTTCAGGCAAGCTCCGCCCTCCACCCCCTGCTTTTCCATGGGTCTGTCAAGCCAACCTTCTCCTTCTTTTCCAGCGCTAAGCAAGCCACGCCTGCAGTGCCTACTACGCTGCGTCTGCGTCAGTGTTTGGTGATCCCATCTCGGAGTCGCTGCGCCCAACAGGATTTCCTACTACTACTCCTTACTCTTTCCTAGGTTCGTTGAGGGCCAGATCTTCTTGCCGTAATAACCATCATCGTTTCTCCTCTTCGCCCAGACACACGACGTCTTCAACCCTGCCCTCACCCTCACAGTCTCCCTTGCGCACGATGCGATAACCATAACCTCTCGATACCGTCCTGCCCCTGGCTCCCACATTTCAGCCTGACCTTGTGAAACCAGATTCTCTTTGCGATTCGGCGACTCTTCTCATCCTGGCCTCTCAGTGCCACCCTCCAACGGACGAGTGTGGACAAAAACAACCGCTGCGGTCCTGTGCTGTGAAGATCACAACAACCCCCTTTGCGCTCATGGCAGTAACCTCATAGCCTGATCATTTGTTTCGCCGTCACGGCACATCCGTGATTATCTCAGCGACTACACCATGGACCAGGTTCATCCGCATATATGGACCGTTGCCCACACGCTGGTGGCTCGTAATGAGACCAACTCAACCTCCTCCAACTCGGCAGCTGAGCCCAGCCGCCCACCAGTCTTCAAGGCCATTGGCATCTCCCTCGCCGTGGCCTCGGGGATTTTCATTGGCACATCATTCGTTTTGAAGAAAACAGGGCTACTCAGGGCCAATGCAAAATACAACGAAGAGGCGGGTGAAGGGTATGGTTATCTGAAGAATTGGTGCTGGTGGTCAGGCATGACCCTTATGATCGTGGGAGAGATCTGCAATTTTGTCGCCTACGCCTTTGTCGATGCAATCCTAGTGACCCCACTAGGGGCTCTCAGTGTGGTGGTCACGACCATCCTGTCAGCCATCTTTCTCAAAGAACGGCTGAGTTTTGTGGGAAAGGTGGGCTGCTTCAATTGCATCGTGGGCAGCGTCGTGATTGTCCTCAATGCCCCGGAGCAGAGTTCCGTCGCCGATATACAGGAGATGCAACATTTTGTCATCGCCCCCGGCTTTCTCAGCTACGCCGGTGTCATCATCGCCGTGTGTGCATTCATAGCCCTCTGGGTTGGTCCTCGTTATGGCAAGAAGAGCATGTTGGTGTACCTGACAATCTGCAGCCTGATCGGCGGTCTCAGTGTGGTGGCCACTCAGGGCTTGGGAAGCGCGGTGGTTGCTCAGGCCAGCGGCAAACCTCAGTTCAACCAATGGTTTCTCTACGTGCTCTTGGTCTTTGTCGTGGCGACACTCCTGACCGAGATCGTCTATCTTAATGTGAGTAAGAATTCTCAACGCGGTCGACCTGGATACTGACTCCAGATCATAGAAAGCCTTGAACATTTTCAACGCCGCGTTGGTGACACCCACCTACTATGTCATTTTCACGAGTGCCACGATTGTCACCTCGGCAATCCTCTTTCGAGGATTCAAAGGCACCGCCGTCACCATTACCACCGTCATTATGGGCTTCCTGCAGATCTGCTCCGGAGTGGTGCTTCTGCAAATGTCCAAATCGGCCAAGGATGTCCCAGATGCAGCCGTCTTCAAAGGTGACCTGGACCAAGTTAGAGAAATTGCGGAAGTCGAGCAGCCCGAATCCGAACCCAAGGCCGATGCCCTCCGTGGCGCTGCCAGCCTGGTAAGGAGGTTCTCGGTTTCGCGGCAAAGGATGGAACAAGAAGAGGCTAGACGCCTACGAGAAGACAAGATGAAAGATCAGCTTGAACCGCTCGGTGAAAATGAAACCGTGGAATGGGACGGCCTTCGACGGAGGAAAACCGTCATTGGCCAGCCAGGCTCCCCTCTCCCGCGAAGGAAGACCGTTCACCCTCCTTTGGGCATGTCCCGTTTCCCGGACCCGGACGAAGGCGACAACGACCCGGGGCCGGGCTTCTTCGAAAACCTTCGCAATCGCGCGCAGTCCGTCATTCGCCACTCGAGCCCACAAGATGCAGAGAGCAGAGCAGACAACGCCCCGCGGAGCCCTCTATATCCGGTCGCGCTGACAGATATAAAGCTTCACCCGTCGCATGCAGAATCACCCATCAGTCCGTATGGTCCGGGAAGCCTCGAAGATGCCCAGGAACGGATATATGGGTTGCCCCCTGGCAAGCGGAAAGAAGAAGATAGTCAGGCAGGACTCTTAGCGGTCCGGCCTTCACCGAGATCGAAACCGCTCCCAGCAAAACCGTCGCCATCCCCGTCGTTGAGACCCCCTCACGAAGCCAAGCGGCAGTTTTCATTCACGAACTTGCTTCGTCCGGGTTCCCGCACCCCGGGTGGCGACCGTGAAGCCTCGCGCCCGGCGCTGCAGAGTCGAATCAGCAGTGCCAGCCACGAACAGAAACGAGCAAGGAAGAACGCAACAGAGGAGGAGAGATTAGGTCTAGTCAAGGGTGATTCCTACCTTGCATTGCTCCCTGAAATCTCCCACTCTCCTGAGCGTCCTCAGCAGCCCACGTCTCGTGCCCATCCTATTTCGCATTCACAGTCAAGCTCTTCCTCAAGCCTTGACGGCTACTATCGCGATCAATATCCTTCTCCTTCCCGACATTCTCTGTCGAATTCTGACGGGGATGATGGCTGGCAGATGACGGACGTGGAGATTGCGACGAGCCAGACGAGACCGAATTTACCAGATTCAACCCCGGCCGCCGTGAGAGCCAGCACACGGGGCAGACCAAGCCCACCGAGGACTTACCTCCCTCCGACCGTGCCGAATATGCCTCCGCAATACGCTCAGGAGAGACCGATCCCAGTTCCCGGTACGATGGTGGGAGGCGGGCCGACACAGGCCAGAGCCACACCAGCAGCGTCCGGCCTTTCCCAGACTTTGTTGACGAGTCAGAACTGGGGTACGGTCCAGAGTCAAGACAGTCCGCCCCAGGGACGTGGAGGTCATCACCGAGCCCAAGCTTCCGATGAGAGAGGTAGAGATCTGACTGAGGGCGAGGGAAGCTTGGCAGCGGGTTTAACAGAGCCCGCCGGTGATTACGAAGTGAGTCGGAGACGTTTCGAAGAGCAGAGTAAAAGAGAAAGGGAGGAACGGAGGTTGAGGGCCACAGGACGGCGTCAGAGCTGGAAACCTACGAGTCCTGGGGGCGGCGGCGACGGCACCTTTATTTGACATGTCGCCTTTTTCATGTTCATGAGTGTGATTGAATGCCTTATCTGAGCGTTTGTGTAAAATGACGACATGGCCACGACTTTGAATGTATGGACACGGACCCGTGGATTGATTGAGGTACCTATAGAAGACTACGAGGGGCCGATACAATGGCAATGGGCGAGGATTGACTGCCTAACCCGGTATACAAGCTAATAATAGAGAGGTGGTTGAACATTGAGAGAGAGACAAGTATTTGTAGAGAGCTCCGGACAGAGCGTCCAGAGTATAGTGACAACGTTAAGTAGTAGACACTTCTGTTCTTGAAGTTGGTGGCGTTAGGAGCGTGCCAGACGTGGGCTTTAGGGCCTTAAGGCTCTAGCTCCGCCGGATTTACAATCAACGGCGGAACTGACTTGTCAGTGCCATCGTACCTAGCGAGGAGGAGCCACAGTTCGGCCGACGTGGTATCCGAGGCTCCGCGCACCTCGAAGGAGCATGGACATTGGATACCGGCGTGCAAAGACCATGTATTCCCGTCCAGAGTATTCTCACGCCCCAGCCATTCGGGCATGAATCTTCAGTCTCTACCCGTCCGGATAGGAGCAAGAACAATCCTGAGCACCGTGGCCTGATCCAGCGACAGCCTGTTGTCGACCATGGCTGCTACACCGGGATCCGAAACCTCAAATGAGTCGGGCGACGAGGCTAGCAGCGCGCGCCAGTCGACCACGAAAACACCGTCGGTCAAGGACAAGGAGTGTCAGTACTGCCATCAACACTTCACCTCGTCCTCCCTCGGCCGGCACCTCGACCAGTTCATCTCCAAGAAGAAGCCGGACGGCATCCACGACGTCGACGAGATCCGAAGGGTGCGTGGGGGCATCACGCGCCGCACCGCTCGAGGCTCGCGGCGCGACAGGGACAAAGAGAAGGAACAAGATGAGACGGCGTCATCGCAGGCAACACCAGGGCCGGGCTCGGGGCCAGGGCCAGGGCCAAACCCAGTCACGCTCCCATCCTCTGCCATCGAGCCGTATCGCATGCCTCCCGGCGGATGGAATTATCGGTTGAACAGGCTGAATTGGCAGGCCACGGGCGTCATCACCGACCCGACGACGCTGGATTCCCCGGTCGCGGTGGCTCCTCCAACACCCGCGGTCGTGCCCAGTCCGTCAGGCACGAAGCGCAGCTTTTCCACCTATGCGCAGGACGCGAATCCCGCCGGCAACGGCGAGACGGCGCGGGCGCTCGAACTCGCGTTGCGAGAAGTGCTCGACTCTCTCCGAGCGGCCACCAAGCACGCCTCGCCGAAGCCGTCGCCGTTCAAGTTTGACATTTCTTCGCAGACATACCCATCGCTGTGCCTGAAGCTGCTCCCGGCACCCGCCACCCTGTTCCAGACCTCGCCCTTTTCCACCCCGCAGTCCATACCCATCTCGCCACCGGGGCCGGACCAGCTCCAGCCCTTGCGGCAAAAGCTCACGGCGACCATCGACTATTGGAAATGGCAGGCCTTGCGCCTCGCGCAGCCGACCACGTCGAACATCGCGGAGGAGGCCGACTTCCTGGCCCGGAGCGCGACGCAATGGACCGAGACGGCCCTCAATCACTTGGACGCAAGCTACCAGAATTGGATGGCGCACCCGCCCGAAATCCGCAGTCTACTATGGCAGGTCGAGTTGCTGCGGGCATACAACACCGAGCAGCAGACAGTGGCGGAGCTAGAGGAGAAGCTGGAGTCGGTTCAGCAGGAAGCAAATCAACTACAGCAACAGGTGGAATACTTGTCCCGCTGCCAGTGGCCGCGCGAGATGGCGCTCTGGCCTCCGGAGCGGAGGACCTTCGGCCATGCGATGCGCGAAGAACTGCGCTTGATCAACCTCAGCAAGGTCCCGTGGGCGGACGGGTCGGACGAGTTCGTGTCTCTGACCGAGAACGTGAACACCAGGGGGGACAAATGGGACTTTGACAAATTGGTCAACAAATGGCGCGCGCACATCAGGGAGGACAAGAACCGCCGGATGCCGCCGATTCACAACGCTGCAACCGACGGCGCTGCAAAGACGGCCGATCTCAAAAAATCCCAGAGTGATGCCACGGTCAACGGCCTGGCCAACGGGCAGTCGCCCATCACCGAGGACAGGCCGAGGTCTATGAGGAATCAAAAGAGCGCCAATATTAGCATCGTGTCGGATTTTTGAGATTGAGATTAAATGATATTATATATTCCAAAGACCAGTGACAGTGCTCTGGGATGTCAATCCAACATGGAAATGTTATGTGTTCTCGTCTCGTCATGTTCTCTATTAAAATTTCCTGCGCATACTAACAAGATCCATGTCCATTCCCCGTGTCCAGTGTACGGATATATGTAGATATCCGGCCCGTAAAGAACGCCCAACCATTTATTTGTTCGTTACATCATGTCATGCTCAAAACCAAGTGTCTCGCTCATCTTCCAAACGCAGCAATCCCGAGACAGACCGTTGATCGGGCTCGTCGACGGGTGGCACGGTGTCTTTCTCATCCAGTTGAAATCTCACCGTGCGTGTTACTCTTCTTCTTCGTCCAGCTCCTTCTCCCTCTTCGCAAACAGGCTGACCCTGTTCTGGACCGCATAGATGGCGTATCCCACCAAGGCCAGGATGACAAACAGCAAGATCACGATGAGGGCTATGACATAGTTTCGTTGCATGATTCAGGTTCGGGTTCGGATCAAAGTCCGAGGTCGGGGAGGTGTGGTCGGACAACGGCGGTAAGGACTTGGTTCGAGTGTGACTGACCCGGCGCGACGGTGGCGGGGTGGCTGCAAATGTCTGCAGAGACGTTGGCGCGCTCCGAGTGCGTTGGTGTGTGAAGGGACTCAGGACCCGGAAGCGAATGGGAGGAGGTGGGCTCAGACGAGGCCCGCAAAGCAGAGACGAACTGTCGGGGAGCTCTCGAATGGGTGCAGGATGCGATCGGTAGTTTCGAGGAGACAACAGTGTCCGTGGAGATGGGGGAGGGGAGAGGTCCAAAACAAATGCAGCACTCTGGAGGGTCGGTGGATCAATTTTGATGGATGTTCAAGACACTGGAGCGTGGGTTTTCAGTCAAGGTCAAGGTGAGCCGTGAGCGTGCGCCGTTGAATTCCAACGATTGCTGGCGGTGGAGGGATGGGATTCGAAAGTAACGATGCACTGACGTTAGTGTGTGAAGATTGGAATGTCTGTAGAGAAGGAATGCATTAGCAGGAACGAGCTCGATCAGCAGTACATGTAGGATGCGCAAATTGGAGGCCCAGCCTCACGCAAACAGCTCTTGGTCATCGTGGCTGGTTGTGAGAAGGTTGGGCCGCCATGTAGTGTGATGGTGAGACAAGAACGGGCTGGGAAGACCAGTTGCAGCTTCAAGCGAGCGAGGCTGGGCGAGGCTGGAGGCTGGAAGCCTTGGCGGGCTCCTGTCTGACAGGCAAGTTTAAGCCACGTTTCAGCCTTGGGTGGTCTCCGTATCCGTAGTTGCCCCCCTCAAGTTACTGGCACCCCTTGTCATCTGGCCCCGGTGAACAGGGAACAAACAGCTGGCTGGACATATCCCCTTTCTAGTCGACAAGATGGTAGCAAGCAGAGTACCCGCCGTGGTAGAGGTTGGAAAGAGCACGCTGGTCATATGACGGCGGTCAGACAGCCTAATTTTTTCAGCCTCCGTCCTGGCCGTTGCAGCGAATGGGATAGAGTTGATGCCACACTAGTCCTCTTGCGGAGTAGCATCCGGCTGCGGCGAATCAGACCTTCATGAGACTCAAACTCCACGCTTCTTCAACCTCATTTCTCAAACACCTGGATTGCATCAATCAGTTCGACGAAAGCGAATGTTCGAACGGTCTCCATGAAATCAATACTTTCACTCTTTCGTCTGCTGTGTCTCTAACGTGTCAGAGACAACTGATTAGCCATGGCTTCTACTTCAGGTTGGTCTAGGTCTCTTTGTCCTGCAGCGCCTTTTGTTGTCTCCATTAGAGCAACAAAGCAAACGGCAAGCCGCATCTGTTCCCATCCAAACCTATTTCCGTCGTGATGACAATAGAATGGCATTTCGTGTACGGATATGATGAATCCCCTTCCACTTTTGTGGTCAAAATCTCCCCGTGGAAGGTTTGTGGTGGCATCAGAAAGAACACTCCGCTCCCTTCACCCGAGTTAGCCAGATTAAACAATGCAATCAGCAGATCAAGGACGAGCTGGTCTTGTGCAAAGGCTTGATACGTCCTATACCAGCTTTCGGTCTACTGGGGGCCTGCGATCGCCGCGCACGCCGACATATCTCCCCCAGTCTCCATCAACCAGAGGGCTTGCGCCGTTCGACCACGCCGAGTTTCTTGACCGGTCGGCGTCAAGATGCGCCAGAAGATTCGATCCCCCGCCACCACCAAATCTGCCGACACCTTTCTTCTGGACCTGCCATTTATGTCATTCACGATATATCCTCGGCGTGACCCGGCGCTGCCTGGTGGATGGACATTACTACTGCTCCGGCGAAACAGATCGACCAAGTCTGAGGAAAAGGAAGAAGCGCAGGAGCTGTACCAGCGAATTCGACTATGAGGGGTGGAAAGAATGGGGCGAATGGCGTCGCAACGTCCTGCAGACAATGGAGAACCCGAGACTCTTGAAGGGCTGCGACTATTGCGACTATCCCAGTCAGTGCCGGTCTCTCGCCGACATCCAGACCTTGACTGAGCTGGCGATGTCGACATCAAACACCACGCCGCGAGCAACAGGGGCCATCGAGGGCGAAACCCCCAACTCCTCTTCGACAGAGACGGGTGGCCCAGAACAGAGCGTGGATCCTCTCATATCTTCCGCTGGCACTCCAGCAAAAGAGAGGTCGGGGAAGCCGTCCAACGCCCACCCAAAACAGCCGGAAAAGAACAAGACTGCAAAATGTTCGAAACAAGCCGTTGTTGCAAGGAAAGACCGTCACGTGGTGTTGATTCCGTCCCTCCAAGAGGAGATGGCCAAGGAAGCCATGAAATTACGGGAACTTATTGATATGGACGTCTGGGGCGACTTAGAGGGAAAAGATGTAGATGGCGATATTAGAATGATAGCTTAGATTTTCTCTCTCGCTCTCGCTCTCCCCCACTGGTGAGGCTATTTTCCCAGCAGTCCGCCGACATATTCCGCGATCGCGAGCATCTTCTCTTCGGTGAATTTTCTGCCCACGATCTGCAAACTGACATGGGCCCCGTCATAGATCTCGGCATCGTAGGCCTCGAATGTTTTCTTGTCGAGATCGCTGATCGGTACATATCCTTCGGCGTACTGGTCCAGGGATTTGTCTGCCGTCGTCACCGGCACCACCACGCTGGTATAGTCCAATCCATTTACCCAAAGGCTGTAACCGTAGTAATCATACTTTTCCGGTCGGGCTGCAGGATATGGAGCAAGTGCACAGATGACACCGTCGACGGGGCGGCCAGTCCCCGTCTCTTCCGCCGTACTGTTCCAGTAGTCCATGTACTCCTTCTGGATTTTGCGTTTGGCAATGTTGGTGGCGGCAATCTGCGATGCCGTGTACTCTTCTTTAGGTTTGTCGCCATAACTCGATTTGATCTGCAAAGAGATGGGCTCGCCAGACAAGGCAAAGGCTCCATGCACGTCTTTTCCACCGTCATAGATCCAGGTCTTGATCACAACATCCACAATCCGTCGGTGAGAGGGCGGTTTCCACTCGATGACCTTGTGTCCGGCCTTTTCCAGAGCTTCGGCGACCATGGCAATGGCGCGTTGGACAGGTGGCTGTGGATTGACGGTCCCATCAGTCTTCAAGACACCAAAGCTAAGCCGTCCCTTGGAAGATGTCGATTTGATAATCTCGTATATGGCCTGTTCTTCAGCATCACGCCAGGGCATGTCGACCACCAAAGGATCGTACAGCCATGGCTGCTGGGATAGCACCGACCTTGTGAGCAACCGCAAGGTTCTGGCACTGGTGGCGAGCGGGCCCACGACGGACAAGATGCTGTTTTGGCCATCCATACTGTTGGCCATGCCTTCGTAAGGCAGTCTTCCAGACGTTGGTCGGATGCCATATAATCCATTGAAGGCTGCTGGAATCCGTATCGAGCCTCCGATGTCAGTACCAAACCCTCCAGGCGATCCTTTCAACCCAATCAGTGCGCCCTCGCCGCCGGAGCTGCCACCGGCGGCCAAATAACGGTTTTTCGGATTCCAAGTGTACCCGATGATATTATTGACAGTCTCGCCGCTCATAAGGGTGTGAGGCACGCTGGTCTTGCAGTACAAGACAGCTCCCAGGTTTCTCAGCTCTCGGACCATTTCGCTTTCAAACGATGCACGGCGAGGGTCGTTGGGAACACCTTCAAAAGTGCCAATCCAGCCAACATACCCCATGGTGGTTTCCACGCCCCGGACATGGAACTGATCTTTCAACGAGACGGGAACACCATGAAGAGGGCCGATGGTCTTCTTATGTTGCGCGTAGTAGTCGTCCAAAGCCTGGGCAGACAGAATGGCAGCCTCAAAAAAGATCTCATGGAGACAGTTGACCAATTGATGGGCGAGTGCAGCTCGATGGCAGAACGCCTTGGTGACCTCGACCGCAGACCATTTACCAGCTGCAATCTTGTCGGCAAGTCCCACCGCATCGGTCTCGGTGATCTCAACCTCTGGCTCGGTGAGGAATTGTTGGATGTACGACCCAGTAACATCCTTCTGCTCCTCACGGGAAGGTATGTCTTTCAGGCGCCATTCCGCCGGAATCAAGTTGAGGACGGCGTCCCTCTTTGCTTTCGCGCGGCTTTCCCAGTCGGCGGCCATCGTGTATCCTGAATACAGGCGATGAAGATGCTTAATCCAAGTAGAGGTTATAACGCTTCCAAGCAGCGTCTCTCAGAAGGAGGAATGATGAATGAATGCTGGGGGGGTGGATGGGGGATCGGGGTCTTGTCCTCTGAAGATATAGGGTGTTTGGGACGCACATCTCCATGTGATGATACAGCACACGCCTCTCCTTGACCTGCCTCTTTGGGCACCATTCAGAATTCTAGACGAAGAATTCTGGGGAATTCTGTGGGTACTTTGCCAAGTGGCACGTCTCTCCTCTCACGCCTATACAGAGTGCGCATGCTTTCGTCCTTCTGGTGCTTCTGGTGATTCTGATTATTCAGCAAAGGCCCAAGGCCCAAGGCCTTTCAAGCAGCGCTCATCTGCCGCACATTGAGGTTGATTCGCTTGTTGGCCATCCATCCGTGCCAACCTCGGTACTGTCTTCCACGGGGGATGTCAGGCCAATCTCGCAACCAAGCGGGACAAGTGTCTTGAGTGACTTTGGGAACTGCATGCCAGGCGTATCTTGATTTGCCCGACATTAAAATGGCGTCTCCAGATCGTAGTCTCAATGAGGCCAACTGACTGCCGTCGTCGTTGCCAGCAATGAAAACCGCATCACAACCAATACTGATGCTAATGAGGCTTTGGTCGCACTCTTCGCTCACATCTCGATGCACGCTCAGCGTGTCACCAGGTTTGTAGAGGTTGACAATGGCGGCCTGTGCGTTGATCTCGGGGAACAGCCCCTTCAGTAGGGCGGCTATATCTGGTGGAAAGGCTGGAGGGACCTCCTTGGGATAGGCTTTGTTGGTCCAGTCATACTGGCCGCCCAGTGTCATCCACCGCAGTTTGGTCTCGAGCATTTGAGTGTAGTCAATGGGTTTATGCATTGCAGGGTCTTTCGGCGGAAGAATAGAGCGTTGTTCCCCGCTGAAGAAAGAGCTAGTCGACTCATCTTGATCTCCGACGCTGGCGCTTGGTTTCGGATAGCAGACGTCGTAGTGGAGGTGGAGATTGGTATGGTGCCTGGGATCGGAGAGGTCACGATGTAGCAGTTTGTCTAACAATGATATCTGAACAAGGGGGCTGAGGAGAGAAGGGAACACATAGAGACCTAGACAGGTTAGAGGTGCCCTGGTATCTAGACTTCGAGCGCATACCAGGCAATGCTTTGACCTCGAAAGGGTCTCCAGGTGTCGAGCAGATGCTGGACAGTCCGGCGAGCTCGTCTCTGTCCACATAGGTGGCAAACACTTGCTCTAGTTCTCGTATGGTTCCGCGCCTGGGGACCTCTCGGTCCGAGAGGAGCGTTACCCTGCTCGCATCTGGCTCACAAGTGTCGATTATTTCAGGGTGCTGATCCAACGAGGCCGCAGAACACTTTCGCCAGGCCTTGAAAAGACCCTTGACGGAGTCTGGCGGCTTTGCATAGGCATCATGCATATCCCAAGAAGGTCTCTTGTGGTGGCCTTGTGGACGTCGAGGAAATGGTGTTGCTGTATGCTTGTTTGGTGGTTAGAATTAATTGAAATTATATTCAATAGTCGACTGTTGAACTTCCAGGCTCGACTCGCTGGCGGTTATGGACATTGGTAGGAAACCACACTGTACACCCCCGGCACTTATCAGCCATGAATGGATGGAGCTCACTCAACAGCGTGAACACAACCCACGGTACAAATTGTAAGGTCGTCGAGGTTCTGCTCGGCTGACATGGGCGTGTTTGAAATGACAGGATTTGCGCACAGATGCGCATGGCACGACCTCGAACTGCCCGGAATTCGACTTCTCTCACCGACCCATTCAATCCTCCAGGAGGCGTCTGTGATGGACGCATGAATATCCTTATGTCGGGATGTTAGTCAAAGACACCACTGTCGCCTGTGGCACCGTGGCCATCGCCTGCGTGAATCCGCGCAAGATATGGCTACGACTCCAACTCCAACGGAACACCACCAAGTGAACCCTCGAGCCAGTCTCCGGCACTCCTCCTACATCGATCCCTCCAGCGGCGCGAAATTGAACAAGACTTTTACTCTACACAGCTTCGATGCAAGCAACAATGGTCAAGGGCCCGTCGGTGTTGACGAGGTGTCGCCGCTCCTGGGGCGAGAGCGAGCATCCGAGGACCATGGCCGTCTGCCGGCACGGCGGAGGCTCATACTCAAGAGCAAGGGCTACATGAACCAGGCCCGACTCTTCGTCGTATCAGACACTGGCAAGGGAATTTTCAAATGCGCTGTGGCATATCTCCTGGGTAGTTTGGCCACTTTCGTGCCGCCGTTAAGTCAGTTGTTTGGTCGACAGAATTCTAAGCACATGGTCGCCACAATCACCGTCTACTTTCATCCGGCCAGGTCGCTTGGGAGTATGCTGGACGCTCTACTGCTCGCTGCAACAGCATTCCTGTACACTGCTGTGATTTCTCTCTTGAGCATGAGCGTGACCGTCTTCTTCGCGAACACTGTCCATCTCATTGAAATTGGACATGCCATTGTCCTGATTGTATTCCTGGGAGGCGGCCTGGGCCTTGTCGGCTGGGTGAAGCTCAGGAAAAGCGATCCTTTGGTCAACATAGCATCTTCCCTTACCTCGTTAGGTACTATCACCGTACTCACCAAAGAGGGTGCCGTTCAAGCTGGAGACTATTCTTTGGCGTCAATCTCGCAGATCCTCAAGATGATTGTCGCAGGTGTCATAGCAACCATGCTTGTCTCGATCCTGGTCTTTCCCATCTTTGCAAGAAAGAAGTTGAGAAAAAGTCTGCTGGATGTGACCGACTCGCTTTCGGACATGCTGGCTGTGATCACAAGCAGCTTTTTGTCTGGCGACGAGTCAGAGCTCGAGGATAGCACGTTGTCGAAAATCAGCGAATGGCACAAGAAAACATCTGCCTCTATTTCTCAAAGCTTGAAGGAAGCAAAATACGAACACTACCTCCTGGGTACCGAACGGCAATCTTTGATCGAAGCCAGACTGGCACAATGCATCGAAAGGATTTCGCAGAGCATTGGTGGTCTGCGAAGCGCGGCAGCGATGCAATTCGTCGTCACAAAAGAACCTCCTTTCGGCTCCGCCATGCGCTCTGATGCTCTCATGACTGCCAACCCCTTCTGGGCGGGTTCGCTTGGGAACTCGAAGATGAGTGTTGATGATAGGGATCTGCTCAGCTACTTTGATCCGCCATCTCCTCGTCAGACGCCCGCCAACGGAAAGTCTGAACAGTCGCAAAATGAGCCACCTTTTCGGACCCCTGCACAGATTTTTGAACTGTTCATCGAGAACTTGGGTCCGTCCATGAGATCTCTTGCCTTCACTCTCAAAGAGATCCTGGACCACTTTCCATTCGACGCGTCCAACAATTTTGTGGTCGCCACAACTCCGAAATTCAAACTCAGCCTCGAGCGTGCTTTGGAGTTGTATAAGGAGACTCGCAAACAGGCTCTAGCCGTCGTGTATACCCAGAAGGATATGGACCGTTCGCGGCCGCTACCTGTGCAGGCCGATTGGGAGGATGCTGCAGCTTGCTGTGGGCATTTCTCATTTTCTTTGGTAGAGGTGGCTGAATCCATCAAAGAGTACTTGATCATACTGGATGAGCTGGAGCTCGAGGCCGGTGAGCGACCTTGTGGCAGAACGTGGAATTGGTTGAAATTCTGGCGATCGGCCGAAAAACGCAGAGACCTCGACAGTCTGGATCCTGAATTTGCCGAAATCATGAAGAGAACTCACCAACTGGGGCTTGAATTCCTCGACCGTCCTCTAAAGGTCTCTCACAAGCTTGACTCGCACTCTGGCCCGGCTCAGAATCGGGTCAAACAATGGTTTTTTGGCAAGGTCGACCACGGGGCATCCTTCCTCCGGCGCGATGACATCAAATTTGCTATCAAGGTCGGGCTCGGTGCTATGCTGTACGCCCTTCCAAGCTTCCTCCCCTCTACTCGGCCAGTCTACTCCCACTGGCGGGGAGAGTGGGGTCTCCTGTCCTATATGCTTGTGTGCAGTATGACAATCGGCGCATCCAACACCACAGGCTACTCTCGCGTGCTGGGGACTTGTTTAGGGGCCGGCCTCGCAATACTGGCCTGGCAGGTATCGAACGAGAATCCTTGGGTGCTGGGCTTTTTCGGGTTTTGCATGGCATACTGGACGGCCTACATCATCATTGGTAAAGGCAAGGGTCCCAAGGGCCGATTCATTATATTGACCTACAATCTCGTCGCCCTTTATGCTTACAGTCTTGCCAGCCTTGATGACGACGATGATGGCGACGAAGAAGACTCCGGGAGAAACCCATTGATTTTCACCATAGCCTGGCATAGGGTTGTCGCAGTGATCTCGGGTTGCATCTGGGGCTTGATCATTACGCGCGTCATCTGGCCGATCTCCGCGCGACAAAAACTGAAGGAGGGCCTTTCACTGTTATGGTTGCGGATGGGAATGATCTGGAAGAGAGACCCCTTGGCCACTTTGACCGACGGCGTCCATCCAGATAGATACATGAACCTCCGGGAAGAGTTATACCTGCAAAGGTTCCTGGCCAAACTCCAGGGTCTAGCCGAGGCCTCGAAGAGTGAGTTCGACTTCAGACGACCATTCCCCCATGCCACCTACGCTCGGATCCTCAAGACTACCGAGCAAATGTTGGGAGCTTTCCATGCTATGAATGAGATGATTCTGAAAGATCTCAATGTGTCGTCAGGGGAAGAAGCTCTGCTCAAGGCGACAGTTGACGAGCGAGCACAGCTTTGCGGCCGTATCAGTCACTTGTTCAGCGTCCTCGCCAGCTCAATGAAGCTTGAGTATTCCATTCCAAGTGATGCTCTACCCAACATTGACCATACGAGAGACAGACTGCTGGCCAAAACCTTCGCTTACCGGGCAAGTGATACGCAGAAACAAAACACTACGGATGAAGACTATAGTCTGCTGTATACGTATGCATTGGTCACCGGGCAATTGAACCTTGGTATACAACAGGTACTGAACGATGTGGAAGCTCTCTTTGGCGTTCTCGACGAGGAAGCCCTTCGCCTTGGACTTTGACCGTCGTTGGGTTGAGCGGGCAGCGGGTCACATTAGTATTATAGAGTATCCTTTTATCCATATGCTCGAGGCAGATATTCTCACCGTTGCGGCGTGTATAGATGTGATTGTTTTCTCTCCCTTTACAGCTGTTTGTGGTCCCCGTCTTGCTGGGATATGCCCTGGCCAAAAGCTACCACTGCGTTGTACGGATAGTGTGTACTCCGTATACATGTGACTGCGCCTACTCGTACACGCTCCACGCTCCACGCTCCACGTCGAAATGGACGCGTCACCAGGCTGGGCGCCGGGCGCAGCCTCCTTAGCCGCAGCAGCCAATAAACGCCCATGACCACGCGACTTGGAGTCTCCTCCAGTGTCAAGGCTGCTTGGTGCTTGGTGGCTGTGTCTTGCGGACCGCCGGCCAGGTCAGCAAGGACGTTGCTTTGCACAGTGGTGAAGTGGTGGCCTGGTGATGCGTGTTGATATCAGTCCACAGACTCAATGTACTCCGTAATTGTTGCAGATCGCCTCTCTTTCATGATTCACCCCGTCCGTGTTGACCCAACAGGCGAATCTGCGTTAGACCCCTGAAGTATCGCTTTGAAGCAAAATGCTTGATGAGAATCTTCCCAGTGCGCAAATCTCTCTGTACAGACACATCATACTCCTGTGCTAACGATGCAGCCTTCCTCATCAAACCCTCCAAAGAGAAACCTAGACAGAACTCGACCTTTCTCTTCTCCCAGCATGGAGCCGAGTTCGAACCTGCCTACACCCTGCGACATCTTGACCCGGAACAGTATGCCTCAAAAAACCGATATGCCGCTGCGCTGTACGATGCCTTTACCCCCGACGTCCTGTACGCCGAGGTGTTGCTGATCCCGGAATGGACTCAACCAGCACCTTTGTCAGAACAGGCCCTAATCAATGGGGCCGTCCCTCCTCCCCCAGAGCCAGTCCTGCCCTCGGAGTTCACGATCCAGCTATACAACCCGGACCAGCAAATTACGGTGAGGCACAAGGCCGCGAGTTGGAACACGGCAGCATCATGGGAGTTCGAAATGCCTCAGCAGACATTTCGGACACCGTCGAGCTCGGCCTTGGATCGAGGACAGCACGACCCTGCCGCCTCCGAAATCACGCCTAAGATCGGATTCAAGTGGAAGAAAGACAGCAAGTTCTCGAAAGACCTGGCATGTTTCCTGTCGGGCAAGAGCACAGCCGTTGAAGGTAGCAAGACCAGAAACAAAGAACCAGACATTACTGTGTCAATATTCAAGGGCCTCAAGGAAATCACTCTTTACGAGCCGAACATGCAGAGGGTAGACATAGAGGATCTCAAGGGACTTGAGGTGGTACTATTGCTCGGGGCCGTTGTTATTCGTGACGTGTACTTTGGTTCGCTGAAAGAGACGTTCAATATTTCGTCGGCAGGAAAGAAACCAAGCTCAACGAGCCCGGTTCAACCCGCTGTCCCTCTGCGTCCAGATACGCTACCTCAGTCGATCTCGCCAAACAAGGTGGGAGGACTGGTTGTCCAGTCGGCTGGCCGTGATCCTCGCGTACCCCCTACTGATCCGAGAAGCCAATGGGAAATTGACGTCGAAACTGCTAGATTGCGGAGGCAAGCCGCCGAAGAGGAACGAGCGAGGCTCCGGCGTGAAGAGGAAGAGGAAAGGCTGACCAAGAGGCTTTTGGAGCAGGAGGAAAATGAACAGCGTCGACGGCGGCAAGCCGAGATCGAACAGGAGACAGCGCGCCTCCAGCAGCTGTATGGCCAAGAAGACATCTCTGCTCGCCCGAATTTGCCTCCTCGGGATCCTCGCCAGCTGAGACATCACTCCGAGTCGGGACAATCTGCGTACATTCAGTCTCAACAAGGCCAACACCCGCCCGCCCCTTATGCCAACACCTGGTCATCCGGGTATTCAGTCAACAGCCAAGCCACTGTTCCGTATATGTCAGGAGCAGCTTCTCAGTCGAGCTTTCTCGGCCCCTCCCCGATGCCACAACAAAATTTGAAACAGAAATCAAGCATTTTCAATTTCCGCCGTCGGAGTGATCATGCCAGTGATGCAAACAAGTTGCAAAGGAAGAGAAGTGCCGTCTTCTGATCCATGCGAGCTCCCTCTTTGGGACACATGGACTTTGCACGTGATGGTTCAATGGCCACGGTTGAGATTGTGTCAGCATTCAGATTCACGCCTTCAAGGTCTTCTGTGCACTTCCTCAACGCCCAGACACTACTCTAGCATCTGGCTTTGGGATAACATCACCTTCTCAAGTATGACTGCTACAATGGGGAAGCGGACTATTTTCACTGGTGGCTCTGAAAGGCAGGACGACTTTGCATCCCATATTTACTGGGCAAGGATAACATATTCTCAATTTGGACTTGGTGGACTTTCCCGAGAACCGCCTTGGGGATGGCAAGGATGTCTTTACACTAAATGTGACCTGACGGGTGGTGCGCAGACATTCAACGCCTTGCCATCGCTCCTCTCTAGGATGAGTATGCTCTGCCAAAGCATCCCGGGCCACCCGATCCTGTGATCCATTTTGCAGAATATGCGCGGAACATGATTGTTGCCGACAGCGAGACGTTTCATCGACGCACGCGATCTGGGACAGATGTGCGATTTATCTGTTGCAAAGGACGGGCTGGGATTTCAGGTGTTCAATGCGACGAACGACACGATCACAAGCTTAATTCGCAGGGAGGCGTTCTTGAAGAAAACATGCCCTGACGCTCCTCCTATCACGCGAAAGATAGGAGAGTGGGAGACGCCTTTGGGATACGAAGATACATGTATACACGATTGACGAAAAACCACACCCACAAAGAGCGAAGCTGCCTTAGCCAGAATACCAGCGCTTTCCGGCCTCAATCCAACCAAGCTCGGGCCAGCAGGCGGCCAAAGTGTTGGATGGGGATAACTAACCCAGCAAAGGTGGTGGGCGGTGTAGAGGCACGACGGGCAAGGCGCCCCGAGCCGAGTGCTCTTGTGTTCTGGTGGAACTTGCATCGAACTCGCGATGGCTGTGAGAGGGGTATGTACTGGTGTACTGGTGTACTCTGTACTCCGTATCTGGCTTGATTCTGTATCCGTCCATATACGGCAGTATCCCCAATCCTGTGTTATGTGGTCCTGTACTCCGTACTACGTACTGTATCCCACAAGCATTATTTTAATATTTTAGTCAAGTGGCTGTGAGGCTGGAGGTGTGGCTGAAGGCCCAGCCACTCAAATTGCAGAACGCGACAGGTCGTAGGCCAGTGCCAGTGCCAGCAAACCACACCACCGACAGAAGGGTTGCTCTTGTTCATGTGCAGCTTCGCCTACCGGGAGAGGGATGCTGTTGGCCATCTGAATCGAGTCGCCCTTGAGCGCCTTCGACGTTGCCAACCCCCCTGTTGACATCACGATATACGATCGATCAATTGTTTCCGCCGCCGCACGACTTGAAACGAGCCTTGCGCACGCATGTCCACTCAGCACCGACCTCTCTGCGAACCTGTCAGCTCGTCCCGCCGGTGTCATGGGCAAATCTAGCTCAGGCCGGCAACGAACCGGCTCAGAAACAGCGTCCCGGTCCGAGCGACGACGAACTAGCCTTCGCGACTCGACAGATGGACGCGCCGTCACAGATTCATCTCGGCGCACGTCCGGTCGTCGCGATGATTTCGACCGCGGCCAAGAAACCGTTCCTCCCTTCAGCGATGCAGGCCGTTCAGTGCCATCAAGCATCTCACGGTCCGCGGAAGGCAGCTTCGTCACCGCGCTCACGGCCGAGCCAAGTGAGATCACCGAGGCCTACCGCGATGAGACAAGAAGAAACAAGCGAGGCAGAGAGTACGAAGAGACGGGCAACGTATCACACAGGACCGACAGAACTTCTACATCCGAAACCGCCCGGAGGGCACTCAGCGGTGAGGAGTCGAGGAACGTGTCCAGAAGAAACAGTGACCGAAGTCGCCGCGACTCCCGCAAGTCCAGCAGGGCAATCCAGGAGGACCTCACAGGCGATCGGGTGACAGACATTGCTTCCCTCCCGGAGAATCAGTTTCCAGGCGCATTTCCAGCCACTTACTCGAAGCCGTACCGACCTCCCGGGCTGGCCGCTGAGTATTATGGTGACCAGGGAGACTCTGTCGCCTCTCAACCGGGCGTGCGGCCCAATCCACCAAGCATTGTCACCAGCGCCGAACAGTCGCATCTAATGGAGCCGGCGATTGAACCTCGGCCTCCCCCTGAACCAAGCAGTCTGGGCCAGATCGGTGCCGCTGCCAGTTACTTCGACGCCGGTGATTCTCACTGGCACACTGAAGCATACTCGACTCCTCCGAAAGCCAGTAAGCCAAACAGATACGACGATCATGGTGCCAGTCCAAGAACGAGCCCCCGGCCCAATGGTAGTGGGCCAAGACCACAGATTCATGGACTCGGCGATGCGAGTCCCTATAACGTTCCTGTCACGCCCATTGTCGCCGGCGCGGCCGCAGAGTACTATTCTGGTTCGAGTGCAGGCGCGATGACAAGCTCAGTATATCAAACACCATCCCGACCTCCGATGGTGTCTACTTTTGGTTCGGCTCCATCATCTGCCCCTGCTGGATTCGGGGGCTCGTCGCAGGGTCACTCGAACACAGCGTTGTACGGCGCCGGTGCACTCGCCGGTGCCGCGACCGGCGCTTACATGGCAGCCCACGCTCACGACGAGCATTGGCACGGCCAGCCCCATCCTCCTGGCGCTAGCAGTAGTCAGCCAGCTTTTCATGCTTCATCAATGCAGCACGCTCACCGCCACAGACACAGGGGACCACTCGGCAAACTTGTGGACTGGATTCAGGACCCCGACGCGGTGGCACAATATGAGCAATACACCGAAGCCATTGGGGTTTGCAAGTATTGTTTCGATCCCAGAAGCTCTCCGGCAGATGCCCCGAGAAGACATCATTATCGTCGCCGAAGGCCTTCCTCGGGCAGTCGGTATGGAAGTACCACCCGAGTTGACAAGACCGCGAGATACTCGTCCGATGAAGAGCGACGAAGGCGTTCAGGGGCAAAGAAGGTCGTTGTCGGAGGTCTAGCTGCCTACGGCGCGGCCAAAGTTGGGGATGTCCTTCTCAAAACAAATCACGATTTCGATGACACGCACTCAGTCAAGTCTGGACAACCAATCGATCAAAGCCGGGCTGGCCGCCAGGACCGGGATGTTGGCTCTGGCCGCAGAGCAAGGTACTACTCGTCCTCGGAAGATCTTCGAACGCAAAGACACGAAAGTCATCGAACCAGGGCGAAGCCTCACTATCGTGTCGACAAGAGAAATTCTCATCGGCGCGATTCAACCTCTTCCACTTCATCTTTCTCTTCTTCTCACGGCCGTTCATACGGCGCAGCGATGAGAGCTGGGCTTGGTGCTGCTGGACTGGCCGCCGGTGCAGTAGCATTGGACAATAAGTTACGGGATCAGCGCAAAGGCAGGAGTCGTTCGCCCTCTCCCCGAAAGAAGTATTTCTCGAAAAGGGTCTCTCCCATGCATTCGTATGTAGATCTCTCAACTACGACCACGGGACGGGGTAGCCTGGTAGGCTTCTTCACAAGCCCTTCGGCCAACAAGCGGAGGGGCAAAAAGCCAAAGGGATTTTTCAATTTTGCAAACTCTTCAAGTTCCTCGTCTGATGCGGATCTCGCTTTTGGAGAGGGCACTGTGCGTCGGAAGGACTCCAGACGACGGCGTGAAGAGAGTCCAACGAAGCGCGACAGGCGCAGTTCTACGAAGGACATGATTAAGCTTGTGGCTGAAGGCAACGCTCTGGCTGAGGAGAGCGATCGACGAAAGGGTAAAGGTAGGGAATCATTCAATGCTAATGAAATCGCAGGCCGGGGCGGTGCAAGATCGAGTCACGACAGATTTTCAAATGATGGCCCAAGTGTTGGACACGAAGATGGTTGGTATGATATCAATGATGACGACGATGATCGATCCTCTAGCAGTGTGGATATGTCACTTGCTTATGGAGAAGAAGCCTCAGAATGGTCAAATCGAGATTCTCTCGGCCTTGGCCATGGGGGTCCGAAACCGACCCACGGTCGAGGAAGCAACGGCCTGACGAGGCACGAGCAGGGGCGGACACAATATTATCCCACATCAGAATATGGCGAAGGCCGCAAAGCATCTACCTCGGCAGCCGCTGGTACTTCGACGACTAATTCAGGGAGGTCAGTAATCCACGATAGTCTACCTCCTATGCAACCCTTCGAGCATCGACCAATTTCGGGCGCGATAATACCAAATACCGTCGAGGACTATACAGGTCAAGCTCATGCTCGGGATAACAGCTTCCCTCAATCTACTCGAATAGCAACACATTCTGTGCCTTTGCGGCAGCCTCAGCCCTTCGCGCCTGTGGCCCCATTCGTCTACGACGAGACGTTCGGATCCAGGAGCCAGGATTACTATCCCGCAACCCCCCCTTTCGATGTTTCTGAGAGCAAGCGGAAGTCTGCCAGAGATGCCGGTGCCTCAAACCGTTCAAGACGGGACTCGAGTCCAGCGAAATTGTCGTCACAAGATTCTAGACGCTCTATGGGCTCCACTGTTATAGATGAGCAGTCTAATCATGATAGGAGCCAGACCCGAGACAAACCAAGAAACAAGAAAGACAGACGGGACGAGGAAGGCCGACGGAAAACAGCGGATCTTGCGCTTACCGCAGCAATAGGCTCCAAAGCAGCCGGTCTAGATACCCATGAGACAACATCTAGCCCGAAATCCTCGCCCGAAGCCAGCCGGGGGTCAGTTGATTCTACAGATGAGCAAATGGCCAGGATCGAGCGCGAACTTGAGCGCCTCTACCAGGAACGTCGGATGATGAAAGACCAAGAGGGCAAGCAAAGGAACCAGAAACCAACCAAGGGAGTAGATTTTGCGGAACCTCTACTGATGGGTAAAACTGAGGTGCGTGGCTCGAGCCAGGGCACGACAAAACTCCGCCGAAAGCCAAGCCTGAAGAAGACCAAGGATCCGGGGGCGGAGGCGGAGGCGGAGGCGGAGGCAGCGGCGGGTTCCAAGCGCGAATCCCAGCAAGAGTCCATTGCGGCGCACCGTGTGAAATCGACTCCTTCTCCGGTATATGAGGATTACGGGGCATTCTTTGTTCCGAAAGAGCTTCAAGAACATCTCAAAGAACACAACGACAAGGCCGAACACAGGGATGATATCGAGGCAAATGTGGTGGAAATTGCTCCAGGCGCGGCAAGGCCAAAGCGACAGCATCCATTCGATCCTTTTCATTATCGTCCTTTCGGCCTAGAGCTAGATGATGACCCGATGATGCATCCTTGGCCTGTGCCACTGCTGGAGCTGGTTGAACCAACGCCGCCCGGCAGTCAGACGCACAGCGTTCTAGGGGACACCAGCCCCGTCATTACCGCGAGATCTGCCGAAGAACATGTCGATATAGGGGAGCCACTGGAGCGCGAACACACCGCGGAGATCAAGCCGACTCCCGTCGATGGCGATACTTATTTCGACAAAGTCCAAACCCCAAGGGATGACCCGGCTGATGACACTCCCCTCTTCGGGTCTCAGGTTGGCGATGATAGTGCGATTCAAGATTCAGATGCGGTAGACAGAGGTGAGCCTGGGATCAGCCGTGTGTGGACGCTAGGAGAGAAGGAGGCGGAGGAGCTCGAGCGCCGGCTTCCTGTCGTCGATGATGCGCCTCAGATAAGTCGGGCCTGGACAATCGATGACAAGGAAGCTGAGCAAATCGTCCATGAGATGTCCGGTGGATTAGGGGACGAAGCTGCCGCGAAGAACGGACCTCAGATCATTGAAGTCGAGCCCAGAACCCCCCAGCTCCCCAGCCCTCCTCTGATGTTTGCCGAACCCGAGAGCATCGGCCAAGAGCAGCCTGACAAAGCTCACCAAAGCCGAGTTGTCTACCAAAGTCCTTTCACAGAGTCCGTCAGTGATCTTGGAGCAAGGGCGATTGACCACGAGCATGCTCATACTTCGGTTGCCTCAAACCCGCAGGAAACCAATGATGATCGTGGATCGCGTGGACGAGAAGAAGACGAACCCGCCACAGGTGGACGACCTGGTCAAGAGCATGCAATAACCTCAAACGGAGTACAACCAGCGGTGCCATCGGGGCACAACTCTGTTGCTTCCGAGACGGCGCCTGCGTTCGTACCACCGTCTGAAGGGCGTGATCGTGACCTTGACGACATAGTTGACCCTAACGGAAAGCCGATCGCTGACTCTACAATTCTAGAATCTACAAAACCTGAGCCATCTAGTACTCGCGATGGATCGAGAGACGAGCAAGCATGGTTGGACTCGGAAGTAGACTTTCGATCCGATCGCGAAGACGGGGTACGTTCGACCAGTTCGAAACGATCTAAGACGTCGAGGCGTGCATCTGGGAGTGATGCCGGATCTGGGACCAAAAGCTCTCGTCGAGCCAAAGGTCAGTTCACTGCCGAAGAAGAACGCCCAAAGACACCCCGCAGATCTCAGACCGAGGGCGGCTCGCATTCTCTTTCAAACAAGGACAAGGATAAGAAGTCTTCCGGTTTCTTGAGCAATCTCTTTTCCAGCTCGAAGAGCGATGTCAGCACTTCGAGCAGAAAGAGTTCAAGATCATCGAGGTCCGAAGAACTAGCCGAGCCCGGACTGGATGGTCAGAAAGAACGCCGGAAGAAGCGCAGATCTAGGGACAAAGACCCTGATGATCTCGCCTCGACTATCCCTCCATCGGCCAGACTAACTCGACGTCTTTCTGACCCTTCAAACGGAATTACCCACGAGCCAGTAACGTCCCGAGATCAGAGTGTGGATGACGGCTTCGTTTCTGCAGAGCAATCTCCCGAAAGACATGGCGAGTCTTTTTTAGAGAATCGCCCCGAAATGCCACTACCAACGGTCACAGGTTCACAGACAGGTCCTAATGGTGTCTCGGGGCAAGCTCCCGCCCCCCTGACAGAATTGCCATTCCAGCCCCTGGCCGGGCTGGATGTTTCTGTCGACGGGCAAACGAATGCTTTGGGGCACGACAATGCCCCTAAGCTCACGCCCGAAGAAGAGGCTCAGAAGGCTGAAGATGGTACAGAGGCTTTCCAACAACCCTCGTCGGTGCCGCCACCATCTGCTTCCTCGCGCCGCCTCTCTGCAATAAGGACCTCCGATGAACCTTCCAGTCCAACGCTCACCAGTTCCCCAACGGCTGTTCCGTTGCACTTCCGGCGACCACCTCTCTCGCCCACCAACGCACGCTTCTCAATGAGCTCACCGATAGCCTCTCCAAGCTCTCCGTTGACAACACCGCGCACCCGCCAGGGGCGTCCCAAATCAACCGAATTCCGATCAAGCACAGAGTTCCGACCGCTTTATCTGGTTGAAAGGCAGAACTATGCAAAGAGAGTACCAAGTCCTGAGACGACAGAAAATTATCCATCTCTGCCCTCGAGCAAAACAAGCTCGGCACATCCCTCGATGGAAGATCTCCGCGCTGAGGCACAAGCTCAAGAACAACCGGAGTATTTCACCCTCTCACGTATCAACGCCGATATGTTCCGGGGAAGACGGCACAGTTACTCTCACTGGCACGATGGAGAAAAGAGGCGTGAGTCTCCAGACTATTTGGATTCCAGATCAGCCACCCCAGTCCCCGGAGAACATCAAAGAGCTCGCGAAAGGGAAAAGAAGGCTAAACCTAGGTATGAATTTCATTCGCCGAGTGAGCTGTTGCAGGATCCAGCTGCGCTGCCTGAAGTACCTGCAGTGGATGAGGATGCCGGGTTGGCTAGTCCTCTTCCTAGCATTGTAAGCACCGAGGCCGAACAGGACTATATGAGCGCGCGGAGCCGAAGCTTGTCTTCGACAAGAGCGCGAAGTGTCAGCCGGGGTCGAAAAACTGCTTCGAGCTCTAGATCCACTTCTGCTTCCTGGAAAGACGCTTTGTCGACCACGATAGCTGCTGCTACCGGAGTCGTGGCGGGCTTGACGGCACATACATTGGGGAAGACGTCGACTGAAGATGACGACGTCAAAAGTCGCGAGATCCCCGCCGAGGGCCCATCAGCACATAGTGGGCTAGAGTCGTTCGAGACCGTCAAAGACATTCAAGAAGTGGCTGGTCCAGAAGATGCAGGTCAGACCCAGCAACTTCAACCAGAAGCGGAGCTTTTCCATGGAACAGCTGATTTGTCGACGGGACCTGAGTCTCGAGCACCCGCCGAACTTGCAGAGGCAATAGAGGTTCACAGCCCTGATTCCAGATTGGAGCCCCCAGCAGAGACGACTGGTGCATCCCCTTCACTCGCCCCGAGTGCCCAGGGTAGCAATGTTCCACCAATTGGCGGCGATATTCCAGAAACCGATTCCAAATTAACCAGCGCCCCTGCATCAAAGAGCGCCGAAGACGACCTGTCAGGATTGGCTAAGGACGGATCAGCATCAGCGACAGAGGCCAATCTTGACAAACAGAACCTCCCATCTCAGGATGGTTTGGTAGAGCAAAGTCTTGAGGATCACGTAACTTCCTTTGTGGTAAAGCCAAAAAAATCCAAGAAGGAGAAGAGAAAGAAACGCAATGCGCTGGCATTTGATGAAGAGTTGACAGGCGAGCCACAAGGCATCCTCCCTCCTGAGTCGGTCAATACTGAAGTTGGCAAAAATCAGGAGCCTGCAGCCGCCGTGCTACCACCGACTGTCGCGTCAACTGCTGGGGAGTCTCCTTTCGAAGATGTTCACTCGATCCAGGGGGAGTCAACGGGTGGGAAGGAACCCATACCGACTCTACATAAAGTTGGGGATGCCTCTACATCACCTGAGACTATTTCCTCTAGCCAGCCTCCTCTTGCACCCGTGCCCTCAGAGAGTGTTCCCTCCGTGCATACTCTAACCGAGCCTACACCCTCTAGCTACTTTGAAGAGGGAGGTCACCAGACTGAGGATCAGGAACGGCCACACGCTATCAAACTCGATGAACTGACAAATGCCGCAATACAACCACTCCAGCAAACTGGCCCTGAGGTTCCGGACGAGTTAGACTCGGGCAAATCAGTCCCGCAAGGCGATGACTTATCTGTTACATCCAATTCGAAGACTTCACAAGCAGACTTGGACCCTCTCGAACAAGCCTTTGAAGCGGCCGTTCAAGCTAGGGGTTTGAGTGACGGCGCGAGCCTCGATGCAGCATACCAAGCCTTCCAGCCAGATGCCACTGACCAGCTTGATGTGGGTGGCTCTCCATTGACTACGATCGAGGAAGAAAGCGAGGCACCCACGACTGCGTCCGAAAAAGATGCAGTGAGGGTTGCACACGAGGCTGTTCCCGAGCGTAAACTCTCGAAGAAGGAAAGACGAAAGGAGAAGAGGCTCTCGAAGAATGTCAACACTGAAGATGAGTTACCGGAACAAGAGCCTATTGATCGTGAGCAGGAAATCACACCAGTTGATGATTTTCAGGCGCCCGAAAGCGAGGGGATTACAAAAAGGCCTCTGGCTGATGTGGACGCCTCTAAAGACGGCTTTGTAGGCAGCTTGGACTCGCCGAATCCCTTCGGCAATGACTTTGAAATCCATCACGGTGAAGGCGACGATCCGAGTATCGTCGGCCATTCCAGTGCTGGAGATCCGATTTCAGTGGAGGCAGAATCCACTGAGACGCCGCAAAGTGATCCTAAGCCAGAGGCGGGAGACGAGGAATGGCCAACTACCTTTGCGTCGAGTAAAAAGACCAAGAAGGGTAAAAAGAACAAGAAAAGGCAAGCCCTGAACTGGGACGTCAGTGAGCCAGCTGCAACCGAGGATACTGTGCCATCGGCCAAGGAAGGCAACGTTTCTCAAAGCACTGTCTCAGCTGGTTCTGAAAATCAGAGCGAGTCACTGCCCGACACAAGGGCCGCCGATCAGCCGGTCTCTCTTACACCAAAAGATGTCGGCACCACAACCGGGGAGCACGCGGACGCTTCGCAACCTCTACCAACGCTATCTGAAGAGCCTTGGGAGATGAGCTACAAGAAACCCAAAAAGTCCAAGAAAAAGAGTCTTACCTGGGCTGACCAGAGCTGCAGTGGTCAGTCAGTACAAGATGCACACCCAGCTACAACTTCCCGCGGATCCGAACTGATCGCCAATGACGACTCAAGCCCCAGTCAAGGCCCGCTCTTCGCAGACAAAATTGCTGAAGAACCATTGAGTGATGAACTGCGAGTGGCTTCGGCCGACGATCAGCAACAGATTTCGACCGCAGAGAGTGTGGATGCTTCTCAACATCGCGCTGCACCGCCTGATACTCCGGAAGGCGTTGAGACTCCAGCCATCGCGGACGCACTAGCTGACGATGCAGCACTGAAAGGGGGTCAAGATACACTCGGTCTATCTGAGGCAGTTGATGGTCAAGAAGAGACAGCCCATGGTGAGGTATTGCACCCTGGTGACTTGAACCTACCAGAGGATGCAACCACACCTGTAGCCGAGCAAGGTCAGAATGAGGCTACCATCGGCGAGTCGGGTCGTCAGATGGAGTTTGCTCAAGACCTCAATCCCGCCGAACAAACGCGTCAAATGATGACTGATACCGCTGGTGTTATCGAGGATGAAGCATCACAGGGGGCTGACAAGACTTCTACTCCCCACCCGGACGACCTCGCAGATGTACTGGTGCCTAATCAAGAGATCCCTCCAGCAGAACAGGGCGTCACCTCCGACCTCGCCGCAACACCAGACTCGCATGTCAATGTAGAACCTCCGGCAGAGCAACATGCTTCGGAAGAAGACTTCTTGTTTCCAGTAACTACCAAAAAATCAAAAAAGGACAAGAAGAAGAAGAAGAAAATGTCTGCTTTCGATGACCTCGAAGCTCCATCAGCCGAAGCCCCATCAGCCGAAGCTCTATCAGCCCCCACAGGAAAGACGAGTGAGGTCGATGTAAGAGAGCCTGCGCCAGCTCCTGCTTCAGATAAGTTGAAGACCAGTGAAACGCGAAAGTCTGGAGACGTTTATGGACCAGACGAAGATGCTGGACGGGCAGACGGCCAAGAGAAGGTCATCGATGATGCCGAAGATTTCACTAGCAACGCAAAGTCAAAACGGTCGAAGAAGGATAAGAAGAAGAAGCGGCGGGATCGTCTCGATGATTTCGAGGACAGCTTCGGAAGCACACCTGGTCCTAAAGAAGAACTGCCAACGACAGAGACTGTGAGCGGAGACGTCGCATCATCACCCGCGGCGACTCCAGTGAGGTCTCAGTCCGCTCATAGTGAGAACACGATTCCACACGCAACTGATGCGTTAGAAGGACTCAGCACTTCCGCTACCAAAGTAGCCTTTGGGGACTCCGAAGACCTGGGCAACAGAGCTGTTGACGAGCCTCCTGCGGTCGACAATTTGGTAGCTGAGCCTGTCTTAGCTGAAGCCCCCTCATATGAATCGCCCGCAGCTCAGCCTTCCCCTCTTGAGGGTTCATCAGTACAACCACTAGAAACCCAGCCTTCCACAGTCAAGCCGCCTCCATTTCAGTCTCCTGCAGTTGACACCTTCATACCTGAGACCGTCATAGATGAAGTTGCGGTCCGCGAAGAAGCTGGGTCGGCTCCGCCCGAAAGCGTCGATCAAGCTCTTGATGAAGGCTGGGGCGTCCCGGTCAAGAAACGCAAAAAGGACAAGAAGAAACGCCAATCTAAACTGGACGATGAAATTGGCGATCCGCAGGCCCCGGATCCTGGCACTGTGGAAGCAAGGATAGACTCCGAGCCTGTCTCCATCACGAATTCAGCTGTCGAAACTCCCAAACGCGAAGACTCGATCCTGGCCGTTGACGGAGAACCCCAGAATGTTGGTGAAGAAGAGTGGAACCTGGCCCCAAAGAAGTCCAAAAAGGACAAGAAGAAAAAGCGTCGATCGGAGTTGCAGACCATAATTGGTGAGTCTGAAGTACAACCTGATCCGGCCGGACAGCCCACATTCGAAAGCACCGGTGCCACCAAGGATGAAGAAGGGCTGATCCAACCCCCGGGCTCCGACGTGTTTGCCGGGTCTCAGGGGCGAGAAACAGAACGAGGTCTACCGATTGAAGACAGTGGCACGGCCGCTTCGGGCGAGGAGTTTGGACAGCCTCAGAGTCCAGGAACAGCGGCAAATGAACCTGATAACACGCGGACCATGGGAACCATGGTATCTGGAGAATCAAAGGATGAAAACATTGAACACGAGGCTCTCTTGGACGAAGTAGGCACGCTCACAAACGAAGGAGATTCAAGGCCTGAAGCGGATCTTCAAGAGATTGAGACACAACAAGCGATTGAACTAGGAGGCGACGCTGAGGGGAGTGCCACTGAGATCTCCGATAAACATATTGGGTCCCAAGGTGAGGTTCAGAGTGAGATTCCTGCCGACGAGCCAATTCATTCTGCTCGGGGCGTTCCAGGGCAAGACGAAGTGATGAACCCCCTGGCAGAATCCCCACAGCGAGAAATCCCACCACAAGATGAAGCACTAGATCGGATAGAGGACCCTGCTACTCTCCCGCCTCCACACACCAGCGCACCTTCAGAGCCAGACCTCACCACGTTTCCAGGGGAAAGCAGTGTGAATGAAGGCCCAGCCTTGCCCGATGGCGACTTGACGAGACTCGAAGACGAAGACGGCCAGGAATGGAGCTTCACCGCGAAGAAATCGAAGAAGGCCAAAAAGAAAAAACGGCAAGCGACGTTTGATGACAGCGTTCTCGAGTTGCCCACTTCAGTCGCCCAGATTGAGGACCAGGGTGTTGAGGCGCAAACAAATCTGGAACATGTCCAGGATGCAGATCTTCTGGCAAACCCAGCAGAGAAAGACAACCTCACGCCTGCTGTCCAAGGAGGGCCAGTTGAGCCTTTCGTCGAAGAAGAATGGGCAGTGTCCAAGAAAAGCAAGAAAGAAAAGAAGAAGAAGAAGCGTCAGTCGACAATCGATGAGGCCGTGGCCGAACCGAAAGTGAAGCTTGGGGCTAGAGAGGGGCAGCCAGACCTGGGTCCAACGGTCCAGGTACAGGGAGAAGATATCCCCGAGAGCGATTCTGCTAGGGGTATGGCCGAAGCCATTCCCTCCGAAGCCCCTACTAAGACTTCGACCTTGGAAGTTGTCCAGTCCGAAGAGCAAGATGAAGTAGGTCCACATCATGACTCCGTTGAAAATGATGCGAGCTCCGCGAAGCAAAAGATTTTTGCTGCCGAGAACCCCATTTCAGTCTCGGTTAATACCGATGGGGAGGTTCTCGACGCTGGGAGCAACGGCGAACGAGAGGCGGGTTCCAAGTGCCTGGAGGGCACGCCACCGACCTTAGCTGCCGACCAAGCTGTGGAAGAATCAACCCAGGCAGAGCCTCTTTCCGTCCTTGCCGCCACAATTCACAACGATCAACTAGCGTCAGCCTTGCATCCGCTTGAAGAGGACCGGGATTTCCCCACATCCAATGAAGAGGGCAAGATTGAAGAGTATGGGGTCATACCAGATGCTGCTTCTTCTGCACTGAGGCCGACAGCATCAGGCGATCCTCAGATACAAATACTGGATGGCAAATCCCAGCCTTTAGACACGTCGTATGATGCGAAGGAGGATCAAAGCGAACTGAATACACCCACGAACGCGCCTGATGCAGCCGAGGATGGAAACGCCCCGTCGAAGAGATCGAGGAAAGAGAAAAAGAAGAAACGGCCAACGATCGATCAACCTTTGCTTGAACATCAGCTGCCTGAGCTTCAACACAGTACAACGTCAACAGAGGAATCGGCCAGAGAAGCTGAAGATACTATCAACCGCCAGGAAACTCCATTACAGGACGTGGAATCTCAACCACTGGGCGGTACAGATCTTGCAGCGATTAGCCCACTTGTCACCTCAGAGACAGGCATAGAAGAAGACAAGTTTCGCATCCCAACGGCTTCCAGCGGATCAGCAATCGCTACTGAGGAACCTACCCAGGCTGCTCCGTCTCGCAAAACGTTTGATGGAGAAGGTGGCGGCGACTTCCCTCCGACAAGTGCCCGAGACCAAGACACCGTTGTGCCAATGGTTCAAGACTCACCGCCTCTGACTACACACCAGGACTCCCCGTCAAAGGATTTGAACACAGATAAGATGCAGGCCGAACTTTCTGCTGTTGATAACACTATTGAGCCATCAGAAGCAGCAGTCTGGGCTGCCGGAGTGTTGGAACCGGAGGCTACTATCCCCGAGGAGACCGACATCCAGGCCAATCAACCAGTTCCTGCCGAGCCTTGTCCAGAAGATGAATGGTCAATCCCGACCAAGAAGTCGAAAAAGAAGTCGAAAAAGAACAGATCTTTGGCAGCGCTGGAGAGTGAGGACCACAACGCTCCAGAAGAAGAAGCCTCAGTACAGACAGAAGATCAATCTAGAACCGCAGAGATCACCGAGGACATCCCCCCGACTGAACAGAAAGCTATTGTACCGCCAGCCGATGATGTTGAAGGCGATTTTACACCCATCAGTAAGAAAATGTCCAAGAAAGACAAGAAGAAGAAGAAGAAGAAGCTATCCGCGTTCTCGAGTGCCGCGGCTTTCGAGGAGACAGAGCTTCCTAGGGACTCGGAAGAGGCTATCCCCCAGACCCAGCCTGCACAAGATGAGACTCAGCCTCCGAGCCCGCCCAAGGAACCTCGCGATGATGTTGCTACTTCTCACAGACCAACAGAAGTCCCTGGGACTGGCGCCACGCTTGCCGAGGACAGGTCAGTTAATGTTACCGAGCAAACCACGGAAGACATCCCAGCAGAGGCTATGATTACCGATCGCCGGGACATAGGGCCCCACGAGGACATTGCTGCTGAGGAAGCCCAGCTCCCCAAGCGGAAGGCGAGCAAGCACGACAAGAAGACTAAGAAGGCAAGGAGACAATTCGAGTTCAATGGCAGCGAAGCACCTCCGCCTCCCCCTGTTTTATCAGAGCCGGATGAGACCAAAGAAGATGTCTTGGAGAAGAGTATGCCTGACGAAAGCCTACCAATGTCGATCCGTCCAGCTGAGGAGAATGATGATCTATCGGACGTGAGTGCAAGCACCCGTGAGAGACGCAGAAGGCGAAGATCCCCTCCGGTTTGGGCAGGCGAGGAACCTGAAGACTTGCCAAACAGGCGGACCTTTACACCCCCTCATGACCAGGACATCATGGATACTGCGCTGGGGGTTGCAGCTGGACTTGGTTTCGGTGCTGGTGACAACGAAATCTCGAAGGAAGTTTCCAAACCCCGGCTTTCTCCTGCTCGACAACAAACTGAAGGATGGTCATTTGCTCACCTTGCACCGGCTGGCGGTACATCACACTTGGATGCAAACCGAGATAGTGGTGTCCAGTTTGAGTCACCAGTCATGCCTATGGATCACTTTACCCGCCCGAGAGACAGTGGCTTTGTCCCCAGTCCAGCGGATCAACACCCCGCTGATACCGGTCTGAGAGACGTTGGGAACACTACAGTGCGTCCTCTCCGGCCTCAGTCGCCCACAAGCTCAACTGAAGATGTCTCCAACAAGCCTTTCACATCCCGACCACGCGACGATAACACGTGGGAGACACCTAGAAGAAGACCATCGCCAGTTGAGACAACCTCCAAGGAGCGAACGTCGGTTCTTTTCAATTCTTCCCCGGCGTTGCCAACACCACCAACCATAAAGCCTGGGTCCAGAAGCCCAGAAGCGCCGTCGAGTCCTTTGCGACGGAGTCCAAGCATCCATGGTCATCGACATAGCCGTGAAGACTTGGGACAGAAGGCCAGGGCGGCCCATGCCCTCGAAGGCAACGACGAGCTTGCGTCCAACTTGATCGCCAGGGCTGCCACAGCTGAGGTCAATCGTTCCACGTTCGAGCCGGCCGACGATGAGATGGATAGAGTGTTTTCCCCGACCAGGACTGCTCTCAACACCATCCGTGAGGATCCCGTCGAAGCGACGCTGCCTTCAAGTCTCGGCGCACCTCTCCTAGCAGCGGCGGGAGTCGGCGGCCTTGCTGCGGCTGCGGCTGCGGCTGCGCTTTCGAGCTCCTCACGTGACTCAACCGCAGCTAAATCTCTTGGCAGAAGCAAGTCGAGAACCTCGTCACTTCGCAACTTGCGCAGCGCCTCCATCTCCCCATACGACCCGGCCAGTGCCGCGTCCAGCTCATCCAAGGCCGTGGTCGATGAGAGAGGCTCGGGAAACATTGTCCCCCGCGAGAGGGACATGGCGGACATTTACGTAAGTTGACTTCACCGCTCGGAACCTTTTTCCCCCCTCGTTCCCAAAGCTGACAGCGCATGTAGGACGGGTATGGCTCCTATCCTGGTAGCCCTAAATCGCCCACGCGACCTCCAAGTGTCCGGCGACGACAGAGCATGCAACAAATCAAGGACCTAGAGACCAGGCTAGAGCAGCTTGCTAGCGAGAACCGGGCTCTGGCCGAGGCCAAGATAATGGCAGAACAGCACCTGGAACAGGCCCATTTCGAACGCAACAGATCTGAGAACCTGGTGGAGGCTTCACGGAGCGCTACAGCTCAACTGCAGGAGCGGGATGCGGAGATTGCGCGTCTCAAGGAAGAGGTTGCATCTCTGATTGCCACGCACGAGGCTTTGAAGCAAGAAAATGAGCAGAGTTTGTTCAGTCTGCAACAAGAACGTGACCAAGCACAGTCACGCTGGCAAGAAACTGCGAATGAACTGGACACACTCCGATCGCGTCATACCGAGCTCTCGAGCGGTATGGAATCTATCGTGAGACACGAGATCGATACCGCCCTCGCAGACAAAAACGCCGAGATTCTACAGCTGCGTCAGGAGCTGGAAGACGCTAGGGACAAGATTCGAGAGTTGCAGTCCCAAATACTGCAGAAAGGGGCAGACGACGTGGTTGTCTTCCGTGACGAAGACTACTTTGACGCAGCCTGCCAGAATCTCTGCCAACAAGTGCAAGGCTGGGTTATGCGCTTCTCCAAATATAATGACTTGAAAAGATGCCGAAGCACAAATGAGGTGCGGGACGAAAGGGTTGTCGACAGGTTTGACAACGCGGTCCTCGACGGCTCGGACGTGGACATATTCCTGGCCGATCGAGTCAAGCGACGTGACGTGTTCATGTCGGTGGTGATGACCATGATCTGGGAATACGTCTTCACCAGGTACCTATTCGGGATGGATCGGGAGCAGCGACAGAAACTGAAGGCGCTGGAAAAGAATTTAGCCGAGGTCGGGCCCGTGAACGCTGTACACCAGTGGCGGGCTCTGACCCTCACGCTCCTTTCCAAGCGGGAGAGTTTCCAGGCACAACGGGAAAGTGACACGGAAGCGGTGGCGCTTGAGATCTTCAACACGCTGTCCAGGTTTCTACCTCCACCACAAAACCTGGGAGAACAACTTCTAAGCTCATTACGGAATGTCATGCAGACGGCGGTGGGGCTCTCTATCGAGATGCGCACGCAACGAGCTGAATATATCATGCTCCCGCCTCTGCAACCGGAGTACGATACGAATGGCGATCTGGCACGGAAGGTATATTTTAATGCCAGTCTGATGAATGAAAGAAGCGGGGAGACGACGAGCAATGAGGAGCTGGAGCGAAATCAAGCAGTGGTCCGACTCGTGCTCTTCCCCCTGGTCGTCAAAAAGGGCGATGATCGTGGCGAGGGAGATGACGAGATTGTTGTTTGTCCAGCGCAGGTGCTGGTCGCTCGTCCGGACAAGGGCAAACCCGGCAAGGGCTCAGCACGAGTTGCCAGTGGCGGGAGCCAGGCTGACCGGATGAGCGTGGATGCTCGAAGTCTTCGAGCGGTGAGCACGCACAGTCTGGGAGCCATGAGCGGCATTGACGGTAACGACAACATGATTTGAGGGCCACATCAGAGGATTGCAGGTTCTAATGGCCACGGCTACACAAGGACTACTACTACTGGGGGACGGACATTACTTGCATAGCGAGGGTGCCCTTGGTTTCCCGGGTTTGAAATGCATTTGCAGCAAGCAGGCTTTGGAGCGAGCAGTAGCTTTTACTTTTGGGCACAGTGGGATATTTATTGACGAAGACACGAATTTCCTTGGGGGTTGGATATACGGAGCAGACAGTGTAGGACATAGTCACCTGGCTAGGACCGAGTACCTTGGGTAGATAGTTATGGAATCAACCACTGAGTACTGTGTACTGTGCATACTTGATTGATCGCCTTGCCTTTGGTCGGCCAACCCGCAGGCAGAACCAAAGTCACTCTTTACAGTTAGGTGACAGTGGCTTGAGAACCAGAAGTCGAACATGGCGGGCGCGGTTGGGCGGAGGCTGGAGCCGTAGGAGCCGTGGAGCGGTTTCTTGACTGGCTTGTGTAGCTACTAGCTACCTGGTAAGGTACCTCCTAGGTGCCTCCCACGTCATACATAATAATACTGACTGTACGTGTACATCGGTATCGCCAGCATCCGTATGGAGGACTCTGTATCTGTACATTACCACTACAGGCTCTGCATATGCGGCTTGCCACCACGACAAAACTCAAGACTCGCCTCTACAACAACAACATCCTCCGGCTCGAGTGCAGTGAGAGTGAGCCAGTTATGTGTGTAGCTACGAATGCCGCCGCACAGGTCCTCAGGGCGTAAAGAGTCAACCGCCCACCGTCAACCGTCAACCAGCAGAGACAGCGTCGATTTGGACAACTCGTCCGTTGCTCGTCCTGCCAGTGCTGGATGCTGCTTGTCCAGAGATTTCCATAACTTCCAACTCTCTGCCATCCTGTTCATCTTCCGTCCTCCTCTAGTTCTCGGCCATCTGCACCGATGCATCCCCTCTCACCCTCCACTGGTAACTTGTCCCCGCGGGCTGGCGAGGCACGCGACCAGTCTCGACCACGAATAAACGCCCCTGCTCCTGCAGCCAGTCAACCCTCCGCCATCCCTACTGTCCCTACCACCCCGGCCGATGGCAAGAAGAAAAGAAAACACCGCGGAGGAAAGAAGAGAAGGAACCGCCGACAGTCCTTTGCCGCACCCTCTGAAGCCTCTGCCGTGCCGAGTCTGGATGGAGCGGCGCCCGAAGACCCTCTGATCGAGGAATCGCAAGAGTCGGGGTCCCTACGGCCGCCCTTCTACAAATCCAACACCGGCAATCTGAGCGGAGGCAGTCTCAACAGCGATGCTCTGCTCGATCATCGGGACCAGCCGGTCATGCGGCCTCGACGTGACAGCAGGCCGACCGCCAGCTTTCTCGCCACGTCGTACCGAAATGGCCCCCTCTCGACCTTGGATACGGGTGCCCGACGGAGGCATCGCAGTCAACAAGATGTGTCGAGCCCGCATGGTTCGGAGTATGACAGTGTCAACGATCGGACACCGTTGATCTCAGGCAGCCGTCAACGCAAAAGCCCGGTTGAGACTGGCTATGGACTTTTTAGAGCCAAGTCCAACACCTCCACTGTGTCAACCGGGTCCAAGCAGCAGAAGAAGCGAGCGATTGGAACTGCCCAGTCATTGCCGAAGTCTGAGCCAGAGTACGACATCAACAATCCTCCCTCCGTGCCCCCAAGCCCCACATTTGGCGCGCAATTTGACGATGTGATGGTCGACGAGGGTAACTTTCTGGATCGACCTCCAGAGAGCCGGAGAACCCATCCAGCGACCAACAAGGATGTCTTGGTGGATATCGACGGCGATGGGGATGCACAGCCTAATTCGGCCCCCCCAAGCCCTCGACTGCGACCAGAAGGCATCCAGCGACACCGGGCCATGACCTCCGCCGAAGAGGATGTATGCTTCCCCACCGATGCGGTTTCGGAAGTTGGCGACGAGTATTACAATCAGTCTCAGCCGCAAGGCCCCTTTGCCACCGGTGGACGACGGAGGCGACGAGATCGGGAGTGGCCTCAGCTTTGGGTGCTGGATGAATGGAGTCGCGTCGAGAAAGAGGAAAGGGCGGCCGGAGAGCGACGGGCCAAGAAAATCAGTGAGCCGGTGTTCGTGGAAGGGAGGCTCAGGCCATCCAATACCGCGTGGCATCGGATGCAGGAAGATGTTCAGTATCGATACACGTACTTCAACGAGGAGTTCGAGAGTACGATTCACGCCCAGACGATATCAGAGCTGGTCCAGCCCGGAGGCACTTTCCGCGAATTGTTCATTCCGGACCCCCCTGAGCTGAGTGACTCCAGCAGCAGCGAAGACGAGGACTTGTTGGACCCCGATCAGACGGCCGAGAACCTAAGCGGTGCCCCGAGTCCCAAGTCCCAATCCGGACTGACGGCGCATGCTGGAAATTCCACCCTTACAGAGGGTATCAAATCGCGGTTGGAAGCGAATGGCAAGATTTCGGAGCAGTCCTCAGGGTCAGCTACGCCGCGAAGACAGGCGCTTCCCAAGCGGGCGGCGAAACCCAAGAAATATGGTCCTCGTCCGACCTTCTGGCTTGATGTGCTCTGTCCCACGGACCAGGAAATGCGCGTCCTCAGCAAGACGTTTGGTATCCATGCCCTCACCTCCGAGGACATCATGATGCAGGAAGCCCGAGAGAAGGTCGAGCTGTTTCGGAACTACTATTTCATCAACTATCGGACGTTTGAGCAAGACACCAACAGCGAGGACTACTTGGAAGCCATCAACATGTATGTGTGTGTGTTTCGGTACGGCATCGTGACGTTTCATTTCTCTCCGATCCCCCATCCTGCCAACGTACGACGGCGGATTCGACAGCTTTCCGACTACCTTATTCTCAGCGCGGACTGGATCTCATACGCCATCATTGACGACATCACCGATGTCTACCAACCGTTGATTACCAGCATCGAGCAAGAAGTCGATCAGATCGAGGATCTCATTCTCCGATCCTTCCACAGCCGGAGCGAATTGGTTGGCCATGGGGGGGAGAAAGGCTCGGATCACGGGTCGGAGGCGGAGGAGCCGGAAATCGGCGGGATTGACATGCTGCTGCGGATTGGCGAATGTCGCAAGAAGGTCATGTCCCTCTATCGCTTGCTCGGAACCAAAGCAGATGTGATCAAGGGCTTTGCCAAGCGCTGTAATGAACAATGGGAAGTCGCCCCCAGGTCGGAGATTGGTCTATACTTGGGTGACATCCAGGACCATATCTTGACCATGACCGGGAACCTCTCTCACTATGAGACTCTCCTTGCTCGGGCACACGGCAACTATCTGGCCCAAGTGAGCATTCATATGAACGAACGGCAGGAAGAGGTGAGTGGCCGCAAGATCTGTACGTTCAAAATGATGCTGATAGATTTAGACTGCGGATGTGCTTGGCAAGTTGTCCGTCCTTGGGACGGTATGCCTCCCTCTTACGTTAATCACGGGTACGTGTGGTGACGCCATGGGTGATGGTGATGTTGATGTTGATGGTGGTACTGACTTCTTTCCCAGGGCTGTTCGGTGCAAACTTCAAGGTTCCTGGACAAGACATTGACAACCTTAACTGGTTTTGGGCGACCACGGCCGGGCTGCTCTTGTTTGGAGTGACTTGCTTCTACTGGTGCAAGAAGGTGTACAAGATCATCTAAGCTTGACAGAAACAGAAGCAGAACAGATCCATTGTAGAAGATGGTCAAGCTCTAGGGGAGGTATGGTCCATGGAAGCTGGCAACAACTTGAGGGTCCAGGCACCAGGCACCAGCACCAGGTACCCTCTGAGCCTCGATGTTATGTCGGGCTGGCCGGCTGCGCAGAAGGCAAACAATTCCACTCTTCTGACATGGCGAACTGAAGGTGCAGAGCGTGAGCATGAGCGTGAGCGTGAGCATGGCGTGGAGTGCAATATGGCACGCACAATGGCACGCACCTGTTGGAATAGAAGAAGGCGGGTTGGGTTTGCGACAGGACATGGTTGAAGCGAAGCCACTGAGTGCTAGCACATCCTGCCAGACATGCGTGTCTGTAGATCTGAGATCTGAGAAGTGCGATGCTACTGCTACTGCTGCTGCTGTTACATGGAGACTAGGTAGCAAGCGACTCTCAAAGTCTAGTTACAACCAAACAGCACCATGCCGTTCTATACCACCGACCACCTTTTGTCTTTTACAGTAGTACCGTTCACCGTTTCTTTTAACATCTTCTCGCCACCGACACCTCACCAGTTGGACTCTTCACGGCCAGCCTGTCAGCCTTACCGCGAGGCAATTGTGGTCTCGGGAGATTCGACCGTGACGTTCGCTTCGTCCTTTCTCGCGCCCCTGTCGCTCTCCTCGTCCAGCTGCACAGCACGAGCCGACTCGGCGGCAACCTGAGCGGCGCGCAGACGGTCTCTCTTAGGCCTGGATTGCTCTGTTAGCCAAATGCGCAGCAGGGACAATTGCTACTTGTCGATTTTCAGATGCGGAGCAGGGACCACCGTCACTTGTCGCCCCAATTGCCACGAAAAAAGAACTTACTGCTCGAATCTTTCTTGCCAGCGCAGGAGAAACAGTCCAATCACACCCAGCCCACCCGCCAGGATCAAGATCTGGTACCCATACTTGTAATGCGGAGCGTCGTACGTTGGGAAAAGGACCACTGATGCCAAGGTCAGTAAAGGTTGCCTGGCTACACATTGCCTGCCAGCCAGCCGCCCAGTTCCAACGGGTGGTTTTTGGGGGGGGGAAACTCACATGGCGCCGTCATGGAGAAGGTGTAAGTAAACATATTTCCCGTGGCCACGAGGAGCTGCCGTAGGTTGGGATCATGGCCGTTCAGTTCGTTACCCCAGGCCTAGGACATGTCAGTCGAAAAGCAACGTAGAAGAACGCAACGTAGAAGAACGGGTATATCGACGATTCGCTTACAATGACGATGGCCTGGGACCCGGCACCAGCGAAGGACAAGTAGAATGCAAAAAACAAGGCAGCTCGAGGGATATTCCAGATGCTGAGCATAATGTTGGAAACCAGCAGCAAGAGTTGGATAAAGATGCTGGTCAACAGCCGTTGTTTCGTCCGGTCCACGTAGATGCCGAACACAAATGCCGTCACGACGCTGATGGCACTACCTGCGGTCGGAAGGACATTGCATTGATACACAGAATATCCTTCCGCCTTAAGCCAGAGGTTGAAGAAACTGGTTCCGAAGCCAGCCTCGGCCACCCATCTAGATTGGTGCATTAGCATTGCTCTCATATATAATCCATTTGACCGGCAGAAAGAACATCATAAACTTACACATATGCGAAGATGAACAACCAGATGTGCCAGTCAAAATACACCTTCTTGAGGACCTGCAAGCTTAGTTTGCGTGGAGCGCCGCGTCCGATCCTCTCAATACGTTTTACGCCGTATTCTTTGTCCTGCGACGAAAAGGTTAGTGGCCAGGCATCCATCTTCGTGGGATTCGTATACCTCTTTGGTCCAATAGATTGCCTTGGTTGTATGTGGAAGATCAGGAATGGCAAAGATGCCGTAGATGGCGATGGGAATGGAAATGATACCGTCCTAGGAAAATGGTCAATAACTTCATCAGACTGGCCAGATTTGTGATGAATCAACGGCAAAGCCTGTCAAAAGACGTGGGCAGTCTCTCCAGAGGCATACTGATTCCTTCATGCCTCCTTCATAAGACCCTAGAGGGCTGGGATAACTCACCATAATAAAAAGCCATCTCCAGCCGGCCAGGCCGTGTTTTCCATTCATGCTCTTATACAATCCAGCTTGAAGATATCCGCTAAACATGTTGGCAATAGCAGTGGTCTGCTCAAATATAGCAACCCGCTTCGTGAGTTCGTTGGGCCCGTACCATCCTCCCAGGAGGGAGGAATAGCCAGGAAACGAACAAGCCTCAAGGAGACCAACAAAAAACCGTAGCGCATAAAGCTATATCGGATGTTTAGCGGAACAAGTATATCCAGTCGGAAGGATACAGAACACTTACGGTCTTGACATTCTTCGCGGATGCCATCACCATGGTCAACGCGGACCATAAAATCTCACAAGCAGGGATCCAGTAGGATGGGCGAATGACGGAGAGCTGGATCAGTTGAGCCGGCACCGTGCCGATGATGATGCCGAGATTGAAGTAGGTGTTGAGGAAGTTACGTTCATTGCCGTATAGTTCCAGCTATGGCAAATCGGAAATGTCAGCCAGAGGTCCATTTTCATTCCATCAACACTGCATCAAGAAGCCGCTGAATCTTTCCTCATGAACATAAGCCTATGTCCATGGTCGCCGCAGTACTTACGTCTTCTTTCATGCCACTGACGAAAGCGTTGCCTGTTCACACGTTGGTCGTATGCTTCATGTGGCCACCAGGCCCGGTGACACTTACTGTAGTTGTTCTGATCGAGAACCTTGATGAAGTAACCCAGACAAATGTACGAACTGGTGCCGACCATGTCAGCTCCCGTCCGTCCGACATGTTGTATGAGACGATGATTCGACTTACAAGAGGAAAGTATCAAGCTTCTGGACATATTTCCGCTCTCTAGGGTCGCCTTCCACAGAGTCCCATACCAGCCCAACAATACGGCGCCACCAGTTCGTGGTCTTCGTCTTCGTAGGCTCGTCTGGAGCCTGCTGCGAGGCGGCGTCGGTCGTAATCGTCTTCGACATTGTGGCTTCGACGTTCTGGAGAAGGAACCATGTCTCCTCCAGCGGCGTCCGGTGGACGTACCCTTTTTGAAGGCTCTCATGGGCCCTAAGCAGTAAGCACGTAATATCCCGCCTGCTACTTTGGTATCTCGGCACTAGACTCTGCGCTGCTCTCGCCATCATGCTGTTTGATGTCGAAATAGTTCTCGATCATGACTAGACAGGGAGCACATGCTCGTCGATATTGTGATTGGCCACATGGTCTCGCCAGCAAGCCGGTCCTTGCTACAGCTGTTCTAGTGTGATGGTCGCCGTCAACTAGGTCCATAAACGGAGTACAACCATCCCACGAACTTACGGAGTAGCGTATGTGATAAACATCGAACCCCGACAGGCCCGACAACCCCGACAACACCGCCACGCGATCGCATCATTGTTCTTATAGGCTCGTCATCCGCAGTACGCCGACAATGCCCAGACCGCGATCACTGTCGATAAGCGAGATGGCTCAGAGGCGACCGTGAGTCGAAAGATGAGAGGAAGTAAGTTATAGTAAAAGCGGCACGGTCGGGGTGAGCGCCGACGTGAGCTTGAGCGGCAAGGCTGAAGGCTGTAGTAGTAGGTGTCCGTACAAGATAGACGAGATAGATGAGATAGATGAGATAGATATTGCTAGTATCCTCCAATATATCCTGTGCTAAACTCCTAGATATGTCCTTAGAAGCACCACTGAAGGTCATTACAGGTAGTTAAACGATTATAAGAGGTCCTGAGCTTGATATAAGTGACGTCTCACCCAGCTCGGACACTTAAGGGCCCCGGGGGCTGAATGGCTTAGGCTCCTTAGGCGGCATCACCTTCCTAAACCTGGGGGAGGTCGGGGCTTAGGAGGCAGATTTTACTAGGACGAAGGTCTTAGTTCCGGGCATCACATGCTACGAGTGCCTCAGTCTTGGCCTGGGGCTTAGGGGCCTTTCGGGCCTAGGGACCCCTAAGCCTCAGGGTTGCTCTGTCCTGACCTAATATGGCCAGGGATGGCAGGCTGTTACTCTTACTGTTTGTTGCCACTATGTACTCCGTATACTGTAGACTTCCACTCTGAGTCACTGCCGCTTTCAACGCCGCCGGTCTGAAGTCCTTCAGGTGCTGGTACTGTCTTTCTGGCTTGGGGAGCTCGTCTAATTTCTAATTCCAGTCGTTATCGTCGTTATCTCGTGATCTCGTCATCATCATCGTCGCATGATAACCGTCGAGCTCCATCTGCTCCTCCAAACTCGTGTCCATCGATTCACCCCAAGAAGGCCAGGACTGCTATCAAATCAGATCCTGTTTGGCTGAGACCTCCTGTTCGATCTCCTCTTGACCTTGATTCATCGCCTTCAACCACCCGAGAGCCTAATAACTCAGATCCCAACTGTCCAGTCTACCCACTCGGGGAGACGCAATGGCCACAACGTTTCCTTCTTCACCCTCTGCCTCCGGCCACGGCTCCTCCATTTCTGCCGCGCCAAATCCCCCATATCAATTCACCGTCTCGGCCGATATGTCAGTTCCCCGGCCAGCCTCAAAGACCAACTCCCTGGGCTGGGCCGCCTCGGATTGCCACACCTGCTACGCGCGGGGACGGCCTTGTGACCGCCAGAGGCCGCGATGTGACACCTGCACCAAGTCCGGGGTTCTTTGTGGTGGATTCGTCCAGAGGCTCGAATGGCAGAGTGGCCTGGCCAGTCGAGGGAAAATGGCTCGGAAGAGCTTCGCTTTTCCTGCTCCAGAGAAGAAGAATCGGCCACCTCCGAAGGGAGCAGCAGCAGCAGCAGTAGCAAGACCAGAGTTGCCTCGACCGAAAACCTTTACTTTCGTACGGGATAATACTACGGGCATTGTTAACTCAAGTCGACCTGGTGGTGTCGGTGGTGCGGCCCTCAAACAGAAACCGAGTCGACGAGAGCAGCACGTCAGGTTGTTGAACCACTCGGATGGTGACGATGACCACTGCAGTCAATCACAACGACGGCCGTCGTCTCGTCATCAGTCAAAGACCAACCTGTTGAGTGATGGCCCCGTGGCCGTCCTACCGTCGCTGCCGCCTCCGACCAAGGAAAAAGAGTCGACTGCCCTTCTTCGCCCAATGAACAATTTCTTTCAGCTACCGTCCGACGTGTTGGAGATCCTATCCTTCTACGAATGGAGGTTCTCCTTTGTCACCCTGACCTTCCACGTCAGAGTCAACCCGTGGCAGTCGTGTCTCCCTATAGCGTTTGAACATCCACACCTGATGGACGCAATCGTCGCGCTCGGCAAAAGATACCGCGCCCAAGTGTCGAATTTGAGCGAGGATCTGGCTGTGCTCGAGCTCAAGGACCGGGCGTTGCGATCATTCAACAAAACCCTGGGCACGGTGACAGCCGCACCTGACCCGGCAGTTCTAATCGGAACCATCTTGACCTTGATCGCATTGGATGTGAGTTTCTTTATTTTGGCATCCGAGACGCCACTGACCAACGAACGACAGTACGCCGAGAGCGGATATTCCAACTGGTCGCACCATCTCCGGGCTGTCTCTAGCATCGTCGAGGCTGGAGGAGGAATCGACATGGTCCGAAACAACTCGTCCCTTCGGAGCCAGATGGCCATGCTGGCTTGGTACGATGTGACCAGCGCCCTGCTCTCTCGCCGAGGCCCCATCTTCCCCCGGCGGTACATCGAGACACTCATGACCTCGCGCTCCGAGACCGAATGGAGTCTCCTGGCCCTCAACGGCTGTCCCGACGCCCTCTTTGTCGACATCTACGACATCGTGTCGGCGGCGGCATCTGGCGACGCCACCGTTTCCGAAGCCATGGAGCTCGAAAGACGACTATGGACCGCCCGGTTCGACGATGTCACCGACGAGAACGTTTCATCACTACTAGATTGCTGGAGATTCGGACTGCTTCTCTACTGCGCTCGGGTCTTCAAAACACACGCTGTGAATCCCTTCCCGGGTCGGGCTCGACCATCTTCCGAGCCAGGTGAGGAAGATCACAACGACATCCGCGCCAGTCAATCTCCAACCGCCACTTTCTCGACAAGCCGTCCCATGGCGGCTTCGTCACCCTCCTCCAGGTTGGACGAATCACCGTTGCCCACCACCAGCATCATTCGACCCATCAACCGGTGCCAGTCCTTCGCCGACGAGATCCTTGGGCTCGTGGCGAGGCTCCCACCGGCCTCGCCGCTCCAGAAGCAGTGCCTGATCCCTCTGGTCCTCGCAGCATGCGAGTTGAACGCGGACCCGGCCCAGGCACCGTTCCGAGCCATGACAAGGGAATACTGTCAGAGGTGGAATCGGCAGACGGGGCTCCGTCTCTTCAACACCGCGCTGGACCTCGTGGAAATCGTTTGGCAACTGATCGACGAGGGCCTCGTCGACGTCGAAAACACCTGGTGGAGGGACGTCCTCGGAGCACTGTCGAGGCTTCGTCTCCGGCGACTCTTGGTCAACCACAAGGACAGCAGTCACCCCGCTTGGGAGGAAGAACTGGAGTCATCCAAATCCTGGCTGCTCGGCTAGCCGGCTGGGCTTTTGTTTTGATTGAAGAATCAGGGTCGGGGGTTGGGGCACGGGAACAGACTACGACCTTGTGGTGAAGTTTTTCTTTCCTGTTGCGAGATGGAGGCTATCTATCTATCTTTGTTTGGGGCTCGATTGGTTGGATACCCGAGTGTCTTTCTCTGCAATGGCACATACTCGATAGTGCGTCGCCATGGATGGGGACCACGCCCCACCACCCGCCCGCCCCCCCCCCCCCCCCCCCCCCCCCCCCGGGAACCCTTCAAAACAAATCTTTGTACTTCTGCTCCTCGGGGTGCAGCAGGACCATGGGATTGCTCAAGTTGACCCAGCCCAAGAAGGGTCGGGACAGGCCCCAGCCGACGCGCTCCTGCAGCCAGTCCGGCAGCTCGCGGATGCGGTCCCAGTCATTGGCCAGGTACTGATTCTCCTCCTGCCTCAGGTAGCTGCGGGTGAAGAAGCAGGAAAAGACGAGCCTCTCCTCGTCGCGGGTCCGGTTCGCGCTGCCACCGTGGTAGCAGCCGGACAGCAGGATGAAGGCATCGCCGGGGTCCAGTTCGGCGTAGCTGGTCTGGTCCTCGCGCGCGGGCCCGTCGCCGTAGTCCCACAGGTGGGAGCCGGGGATGAACCGGGTCGCGCCGTTCGCCTTGGTCGTCTTCTTGCCCGCGACGAAGAGTCCGATGCCCGAGTCTCGGCCCATCTCGTGGTGGGCCACAGACCGATGTTGGCAATGATGGATCAGGTCGTCCCTGTTGAGTTCCGGGTTACAGAGGGTCAGGGAACAAGCGCTTGCAGGAGGGGACCGGAGGAGGGAGGGAAAGGGAAAGAGGAAAAGGAACCCGCCCGTCGACGACTCGAGGGTGTTCCGTACATACCGGTGGAGAGACTGGTCTCGGGCACCCGGGCCGATGCTGAAGACGATGGTGTTGTTGAGTTGAGGTTTGGAAACGCTGGCCTCGTTCTTGTCGCCGACCTATCGTTTGTTTTCACTCTTTGGTCAGCCCCAACTGCTTCGCTGGCCACGCAACCTATACCAGAGTCAGGATCTTTCTTCCTTACCCAGCTGCTGACCTCACTCGTCAAGAGAGCGTCCACCACTTCCAGCCACAGTTCGTGCCCGACCAACCTGGTCGCAAACGTCTTGGATTTCCCCACGAGGCCGAACGCCCTGCGTGTCTCGGGCGGGAAGAAGTCTCCATTCCAGGGAACGTCTTGGTCCAGCCAAGGGCGGACGTCGGCGTCGATCTGCGCCACCTCTTCGGGCTTCAACATGTTGCGGACAACGACACCTCCCGACACTTTCAAGGCCTCGACCAGGTCCGTCGCGGTACACGTCCTCGCGTCGAACTCGTAGACAGGTGGGACTGGCGATTTGGAGGATTTGGGCTGGTCGTCAGGGACGAATTTGGATTCGGTCTTCGAGACCGGACCAGTGGATGATGAGACGCCAGCCTCAAGGGGCTGATCGAGGAAAGGAGCCATTGGTCGATCACAAGTGATGTGACGATCTTCACAATCTGGTTGGGGACTGACTGATGCTCTGAATGCCGTGAACGGAACGAAAGCACTGGAAAGAAAGCAACTCTTATATAGAGGTGAGAGGTGAGAGGCAATCCCGCGCTGGCTCCAAGGCCGGCTTGGACGACTGTCGTTCGGTAATGGGATCATGACTCGTCAAGGGATTGGTCACGGTATGCTGGAAATCCGAGGGAACTGGAACGACAAGATACGAGTGGGTCATCTCACCTTCCTGAAGCGATAAGGGAGCTCACTATCCCTACTAACTAGCAGCACCGAGAGCATCGGGTATGCATGGATGCTCGATCAAGACTAGTCAATACGAGACCGGCACTGGCATGTGGCAAGGAATGGCAACGAAGGCTGGCCGCTGGCTGGCTCCCTCCTTGCTCCACTCGGCATGCATGAGGGCCGGAGGAGATCTTCTCCCTCCAGTACTGGTCCTGCCGTGTCAACCTGTTTATCTTTCTGGGACCGGGAGGGTTGGAAGTGTCAGGTTAGAGACTGGACTGGCTGCTGGAGGAAGACAACTCACATGGCCCGCTATGATTCAAGAATGGTGCTTCTGATGCGATCGAGTCGCCTTTCACAGCCACTCTGGTGGTTGTTTGGGCCGGATACCAAAGGTCACGATATATGATTTTGCGGTGTTTCGGATTCTACAAGACTTGATACCCAGCTCTCACCAACTTCGATCCTCTCGGTCAGTACGGAGTACCTGTACACTGTCTCTCTATCTCTCTGGATCACCAACGACCACCTTCTTCCCTCTCCCCTTCTCCCCCTCTCCCCCTCTCCCCCTCTCCCCCTCTCCCCCTCCTTCCCTTCGTCTTCTCCTTCTCGCCCGGGTAAAACTGGACCATCAATGAGCGCCACGGACGACCAAGGTGTCGGTGTACTCCCAGTACATCTTGGCGGACCACCTCCTGATGGCCTTGCCGAACACGATGAAGAACAGGAAGGTCATTGTGCAGCCGAACGAGAGCATGCCCACGGCCACAAAGGTGTCGGTCAGGCCCTGGCTGTTGAGCCAGGGGGTGATGCCGTAGGAGAAGCCGAAGCCGAGGGTGTTGCGGACGATGATGACGAGGATGAGGGACTCGCCCGCGATCTCCTTGAAGCTGTCGATGTCGTACGCGAGGGCCGTGGACCCTCCCGCGACGACGGCGAACTCGACCATGCCGACGCCCACGATCAACCCCATGAACTGGACCTGGTGGGCGGCCCCGACGCCCCACAGGATGAAACCCGCGGCGCCGACGACGGCCGAGAAGACGAGCACCCAGAGACGGTGTTCCGGTTCGCGGATGCCGCCGTTGCGTCGAGCCAGGTACAGGGCGACCCTGTCCCCGACCCAGCCGGCCCACAAGGCCCCCAGGACGGCGCCCACGAAGACCGACAGGAACCCTAAGCCCACGGCGCTCGTGGAGAAGTTGTATGGGGCCGCGCTGAGGACCAGACTCATGGTCGCGTTGACCACGTTGTACCACGACAGGTTGACTCCGTACAAGAAGCCGGCCCACACCACGGTCGGGAAGTGCAAGATCATGAGCAACGGTCGGTACATCATGACCAGCATCTGTTGCACCGATGGCCGACCCCGGAGACTTCGAAAGAGCGCCAAGTTTTGCAGGTAAGTGCGTGGCGGCGTTGAATAGTAGGTGACGCTTTCTCCCACTGGAGCCGCACCTGTTTCGCTGCCCGCCTTCAGGACCGTTGTCTCGTTCTTTTCATTCTTTTCAGCGGGAACGGCAGTCTTCTGGTCTGGCGTCACGTTCTTGGATGTGGCGGTTTGGACCGCGACCTCTTCGGTGACGGCGTCGCCTTCGTCCACACCTTCGATGGTTTCACGGAAATACATGGTTTCCTCGAGCCCGAAAAAGACGATGACCGTGCAGACGATGAGGACGATTGTGCCGAACCAGATGGCGGCTTGCCAGCCCATGGCATCTGCGATGAAGCCGGCGAAGAAAGGGGCCAAAGAATTGCCGCCAAAGACGAAAAGGGCGTAGATGCTGTACAAGGGGTTGTCAGTCCAGGGTTCGCAATCCAGTCGGTGGAGGATTGGCAAGATCATCTGAACCGGCAGAGCTCTTGTCTTCTTACCCAATATAGTATCCTCTCTCATGCGCAAAGAACAGGTCAGGGACGGAGACTTCGGGCAGCGATTCCGTCGGGGCGGCGAAGAGGCCGATCAAGATGCGATGGCCGTACCAGTCGCCATTGGTTTTCGAGTATGCCGTCCAGACCATGGGTCCGATGGAGAGCAAGCTGGACAAGATATAGACGCCACGGCGTCCAAAGACCAGGGCGATCGGTTGCCACACCAAGCAGGCCTGCCGACGGTCAGTTTCCAAAGGGGTCAAGAGTCCAGACTGTGTGGCACAAAGAGGCATGGAGGACAAGCAACGCACCCAACCGAGAAAGAGGAACATCAGGCCGGCGCCGGTGTTCAAGGCCGAATACGAGATGCCCTCTGCGGCAATGTCGGCCAGGACCGAATACTGGACGGCGGTGGAGATGGAGATTCCAAACACGTAGATGTACACCATCCAGATGGCCCTCTGCTTTCGCCATCGCGGCCAGTTGAGGGGGTCTTCGGGATCGGCACTGGGGCGAGGGTTCAATACGATATCGCCTTGGTGAAGGGTATGGTGATCGGTGTCGACGAGGTGGATGGTTCCGGGCACAGCGTCCCGTATTCCTGGAGCCATGGTATCGCGGGCCGGCTGTGTTCAACACGTTGCAAGATGGAACAAGACTCACCGCTCAGCTTGATTCTTGAGGGGTCGCCATGATATAGATATTGAATCCCCGGCCGTTCCGTGTCCGATTCGAGGTTCCTGCAAAGAGAATCGACTCCATCGACGTCAAAACGATCTACATAGCGACCAAGCCTAGTCCGGAGGTAGGCCCGGGCCTGGTTGAGCCTTGCCCACTCTGGCTTATCTCTCCTTCCCTCCAGAGTCTGCTGGACGATATCTCGCCAAGGATTGCTATGGAGATGGGCTACATACCTGCTATGTAGGTACCTAAGGTCATTCATGATACTACGGAGTACGTACTTGAGGATGGGGATTGAAACAAGGCCGACTGGCCATGAAGATATGAAGATGGGGCAGTGAGAACGGACCCGCCAGGGTTTGTACCTAGGTAAGGAGACTGATTCGACGAGGTACAGTACTATACCCTATATTCCCCTATCTCTCCTTCCTGATCGGGAGACATCTGTCACACTAAGGCCAAGCCCCTTGGCCTCCCCAGCCTACTAGCATGGAATACCGTTGTCTAGGTATGATAGATGATACAGATCCTTTCCCAATCCATGTTATCTCACCTTCTCATGCACTTTCACACGATGGGCCATGGAGCGATCCGAAAGAAGAGGTCTGGGAGGCTGCCATCCTCGACTCTACACTCACCCTGGCCATTGAAAGAGGAAGGTGAGGTCGAGCTCGCATCACTCGTTCTTTTCTCTACTCCGTCGGTATATCTTTTAGTGCTGAGAGGAGGGACGTCGCCCTGAGAAACATTACCCGCAGACCAATAGGCGGCATTGGCTTTATAAGGACTTGAATGTCCTAGGCTCTGGAGACCTGCTACAGTTGCACACCGCGATTCCCACCTTTCACCAATCTCGACTCCTGCCTGGTCGTTTCCTACCGTCCTGAACATGGCCACCATCTGCTCGCCTCCGGCTGGATATCCTCCCGAGATCACCGGATATGCCGAACCTTGGATCGTGAGCCCTGGTGATCAGGTCTCCATCAAAGTATGAGCTCCCCTTCCTACCATCTGGTAGGCCCCTGGTGAGAAGTCACGCTCCTGGCTGGAAATGGACGAGTTACGAAGAGAGCCCGAAGGCGGAGGGGCTTATCGCCACACAGTACCCTCCCCTGCCTCATCTGGATACTGACAGTTTTGGCTTCAGATTTCGTCGACCGAGCCCGAGTACCAATACCAGACTGTGCGAATCATTCAAGGAGTCGACCTCGAGCATTCGCCTCCGAAACAAGAAGAGATCATCGCCACCATTCCCGCCGGCAAGGCACAGGGCCGATTCCAGCTTGCAAGACCCGGTTCCTACGCCATTGTCGACCGCTGGATCCCTGGATCCTGCTCGAAACAACTCGGCCGACTCGGAGTCTCCTTTTACATGCAGCCATGGCTCCCCGAATCCGGCCACACCCAAACTCTGGTCTCTGCATTGGATGTCAATCGCCACGTGGGATTTACGGCCGTCATCCTGCCCACGGGAACGCTGGAGTTCTGGCTTGGGACCGGGAGCGAAATCGAGGTTGTTCCCACTGCCTTCCGCCCGGCGAAGAAAAGATGGGTGCAAGTCGAGATGGCCGTGGACGGAACCGACTTTACTGCTGCCATCACGCCCCAGGCTCGCTTTGCCGAAGCCGGACTTCCTCCCGTGACGGTCAAGCATCAACTGAGAGGTTCGTTCGCCATGTTGCCAGATATCCCACTCCTCTTCGGCGCGAGCTATGCTCAATCCCCCAACGCCGCCGACTCGCGGCCCACCAACTTTTTCAACGGCCGACTCGATAGTCCGTGCATCAAGACAAACACCACCCCCCTGGTCAAGTTTGATTTTTCCCGGGACATGACCACGGATTTCATTGTCGACGTCTCTGGACATGGACACAAAGGTAAATTGGTCAACGCACCCACTCGGGCGGTCAAAGGCTACGACTGGGACGGCACCGAGCCGGATTGGACGCGGGCAAAGTACGGGTACGGGGCGATTCACTTCCACGACGACGATCTGGACGACGCGGAATGGGACACGGATTTCACCATCACCATTCCCGAGGACGTGCGTTCCGGGGCGTACGCCGTCAAGGTCGAGTCGACCAACAAGAAGACCTCGGATTACATTCCATTCTTTGTCCGAGCAGGCCAGGCGGCGGGCCAGACGCAGCAACGGGAGGGCAAGGTGGCGTTCGTGCTCTCGACCCTGACGTACCTGGCGTATGCGAACGAGCACCTGTTCGAGCGGGAGAAGCGACGATCGGCCATCGACGTCGGCCCGGGGTTTGACACGAGCTCGATCTGGCCAAGCGAGGATTTCGAGCGCCTGAAGCGCCGGTCTGACTTGGGCTTGTCTCCGTACGACGTGCACAACGACGACTCGGGCGTGGTGTACTCGTCGGCCAAGCGGCCGATCCTCAACCTCCGGCCCGGGTATGTGATGTGGGCGATGGCGCGGCCGCGTGAGTTCAGCGCCGACTCCCTCTTCATCGGCTTCCTGGAGCGCGAGCGGATCCCGTACGAGATTGTTACGGACCACGACCTGCACGCGCAGGGCGTGGCGGCCATCGCGGGATTCAGTACCGTCGTCACCGGCCACCACCCGGAGTACCCAACCTTGGAGTCCTACGACGCGTACATGGCGTACGCTGCACAAGGCGGCAACCTCATGTACCTGGGCGGCAACGGGTTCTACTGGGTGTCCTCGACGGACACTGCGACGCGGCCGCACCGGATCGAAGTGCGCCGCGGCGACCAGGGCGTGCGCACGTACGGCCTGCCCGGCGGCGAGCGCGTGCACAGCCTCAGCGGCCAAGCGGGCGGCATGTGGCGGTCGCGCGGGCGGGCGTGCAACGTCCTCTTCGCCGTCGGCTTCTCGGGCGAGGGCGCCGGGCCGGGTGTGCCGTTCGCGCGGACGGACGTGAGTGCTTTTAAAGATGCCAGCGCCAGGGCCAGCGTCGCCTGGATGTTCGAGGGCATTGGGCCAGACGAGCTTATTGGCCAGCACGGGCTCGGGCGCGCTGGCGGGGCGAGCGGCGACGAGGTCGACCGGTACGACGTTGCCAACGAGAGTCCCGAAGCCGCAATTGTCCTGGCTTCGAGTACGGGACACTCGGACGAGTTTGGCATCGCCCCGGAGGATACTACGTTTCCCATCGTCAACACCCTCGGCACCCAGACCGACCTGATTCGGTCGGATATCACGTACTACGTGACCAGTGCTGGGGGAGGAGTGTTTTCCGTCGGCAGTATGAATTGGTTCTGCTCGCTCGGCTGGGATGACTATCAGAACAACGTGGCCACCTTGACCCGGAACGTGATCCTGGGCTTCTTGAAGGGATTAAGATAGTGGGGGGGTAAGTATGTATATATGTGTGTATATACACCTACCACATATAGTATACTATATAGAAAGAATGTGTGTGTGTGTGTGTGAGAGAGAGAGAGAGTACACCTACCTACCCACGCATACCAGACTATATGGATAGATGGTGCGGTGTATAGTACTGTACACTATACACCGTACATCGTATACTATACATGGCTATGCATAACATGACAGAACGCATATGAAAGATAAGATGAACAATCCGTCGAGTTCGTCGCTCAAGTCCTGTATTGTATGTAGCTATTAGAGCGGTGCTGTGTGGTGCCGTGCTGTACGCTGCTGGAATTGAGGAAGGAATTGATAATCCAGATATGGAAGGACCGGGATCTCCCATTTCAAGCCTCCATTGATTATACCTAACCACCTACCTACCTATAATATATTATCATATCACTTAACTGCATCAAGAACTTATATTTGATTTACGACACCAAAGAGGTCTCTATACCCAAGGTATAGAGTACAGTACCAGGTCTAGTAATCATCATCATCGTCGCGGTCTACTGTATCCGTGCCGATTGGATCAGCTTCGTCATCTTCTGTGCTTCTGCTTCTGCTTCCGCTTCCGACCCCTCCTCTCCTCTCTCGGTCGGTTCTCGGTCCTCGACTGAAATCCTCCTACTACGTATCCGTATCCGTACTTGACACGCAACCACAACTACAACACAACTGCAACTGCAACCATAACACAACCACTTCCAGTAACCAAGACTCAGATAAAGCGCAATGGTCGACTTCCCGCCCCCGACACTCCAGCACGCGGCGGAAGAAGTGGCAGCGCTGCTGCGGGCGCGGCAGGAGACCATCTCCGTGGCCGAGACTGCCGCGGGCGGGCTGGTGTCTGCGGCGCTGCTGGCCACGCCTGGGGCGTCGAGGGTGTACAAGGGCGGGGTGACGTTGTATACGCTCGAGTCGAGGCTGGCGTTTGCGGGTTGGACGCAGCGTGACATTGACGAGTACGACGGGCCGACGCCTCAGCTGGTGGCCGGCCTGGCGGGCCATGTGCGCGACTCGTTGAAGTCGACCTACTGTGTCGGCGAGGTTGGTTGCTACCCTACCTCTACCCTCTACCATACCCCTTTCGTCTTCTTCCATCCCTTCGCCGTCAACCTTGACTCGACTCGCCTCTCTTGTCCCTTGCTTGTGCGGCGGTGGTGGTTGCAAGGCCCTGCATGTGTCGTTTCGTCTTATCCTGGCCCGAATCGGAATTGAACCCATACAGTGTATCTCCCATTTGTCCTGTTCATGATGGAGGCTGACGTCTGTCTGGTTGGACTTTCGCAGAGTGGAACGGCAGGGCCTACCGCTAGCGGCAAGACCCCCAACCGACAACCGTGAGTTCCAGGAATCTTTTTTTGCCCCCCTTCCCCAAGGTTTGCATTGGCAAACCAGTACGAACTAGTTCACCGACTGACACGTCTTTGGCAATCAAGGGGCTACGTCGCACTGGCCGTGGTGGGAGACAAGGGTGTCTTGAGCAGGGACTTGGATACAGGGCTTGGGGGGGATCGGCAAGCCAACATGGTCGCCTTTGCCGTCGAGGCATTGCGCCTGGTCAAGGAGTACATATCAACAGGTGGCGAGCCCGGTGCGAGTGGGAAGATCTGACCCAGGGGAAAAGAAATGTCTCGTCACATACACAGTAGTCTGTTTGATGGGGGGAAATGGCTTAGGCCTCCGTAGGATCAAACGGCAAATGAAACTTTGAATGTTCGGTTCTGGATCCCACTCGCACTGCTGCTGTAAGGCCCTGATCCCGGATTCGAGTGCCGTCGAGATCTCGTGGACGGCGAGACTCGCAGATGCAGTACTCCGTACTCCATACATAGCAAATCGAGCCGCCCTTCCAGAGAGGGGTTGGTTGTTTTGGCGTCGACAGTAGTGTAACGCGACGGCAGGTATTCCTACACATCGACTGGCCAGCGAGGGCTCTTGATGGTGGGCACGAGGCCGCAATCACAGTGATCAGATGGTGAAAGCTGACAGCCAAAAGCCAAAATCCAAAACGAGCATGGCCTGGATGCGCTCAAGCCGCGTCACAGAAGTGAAAGCTAAAAAACCCTCCGGCTGACACTTGCTAGCTGAGATCCGAGATTTCGGATCGCATCTGGCTTTCCGACATGGACTCGTGGGGTGGGAGCCTGGAGGGCAAAAGCACGTCCCAGCCACCTAGGTGCCAGCTGTAAAGGCCGACAGCAAGCTCCGCTGGTCCCCTGCTGCCATGCACCTACCATGCAGGACGCAGGCCAGAGATGATGGGATCCGTGAACCATAAACTGCGCCTGGCATGGCCACATCCCTGCCAACGATATGTACCAGCCCACTTGGGTGCATTGGGGCCCCCAGGGTCTTCAGGTCACTCGTCGTGGTGACAGGGAACAGAGGGTGGTGGGCTTGGGAGCAACCAATTTTCTGGGGTTCAGAAAGACCTGTCAGTGCTGTCACACCAGAGAAGGTATACCATTCATTCCTCTCTTTTTCCCCTCGTGGCTGAAATGGTGTGGTACTGAGGTGTTCCATTTGACAGCTGTCAAGTTCCGACAGGAACCAGCGTGCCACTCATACTCCTGAACCGTCGGCGATTTACACCGTACAAGTACCAGGACCTCGGAGGGCAATCACTAGCTTGTTCTCCGACGGGAAGCTGGCGGTCGGTCAGGTGAGGGCGTCGAGAGTTGCAGGGGAGGGGGGCGATCAGCAGAATCTACTATCCGTGCGGAGGATTTGCTTTTTCAGATGCCGACGAGGACGGCGCTAGTTAGAGGCAAGAGGTAAGAGGTAAGAGGTAAGAGACAAGAAATAGTTGGCGATTTGGTTGACCAGTCGGCGTGACAGTGGTAGTGGTAGTGGTAAGTAGTGCATGAGGGATAAGGACAAACAGAGCCTTGGGAGCTAAGCCCACCCGTCATCACCACCATCAGTGCTTAGGCCGTCACCATACTCTATGACGCCTAGGCACCTCTGGAAGGCTGGAAGCCCAGGCCCCTAAGCCCAGAGCGCAGGCTTAGGCTTAGGAGGCTCCAAGGATGGTTGAGGGTGGTCACTATTATTGTGGCAAGTGGTAAGTGGTAAACGGGCATAGCAGCCGGGAGGCTGAAATCCAATCATCGGTACAGTTGCAAGTGAGGCGGTCAAATCAACGCCAAATCACATCACGCAGGTTCCTCATGCCTCTAATAGGTACTAGGTAGGCTTAGGTACTAACAAGTAGGCTTGGGTAGGCGTAGGACGCTCAGAGGCTGCTAGACAGCCAATCAAGCCTCTCCGATCGCGAGCCCTTCTACTCTCGACCTGCTAGGTGCCTGCCCATCTCGATGATGTGATTAACAATTAGTCCTCGCTTGGGATCATGGCCACCATAACCCAGACCACATGGGGGCGCCCTAGTCTGACGCTCGGATCCGATGCAAAAGTCACACTCACATTCACAGTCACAGTCACCTCCCAGGAAACAGATCTCGAGATGATGAGGGAGGCGAGACGTGTTCGGCTGCCATGGATGTTTTCAAGGGCGGTTTCGTCGACAACTCCACAGGCTTTCGCGCTGACTCGAATCAAATCGAGGGACCAGGCACCTCTGCCGAACCCTCGTGGCAATGATAATGTCGAGCACCCGGGCCAGGCCCGAGCCAGTCCCTCCTGCCCAAGGCGCTAGGTTACAGCACGCTGACCAGCATAACGGCGCTTGTTTCAAACTGGGCGTGGTATCCCATTGCCTCCATCCCCATTGAAGATCAGGCATGAAACTTGCCCGGAGCCAGGAGCCATTAGCCCCCCATGGCCCATGGTAACACGACCCGAAGGTGGAATTCGACGATGACAATGCCGATCATCTCTGCAGTGTGGGAAGACGTCCAAAGCGGCTTGCGGTGAATAATGGAGGAGAACGCATATGTATGCGTACGTACGTAGTAGTAGTACCCTGTACTCCGTCCTTTATATTCCATGCAAAAGGTTAGCGGGCACCACGGGTTGGGTCGAATATCCGTGAAAAGCTTCGATGCGGTATAGTTGGAGTCCGCCGGAGGAGGTTGGCTATGGTTCATCTCGGTAGAGCCTGGAGAAGCCTGTCCTAGTCTTTGGATTAAGGAGATTGCAGAGTAGCATGTTGGGCCAAGGGGTAAAGAGTATGGAGTACGGAGTACGTACTCCGTACTGTACATACCTAACAGGTAGTACTCCGTACTCCGTACAGTACCTTGAGAGTATCCGTATCTGCCTCCGCCTTGAGTGATTGGACGGGCGCCAGTCACCTAGCAGTGGGCTTTCGCTTGTACCGTAGTTTCCACCGCAGGGCGCAGGACCATGTGCTCGAAGCGAGTAAAGAAAGGATCCGGACTGATGCGATTGCGATACGATACGATGCGATGTGATGCTGGTGCTGGTGCTGGCGCTGGCAGCTTGGACAATGGATGGTGTCAGTGCGTGACTTGCATACTAATTGTGACAGATATGGATACTACCACCTACCCAAGGTACTACTGGCCACTGCAGACTCCAGGGTCCTCCATACTCCGTAAGACTCCCGTCGTTGTCTTCCACACGCGAAACGGGACGTCGTGCCGTCTCGAGTACTTCCGTACTCGTGACCGTCCATTATTGTCCAAGTGGAGGGAAGCCGTGGGCCGTGGGCCGTGGGCAGTGTGCAGTGGAGTTGGCAGTGGGCACCGATTGAGATTGAGCCGCCTTCTCGGATCTTGTACCAGCATACCACGTAATAGTCCTGGTACTCCGTACTGTTGTAGGCATTATTCCGGAGCATGTTGTAGTGCTCCGGAGGTGCTGAGGAGGTAAGGAGTACGTACTCTCATATCCACCCACGTGGCGACACCGAGGGCAGGCTGCTACAGCTTCCCAGCTATCCAGCTAAGGACAAAGGAGGCACTGTTGCTGAAGAAGTGCGAGAGGCGATGTCACCTGTTACCGAGATCGTCAAAGAGGAGGAGCCTAAGCCCAGGAGGCGGTGGCTGGGAACTTGCATCATGCACCTGGTGTTTCAGCTTCCATGGGCCACCTGCAGCTTCTAGAATTTCCGACGTTGCGGGTATTGGGCAAAGCTGACGCCCCAATCCCAATTCGTCCGAGGTAAGTGAGCCATGCATAGGTATCGAGAGTGCCTCGGAAGGAGCCCGGGCTGCTGGGAGGGTTCAAGCTGAGGCTGCAGTGGACAGCTAGGCTACCGAAGTATACTTGTGTGGTAACGACAACTGGACGCGGTTTCAGGATGAGTAGCTGTGGCAAGGCTTGATGCGCCACTCGAACAGTCACAGTATCAAACCTCTTACCAGATAGGTAGCTGTACTCCGTACCTACCTAGGTTTAACTACCTAGACGTACCTGATGCTCCTTCCTGCCTGCGGACACGACAACTGGAAGGAGTGTTTCCCGGGCTATTTTTCCAAGGCTTAGGAGACTCCGAAGCTCCGAGAGTCCCGCCTAGGCAGGTACCTCTCTAGCAGTAGTACCTGCCCATCCTTGTACGGTCACTGCCTGTGTTGGATCGATGTTTCGCACAGGTTCGTCTTCGAGGTATATGAAGTTGCTTTGGCTTTGGACAGCGTCCAGCTGTTCGGGAGAGCTTTTTCACCTAGATGGAAACAGTACCTGGTGCCAGACACGATAAACTCGGTCCGGGTACGGGGGCGGAATATAGATGGATTACAGCCGGTGCGCGGGTCGGCTATTGCTAATTAGCAGAGGACAGCCACGTCCTGGCCACTGACTACTAATAACGCTACGGCCTAGGTTTTAGGGCCCCTTAGCCGTGAGCCTTAGGGCCTCAGCCACCTAACGCCTTAACCCACCTAAGAAGCTGTGTTCTGGCTCTTCCCGGGCCATCTTTTAAATTACTAGGTATCTAGGTAGGCACCTAGGTAGGCAGAGATACTCCTACTGCCTACCTTAGGTAACTAGGTACGCATACACCCCGGGCATTACCTACAACGAAGAACCTCGACGTCCTAAAGCCTCCTGAGCCTTATCAGGTACGAGTAGTAGGTAGTAGGTAAGGTACCTACCGAGGTACTCCTACCTTGGGCAGTCCGGGACCTGCGGAGTTCTGTCCTGCACCGTCATAATGATGGCACTACTGGCACTGGCACGCGCACTGCCAACTTCGAACTTCCTCTCTCCCTGGCACCTCCAGCACCTCCACTGGCAGCCTCCGTCTCTGTCTCCATCAAAGCACACTGCACGCATGATGAACACTCACTCTCTCGCCGCTCGCTGATCGGGTCCGCTGCAGGTCCACTGCTTGCTTCACCATTTGCAACTAGCCCCTCATTCGCCCACCTGGCTAAAACCAGCCTCGGACACCGCCTACTCCCTGACGGGGTCATATCCTTAGGCCCTTAGGTCCTTAGGCCTCAGCCTGCGGCCTTAGGAGCCGTCTCAAGCCGCTCTACTTGGTTACCATTCTCTTGGGTTTGTCTCGCCTTGCCAGCTAGGAGGCGCACGCGCTAACAGGCGTTAGCAAGCCACCCTCAGCTCTAGAGTTCCAGGGCCGATCCTTTCTGCTCCGTTCAAGTTTGCCTCACTCCTCCCACGCAAGCCAGGGACAGACATACGGAGTACAGCTAGCCCAACAACCCCGTTTGGGCCTCACCGCGCAACGCAGGTTCGTCAGTACATACTCAGTAGCGCGAGTCAGTGCCAACCCTCCCCCCAAACCCACTCCTCCGCCTGTCCCAAGCCGCCAATCCGGTCCTCTACAGCCTCCCTACCAGCTACTGCGCTGCCTGGCTTCATTGGAGCTTTTTAGTGTCTACCGACCTTCCCGAGTCGAACATCTCAAGAGTCAAGACCAGACCCATCACTACATACTAACAGAGAATATCCATCCCACCGCGATTCCTTCCTACCCGAGCGACTGGCCGACCGACCGCCCGCCCGCCCGCGATCGGCACCTGCGAACTTAGACCCGTCCTTTTCTTTTGTTGCAACTTGCAAGCCTTCCTTCGCCCTGTTCTTGTACTCGTACAGTAACCTCCAACGGTCGTGGCCGCTGATCACACTCAGACCCAAGACCCAGACCCAGACCCAGACCCCGAACTGGCAACCTAGCACCCTGGCTGCGTACCCGTCCACTTGGTTGCCTCATAATTCCGCCTCGGACTTTATCCCCACCGCTTCTCCGAGGCGTGTCAACCACAACCACTACGGCACAAACCGCACTCGGCGCATCTTCTTGTTCCATTCCATCACAATCACAAGTCACACCCAGCGATCAAGTCCAATCCAGGCCAGATCAGACCAGACTGCTGCTGCCGTTGCCGTTGTGCCTACTATATCAAATAACTCCTTCTTTGCGACTGCGCTGCCGAGCTGCTTCCTCGAATCGCGCGCATTGGCCGCAAGCTGGACGTTCCGCCGGACCCCGCGCTCTTGAACTTCTACTGGAGCTCAGCAACACGTCGACCAAAGCTCAATTCTTTACAATCCAGTCCCCCGGTTTGGAACCAGGCCTGGTTCGCATCATCGGTTCATACTTCTGATCGCTTGACCTTTTTCCTTGTCGTTTGGGCCGGTGGTTTTTGTTTGTTGTTTGCCAATCGACAGTGACCGTCCTCACCGCCGTCGCCAACCTCTGTCCCGCTCATCCACCATCCACCATCGAGTTGTGACCGGGCCTGTCTGATCGGTGCTGCAGCCCTGCGGGTTCGCTATCAACCCAAGAGAAGCCGACTGATTGCGACGGTAGAACACGCCGCTGTTCTGCCCCGGTCGACCCAGCCATTGGCCACCTGACCGACTTTGCTTTGTTCGCCTTGGTTGCGGTCGCCGACGGGATCTCTGCAAGCTTACCTGCACGGGAGCTGGGAGGGACACCCGTTTGCCATGAGCCTTCCTGTTGATTGCGCGTCCCGCTTCTCTGGTGCATAAGGTCATGCCGCATTTGTTGTGCTACGTGTCCTTGGGTATAGAGACGAGGGAGGTACGGGCTTGTTTGCTACACACGGGATCCAAGGTTGAGAATGGCGGAAATGGGTGACGTGGATTTGAAGCACGATCGATCCAATCCTTACGCTCCTCCGCCACCAAATCCTATCCACCGTATGCCGCCAGCCGAAACCCCTCCGTTACACAGCTATCCTCCTCCGGCTCTGCCTCCACCTCCAGGGTCAGCGATGCCACCGCCAGCCCCGGCATGGAATCCAACGCCTTCGCCTTACAGTGACCACTCTGACCATCGCCCACCTCCTCCAGACATCTCGCACCCGCCGTCGTCGTATCCAGCTCCGCCTCAATCGTATCCGCCGCCTCCACCACCACCACCTCCTCCTCCTCCTCCCGGGCGGGAGACGCCAGGTTATCCTCCCGATCCAGGACCTTACGGACGCCCAGGAAGCGTGTCAGGGCCATCGAGATCGCCCGCCGAAGTTCATCATCCCCAGTATCACCCTGTGAATAGCCAGCCCCACGAGCCTCCATACTATTCGCCGAGCCCTGTTGACTATAGACCGCGTCATGCGTATTCGGGCCCCGAGAACCAGCCCAACGGAACTCACCCGGCGCCGCTTCACGTCGTGACAGGCCATGAAATGATGCCGGGTCAGCCTGCTGGGCCACCGCCGCAGTACGGGCCACCCTCCGCGGGACCGCCTCCCCAGCCGCCAGCCGGCTATTATTACGACGCCTACAGCGCAGCCCAAAGACGCAAACCTGTTCGAGCAGCACAGGCATGCGATTCCTGCCGCCAACGGAAGGCGAAGTGTGACGAAGGGAGGCCGGAATGTCAACACTGCAAGGAAAACGGCTTGAAGTGCTCCTACCGAGAAATTCCTCCTCAAAAGTCGGAGAAACAAGTCCTCGCCATCACCACCCAGTTGGAGAATTTGAGCGAGGATATGAAGAAGTTGGTCGAGAACTCCAAGGCCCAGGATGAAAAGATAAATCTGTTGCTCGCAGCCCTGGACAAAGTCCGTGCGGTCCAAGCGGCGGGAGGAGGAGGGGCGGAGACGCCCGAAAAGCAGAGACCCAGGTTCACCCAAGTCCAAGCACCCACCAGAGTGGCCATCCCGAACGAGCCTACCTCGTTCGTCTTCGGCCGCCAAAGGGAAAAGAGTGTTGAAGGGATGTCCATGTCGCGAGTTCCCAGCCAGGCCTTAAGACCTGAGCTCAAAAGCCACGTTTCCAATGCCGATACGGATTCCATGGACTTTTCCATGCCCCCCAAGCACACGACGGCGGCTCAAAATTTGCTCTTTTGGCCAGCGATCAATGCTCTCGTTCCTGATGGCATTACACCTTCCTTTGTCATGGACGAGGAGACAAGTCGGGGCCTATTACGCCTGTACGGCTCCGGCGAGGGCGATGGCAAAGGCGACGGCCGTGAGAGTGCGTCAAGTCCGGCGGGCAGTTCTTCGTCAGATGGGCGGCGCATAGATGATGAAATATCATCGTCACCGTACGGCGTCTGGGGCAGTGGCCAGATCCCTCAGCCACCGGCATCGAGTCCTCATGGCGGGTTCATGATTGATTCCGAGGCAGTGGATCGCTATTTCAAGAGCTATTTAGACAACATCCACATTCTTCACCCCTTTCTCCACCCGAGGGCCTTGCGCAACATGATCCAGTCCTTCAAGCGAAAGTACAGCTGGAACTCGCGGGCCGCGCAGCCAGTGGCCACGGCCATAGGCACCAAACGAAAGCGGGAGAATACCGACTCGCCCACTTCCATGGAGGAACTCAACACCCAAGGCAGCTTCGCTAATCGCACTTCCACGCGAGTGCCGGTTCAGTCCAGTCCGCCGCAAATCGAGCATTCGATGGACAATGCCGTTGTGCTACTTGTCATGGCCCTGGGGAAGATCACAGCACATCGCGATCCCTTGCCCGGACCGGCACCGACGACCAGTGTGCGGACTTCAACACCATACAACAACACGCTGTACTCGGATCTACCCTTGCCACCTGTGCCCATGTCGGCTCCTACCTCTCCGTTCAATACTCAAACAAATCTCAATGGAATAAGCGGTGACCGATATCTCAGCCCCGCCAATCCACGGGCCAAAAACATGGACACCATGCCTGGACTGGCGTATTTTGCCAAAGCCACTGTCATTCTGGGGGAGCAACCGGGGGGCCATGATCTCTCACACATCCAAGCCTATCTCTTGGCCGGGTTGTACATGGGACAGCTGGCGCGCATCATTCCCAGTTACTCCTACATCAATCAAGCTTGCGTGGCAATTCAGATTGTCATCGAGTCGCCGCCGTACTTGTTGTCGACGATGAATCCTGTCCGCCGTAACTTGATCAACTTTGCCTTCTGGTCATGTTTGCAGCTGGAGAGCGACATTGCAGCGGAGATGCAGCTCCCCCTAAGTGGCATCACACGATATGAAAGCTCTCACCACAAGGAAATGCCCACCGATCTCACCCTGGAACCGATTCCCGAAACCAACACCTCGGAGGATATCTTGCGCTATTACTCGTACCAGATTCAGCTACGGTTGACCATGAATAGCATCCATTCGACGTTGTACCGCGCATCGAAAGACCCGCAGTCGAAACCAAGCGCCACCATCATGGCGATTCTGGACGAGAATCTGGAAGACTGGCGAAAGATGCTGAATGATTGGGATTGGGATGACCAGGACCACGAGAGCCCCAACATCAATGTTGCGCGGATGCGAGGCAAATACTATGGAGCCAAATACATCATCTGGAGGCCGGCGGTGCAGTATGCTCTTCAACAAGCAGAGGGAATGCAACGAGACCGGCCGCTGGAGTCGCCTGCCAGTTACGGCCTGGGGAGTGAGTTTGCCTCACCTTCGGGTTTACCGCGGCCTCCTGCTCAGGGGTGGTCGATCAATGATCGAAGTGTGGAAATCGACGACCTGCTGCGTGGCGCCAAACTGTGCATCCAGGCCGCCATTCGTAGCACGACGGTTTTTGACAAAGTGCCCCGCCGCCTAGTTGTTACCAACATTTTCGGGACGGCTCATGCGTAAGTGGCACACTCTCCTGGTTCAATCCAAGCATGCTGACAGATGCAGACAATTCGGGAACATGCTGGTGCTCTATGCCACATATACCTCACCGCACCCGCGATTGCACGCCTTGGTGGATGCGGCCACTCTCAAACGATTACACAACCGCACAGTTAGCATCCTACGAGAGAATGAGAGCATCTCACCCATTCTGGCCAAAGACTTGAAGATTCTGGAGCACGTTCGAAGCAAAGTGTTCCCCTCTCAGACCCAACCGTCGCAAATGCCGCCTAGCACCTCTTCAAGTTTTTCTAGCCGATGAAGGCGAGGCTGAAAAGAAACTAGCCAGGTATTGCGAGATTTGATCCAAGTTGACTTTTCTTAAAATTCCCCCCATTTAGCGGCGGTCTCGTCGAAGCGTTCAGCATTCAAACCAGCATTTTCCCAGACATTCCATGGAGTTTATGATATCGATACGGCCAACTGGGAGGAATTTTCTTCATTATTACAGGCCGCCTTGCTCTTGCCAGCCATTTGGTCAATGTCGCCTGCCGACACCCTGCCATAGGAGTGAGGATGGCGGGAGGAACTACGACACGAAGGACACGGCTCGCTCACCCCCCGAAGAACATTGTTACAGAGGAATACGGCACTGACGGCTGGCTTGGCGACGGTTGTGTCTGCAGAATTTCAGGAGATATCCCCTTTGTTGTATATGGTAACAGCGCTTGTCATTTCCCTTTTGATTTCCTTGGCTATACTCGACGGGGACGGAAGAGACGGAAGCGGGGATGTTTCAGGGTCATCTGGGGGTCAGATTAATAGGGAAGATAAAACATGTACTACTACCATAACCACAGAAATAACAACGCGAGATGTGAAGGTGGTCGTTCTTGTAGCCAAGATATCAATCACCGACTCTTCGTCACTTGCTCAGCCTCAGTCTTAGCGTTGGTCTCCGCCACTGGTGTCGTGTCACGGCCGGGGGTGATGGTAAGTACGCAGTACTCCGTACAGTGACTAGGGACGGTTTCGTTGCCCACCGCCAGCACTTGCAGCTTGAGACGGAAGTTTTTTGGGAGGGGCGCGACGGCACGGCCATATGTCCGTTCAGAGGCTGAGGGGGACTGAGGAAGGCTGAGGAAGGCTGGGAGGAGCAGCAGACAAGCCTTAGCCTTGCATAAGATGGTGGAGGTCGGCGTCGGCGTCGGCATCGGCATCACACATGAATGAATGACATGACAAGATGCAGATTTGTGGCTGAGCTGCGGACGACGGACGTCTACAGTAGAAGCATGCACTGTACGGAGTTATAGAGGATTATGGAGTACGTACCTAATGTACATCATGATCCCTGCCTGTCCTGGACGGACTCGGTTACTGCAAACGAGCCAGGAACACGTCACCCGGCGGGCTGTCAGTCACGGGCTAAGGCGCGTCGGTAGCCGCTCAGCCGCTATGTAATTCCAGTCAGACAGCATGCTGGTGCTGGAACAGAGCTTGAAAAGGCGCCGGTTCATGTGCATGTCCTCATGCAGGTCTCACCCATTATTTACTACTACCGAGTATAATAATCAACGTTTCCAGAAGCATCGGCAGCCCAAGTCCAAGGTGGCATGCGAGAGAGACCCTTCTTGCCCCTCAGCTCCCAAGTTCGTCCACGCCCAGCTGCACTACTACTGCACCTGAAAGACAAAGACATCTCTTCGCCTCTCTTGGCGTCTAGCCATCCATTTGCCTCTCAGGGCATTCATTCTCCTAACCACTGTTCCCGCCTCTTCTCACCACCTAAACAGACTTGTCCGCCGGCATGGAGCAGAACCAGTTGCGCCGGAAGGACACCACCAAGGGTCCGCCACTGCGCATTTTATCTCTGGGTACGTCGAGACCAACTTAAGTACATGACCTGATACGCTGACCTCAACGACAGACGGTGGAGGAGTGCGCGGCTACTCCATGCTCATCATCCTCCAAGAGCTCATGCATCGGGTCTACGTCGAAACCGAAGGCCGACCTCCCAGCCGAGATGCGACCCCCAAGCCCTGTGACTATTTCGACCTTATTGGCGGGACTGGAACAGGTGGACTCATCGCCATCATGCTTGGCCGACTGCGCATGGATCTGGAAACATGTATGGACGTCTATGGGAGAATGACCAGGAGAGTGTTCGAGACCGACAAAACCTTTGCCGGTATTCCGTACAAGCAGACCTTGTTCAAGGCTTCAAAACTCGAAGACGCTATCAAAGAGTGCGTTCGTGCCCACACAGTCTTTGAAGACGAAGGAAACGATGGAACCGCCACGGGCGGGAGAGAGTTCCAAGATTTGAGCAGCCCGGTGAGTGCCACCAGCGCTGTCGCCGTGAGGAGATCCATGAGTGTTCGGAGCGGGAACTCGGTCTCAAGTTCAGTCAACCCCCGAAACTCTCTCATCTCACCTTCCGTTCCCGCTTGGGGCAACGCGAATGCCAGCTTATACGACGGGCGCGAAAATCGCACCAAGACGTAAGTGTTGGGCCATTGTCATCCACACCGAAACAGACTGACAGTAATAGTGCGGTAACGGCTGTCTATCAAGGAACAAATCCACGGACCGGTTCTTCCGTCCTCCTGCGGAGTTACGACTCGAGAAAAGAGCCGGCTCCCGAGTTCAACTGCACGATATGGCAAGCCGGTCGGGCTACGTCGGCTGTAGGATTGGCATTCAAACCCATCCAGATTGGGCACTCCATCTTCCATGACGAAGGGGCTGGTAAATACAATCCGGCACCGCAGCTGCTTGAAGAAGCCACCGTCAATGAGTGGCCGGGTAGGGAGGTGGGTGTTTTTGTCAGTATCGGTACTGGGAAGCGGCCTGAGGGGACCGACGGGAGGCAGCACGAATGGTGGGAAGGCTTTCTTGGAGGCGGCCTGGGCGCATTTGCCGAAGCACGGCGTCGCCTTATGGCCAAGATTGAAGATTGCGAGGAGATCCATCACCAGATGCTCAAGTCCGAGTTGGCCAAGCGCAGGGTTCCTGTCGAGAACTATTACAGGCTCAACGTCTCGGTCGGAGTCGGTGGCTACGCGATGAACGAGTGGCAACATCTCAGCGAAATGACGACCAACACCAGAAAATATATTCGAGAAGAAACCAGTCAGAGGATGCTTGTCGATGCGGCAGTCAAAATGGCCAAGATCGAGCTCATGAAGAGGCGTCAAGAGCACCACTCAGACACACACAGTCGAGACTCCAGCTGGTCACACCGGCAAAGGAACATTCCAGCCTCTCCTCGTGTTGCTCCATCCCATCCCGGGGCTGTGGAGCTACCTGCCGACGACACAATGCCAAACACACCGCCTCAGCAGCACCGAGTACCAGGCAATCCCCCGTATCCGAACGATGTGCTTGCTTCGTCTCAAGATAAGTTCTCGTTGGTTCCAGGAGAGTCGACACCACCAAGGTCATCCAGTGATCTGCCGTATCGCGGCAAGGATGACAGGATCCTATACCAGCCGTCACCTGCCCCTTCGACATACAGTTCTTCAGAGCCACCACCAAGACCGCCGAAGACTCCGATCAATGAGCCTGTCTATTCTACACGCCCCCGCCCGCATCCCTCTCCTGCCAGGTTGAACGGAGCCTCCCGACCTCCATATCCCGATTACGACGATGGACCACCCCCCATTGTCAGCAAGCTCAGAAAACCAGAATATGCCCCGAGGTGATGTTTAGGAAGTAAGAGACCGTCCCTTTGCACGTACTCGGTACTGTCGATCGCAACTAGGACTAGTGGTCTCGATTGAATTTGGCGAGCCTCAGATTTATTATGATGATATGACGTTACGACACATCCTTGGAATGCAGAGATACCCACGATTCAGAAATGGAAGATGCAAATCCGGAACACAGTGGAAACAGTTGCTGGATGAGAAAAACTCTACGGTCCAATGGTCGTTGTCCCGCACGAATGTATGTTTGGAGGACTATACCTCAATATTAGAGGCAGCTGTATGAGACGGGCAAACGTAAGAGTCTAGGCAAACAAATGTCAATTTCTATGTGCTGTTTTGCCATTGCCGGTTTGTCAGGCCCTCCAGTTGCTTGCTAATTTGCAACTTGGTCCATGTCATGCTGATATCTTAATTCTCATCATTTGTTCATGCATGTTCTCCAATCTTACAATCTTTTGGGTCGCGATGCCGTCAAATGGACAAATACGATTCACGAATCGCAAGGGAATTGTCTACAGCGTCAGCCGGTTCGGTATTATCAGGTCTAAACACTCCAAAGTCTCTGCTCCAATCTTGTCTTACAGCTCATCTTTGACTATGGGAGGCTTGTGGGGTGGCGAGTATGGGCAAGAAGATGTCAGCTACGGCGCCATCAGAGCGGAATGTGTCGACGTCGATGGCGGCTGGGAGCACGGTGGCAATGAACCAACGCCTTTGCCTTTCCGTCCGAAAGGGGACGCAGGAGCAAACCGCAAACGACCCGAGCATCGCAAAGCCGCTGGGCAACACCACCATCCCGGTGGCTCTCACTCACGACAACGACCAGCTGCTTGTCCCCCTCCTGTTCACTATGAGACGCAGGACTCCCTTCCATTCTGCACCGCGGCCCGCAAGCTCCGGGTTACGTTGACGCGGTCGATCGACTACTTCAAGAGATTCTACCGCGAATTTCAGAAAGAAACGAGGGCTCTCTCTACGTATGCCGACCTTGACCTGATCAACCGGGCCTGGCAGAGAAAGATTCGAAACAGCGAGCGATACCTTAGGCCTCGGAGCAAGGGAGGCAAAGACAATGCGGGAAGAAAAGACCAAGGCGGTTTTCCAGGAGACAATACGAACAACAGCGACAACGGCAACGGTGGCACCTCTGGTCAGGATGCGTGGAAATCCTCTATCCGTGAGGACATGACCTATGAGGCCACCATACCAGATCTGCGCACGTTTTCGGAACTACAGAGAGAGGTGATTGAGCGCGTCACTGCGTTGTACCAGGCCAAACTCCCCCAATCACGTCTCCGCGCACCCACCGACAAGCACAGCTTGTCCTCCTACCCGAACAGCCCATTCGGATCCTACTCCGATGATGAGGACTATTCTGGTCCCGAGGACCGCCAGATCCTTGAACAATGGAAGCTGGCGCTGACATTGAAGCGACACGTGCAGGATTCGTATGGACAACTGATTCGAGTAGTGAGGGCAATGGACAAGGATTACATGGCCGTGACCCCAGCGGCCAGGGAGCTCGAAATGCTCAAGAGGGATTTGGAAATCTACCGCCGCGGTTGGGACGAGACATATCGGAATGAAGAAGATGACGAGGACGGTGACGAGGGTAGAGGAGACAAAAGCCGTGCTGAGACGGAGGAGATGGCGGCTGGTGGTGGCTTTTAGTAGGGGTGAGAACAGGCGAAGCAGGCAACGTCTGGAGTGCATCATGTACCTACCTACCTACCTACCTACCTACCTACCTACCTAGGTCCTACCAGCTACCTTCTACCTAGATACCTTTCTATACCTTAGCTGAGGTAATTAGGTACTTAACTAGTAGAAGGTTGTCGCCTTGTCGAACTTAGGCACTAACTTTGGCATTCCAGCCTTGCCAGAAGGCTGGTATAGGCACACCTATATAGTCTGATTAGGGGCTCCCCCTTTGATAGGAACAAGGGCGGTCACTGGGTAATGCGGTAGTGGTGTAATGGTTAACCCGATTCTAGGGCAAAACATACGAGCCGATATGCACATATATCATGTTTGACGCTCCGCTGCACGTCGCCTCCCTCCAGGCATCAATTGATTCCCAACCCGAAATCCACCATCGCACAATGTAAACATGCCGGCGGCATCTTCTCAGCCGCCGGTCAAGCTCTCGCTTCCTCTGGTGAGTATTTGCTGGACTCTTGTGGCTGCTCCCGACGACGCCGTCGCTTTCGCCGTCGACCGTGACTAACGTCTTCTCCAGCAGTTCCAGCAGGAAATCTACCATCTCCTTCGCGGAGAAGATGTTCTTGTCATCCTTGCCCGGGGCCTGGCCCTTCTCAAGGTTGTCACAAATCTACTCCATTCGTACGATGCTGCGGGCAACTCCCTTGTGATCATCGTTGGAGCAGAAGACCGCGAGAATGAATGGATTGGGGAGGCTTTGGCAGAGCACTATGCCATCTCAAGGAGCCCATTGTCCAAAGGTCTTCGCGTCATCAACACTGACAAAGCCACCGTGGCAACCCGCGAGAAGATTTATTCCGAGGGCGGCATTGTCTCTGTTACCAGCCGTATTCTCATCGTCGACTTGCTGTCGAAACTTCTGGACCCAGAGACTGTGACTGGTCTAGTTGTCCTTCATGCGGAACGCGTGGTCGCCACGAGCATTGAGGCGTTCATTGTGCGGATCTTCAGACAGTTCAATAAGATTGGGTTCCTCAAGGCCTTCAGCGACTCTCCAGAGCCTCTGGCATCATCCTATGCGCCGCTGGCGGGCTTGATGAGAAACCTATTCTTACGCAAGCCATCCCTTTGGCCCCGATTCCACGTCTCCATCGCACAGAGCTTGGAGGGAAAGAAGAAAGCGGATGTCATTGAACTGGAAGTGCCCATGACCGAAGCTATGCAAGCGATTCAGAACGCCGTCTTGGAATGTGTCGAGGTCAGCATTTCCGAACTCAAGAAGGCGAACACTGGACTGGAGATGGACGACTGGACGCTTGACTCGGCTCTTCATCAGAACTTTGACGCCATTGTTCGGAGGCAACTCGACCCAGTATGGCACCGAGTCAGCTGGCGGACGAAACAGATCGCCAATGATCTGGCGGTCCTCAGGTCCATCCTCCATTCGCTTCTCAGCTACGACTGTGTATCGCTTTTGAAGTATTTAGACACCGTCCTCGCCACGCACTCTCCTCCTCCTGGGTCTACGAGGCAGAACCAGTCGCCGTGGTTGTTCCTGGATGCCGCCGCCACGATCTTCCGGTCTGCTAGGGACAGAGTGTACAGCGGGAAAGTGGAAGATGGCAATGTCTTGCCAACCTCAAAACTGCCAGACTCTCTGAGCCCCGTGTTGGAAGAGCAGCCGAAGTGGGAGGTTCTGGCCGAAATTCTTCAAGAAATCGAAACAGACGCATATCTGAATCCCACCCTCAGGGACGACTCAAATCAAACCGTGTTGATCATGTGTAATGATCAGAGGACTTGTCGCCAGGTGCGGGAATATTTGCAGACCATGCACGTTAAACCGCTACCTCAAGACATGGGCGGTGGCCACGCCCCCCACGAATTGGAGGAAGAAGAACAGAAGGGTTCGGCCGAATTCATGATGCGACGAAAACTGCGAGAATATCTGGGATGGCGGAAGACGTTCGCCCAGGTCAGCGCCTCCCTGTTCACTGAGAACCAGAAATCCCTCAATGATATCAAGGGAACCACGGCGGCCGGTCGACTGAACAGCAAAGCGCCTGCAAACAAGCGAAGGCGCGTCAGAGGCGGAGGAAGCGCGGGCTTCAATCCTTCAAGGACCGCCTATGGCGCTGTCGCCGCCGTCGAAGACAAAGCTGCCCAGGTGGCTGGTCTTCTCGCCGAATTGCGGCCAACAGAAACGGAGTCACTTCAGAAAGAAGACGTGATAGTCGACGACTTGGACGATGCTAGAGAAGGGTTTTTTGAGTTGTACGATCCCGATGATCAGGTCGTTGTGCACCCTTATGATGGAGATCAAGATGATCAGCTACTCGAAGAGCTCAGGCCCAAATACATTATCATGTACTCACCCTCTGCCGACTTTATCCGGCGAGTGGAGGTGTACCGATCCAGCCATTCGGACAGGAGTGTTCGTGCATACTTCATGTACTATGGCGGAAGTGTGGAAGAGCAGAGGTATCTTTCGGCCGTCCGCCGCGAAAAGGACGCGTTCACCAAACTCATCAAGGAACGAGGCAGCATGGCCGTGACCCTCACTGACAGCAACATCGATCCACAGGAGGCCTTTCTCCGAACGGTCAACACTCGCATTGCTGGTGGCGGGCGACTCGCAGCCACCGCTGCGCCGCCGACGGTGGTGGTCGATGTGCGCGAATTCCGCTCGGCTCTCCCGAGTCTGTTGCATGGGCGCAACATGCAGATCGTTCCATGCCAGTTGACGATTGGCGACTATGTGCTGTCGCCCAGCATCTGCGTGGAGCGCAAATCCGTGCCGGACTTGATCGCGTCCTTCAAGAACGGGAGGCTGTTCAACCAGGCGGAAACCATGCTGCAATACTACAAGTACTCGTTCCTCCTCATCGAGTTCGACCATAACAAATCCTTTACCTTGGATCCATTCGCCGACCTGACCTCGGTGTCGACGCTGAAGATGCCGGATTCCGAGACCAAGGATTTGCAATCCAAACTAGTCCTGCTCACGCTTGCGTTCCCCCGGCTCAAAGTGATCTGGTCATCTTCGCCTTATCAGACGGCCGAGATCTTTGAAGAACTCAAGAAGCAACAAGAAGAACCAGACCCGCTCCGTGCCGTACAGATCGGATTGGCCGATGACGAAGACCCCGAAGAGAAGACCTTCAACACCGGCCCGCAGGATCTGTTGAGGACCATCCCAGGCGTGACCGCCAAAAACGCCAGCCGGCTGTACCTCGAGACCAAGAATGTTTTGGACCTGGCAAACATGAGTCTGGAAGAACTAGACTCTCTGGTGGGAATAGAGGCCGGTAGACAAATCGTGAGGTTCTTCACAAGGAGCGTGTTCGAAGACGAGGACTAGGCGAGGGCACGTCGATGCGCCGTCACCGACGCCGCCCACAGGCCACCCACCGTGTTGGGCTTGAAGAATCGGCGTGCTCGCATATTAGTTTGAGCACAATGCTGAAAGTGCCTCCACGCGACCACGATCACTGTGGACATGGGGTGCTTTAGGGGCCGAGGCGGAAGCTCCCAGCAACGAGAGAGAGTCCGACCCTACACTGAAGGCGGCACGAACACGGTCATACAGTCACGGGTTTGGGAACAATGATCACCGTCCAAAGCCGGGCGGGCGCAGTCTTCTTCCTCAGATTTGTGCCCTTTGCCGTGTGGCTGACACCCAGGTACCAGGAGGCACCAGGAGGGATCAGGAGGGACCAGGAGGGCTGTTGACACGTTTACCAACCCCGCAACTATGGCGTGACGAAGCAAAGGAAAAGAATGGCACATAATCAAGCAACCGACGTAGTGATGATCAGAAGAGAACGAAAATTCAATGGCAAGAAAAGTGGCATTTGCACTGGTCATGTTGACCCATCCCCGAACTCCATTCATCCCAGAACCATTGTATTTGTGTGAATGCTGGTACAGCAGCAGAAATCTGATCGTCATGAAACCTCGACCAATCGATACCCGATCCAACGAGGACGCTGTGCTTTTTTAAATGTCGTCAATGTCCACTTCCTTGTCCGTGTCGGTTTCCCGATCTTCGTCGAATTCGACGTTGTCATCGACGCCCTCGTGGCCATACGTGTCGGTTTCGTTGATTTTGGCACTCTCGGGAAGTTCGCCGTAAGCCTTGAGTGATCGGGCCTCGTCGGCGGAATACTTCAGAATCACATCGCCTTTCTCATCTTGGTAGTCGCGCAGCGAGAGAAGGATAATGTCGCCCTGGTTGATCCAGACTTTCTTCCGCAATTTGCCGCGGATGTGTGCCAGACGCTTCTCGCCGTCGAAGCACAGCGCCTCCAGGCGCCCGTTGCCCAGCATTTTCAGGACCTGCGCATATTCTTGTCCTTCTTCTTTGAAGGTAAGCTCACGCTTTTCGTTGTCGTTTTCGTTCTTGCCACGACGTCGATTCTTGCCACCCTGTACAGAAAGAGAGATTAGCTCCATTCATTGTCACAAGACTAATTCATCCGGCAACGCTGTTCTCTGTTCTCTATTCTCTGTTCTCGCCACCAGTGCGAGAGGCGGGGTTGCAGCGCAGGTGAGAACTGTGCAGGCGGGGTGCGGTGTGCGGTGTGCGGTGTGCGGTGTGCGGTGTGCGGTGTGCGGTGTGCGGTGTGCGGAAGCGGGTTGCTCACCTTTCCCTTGTTCTTAGGCATATTGACGGCGCTTCACTGGTAAACCCGGACTATCGATGTCGGCCTGCAACAAGTGCAGTGATGGAGCGACAGAGTATGCGTTATGGTTTATCAAAGTAGGGTCGAAAGAGAGAAATACCTTATTTGAAGGGCAAATATGAAGTTGACGCTGGTGGTCAATAATTGGTGGGGCAAAATTTCCCGATGAGTCAAAGTCTTGTTTTGTAAAGTGTGCCGACTGCAGTGGCTGCGCTGCAGCTTCATCGTGCAAGTAAATAGGTAATGGCCTACATACCATTTGGCTTCACGATTCCTTCCACCACACCACCATTCTTCACCTTGTCGGATCATCCGATCCCCCACCCCATCGTCATGACCAGCAATGGCCTTGACCCGGCACATCTCGAGACAGGAAAATGAGCTCGTGCTTGCACCGCTGCGAACCCCCAGTATCCATGGCCTCAAAGCAAGGTTCGCGCCGTTTCATGCTCCCAACACGCCAGATTCCAGAATCATCAATGATCGCTTCAACCCACGGCGATTCAAACTGCTAGCCAAGTACTCGAAAGTGGCGCCGGATACGCTCAAATGGACGGTCATCTCAAGTGTGAGCACCAAAACAATCCCCATGGCGGTGATGCGGAACCGTATGAAGCGCAGATGGGCAAATGCCTTTGCAGACGCTCTGAGAAGCAATGGCTACCATGTGAATGGGCGTAGTCTCGATGGCCCTAAGGATGGCAAAGGATACAGAGTCGGGCTTTATGGCACGGTCGAGATCCATGCTTATGCTAAGAGCGGCCTTACCCTAGAGTACGCCGACCTTGTTTCTTCGTCCACCATCCTGGTCAGAGCACTCCAACAACAAGTTCAGAAAGTAAAGCCCAGGCTTTCCAGCCCGGCGTTGAGCGTCGAGGAAAGAGCTGGGAGACGGTCGACATGGTCGACATGGGATGGGAATGAGTAGGAACATTCATCCAGGAGGGTGATCCCTGAACGGTTTTGGATGGTCTACAATGCTTCGCCTCGACCTTACTCAGATAGCCTGAGCCTTGGAGATTCGCATTGTCTACCATGCCATAGAGGGAGGTCGTCACTACATACGTCTTCCCTCATCCTGATCATGCCCAGATCTGTCTTTCCAGGACGCAATCTAGGTGCCGCCACACTACAGATACAGAATCTTCTCTCGTGCAATTAACTAGAGTCAATTCTGCGACGCAAGATATCTTCGAGAGTTGCGTAGAGTAGAAGAATGGTCTCCTCCTTGACCGACTTGTTAGTGTGCGTGTGCGGCCTATTTGCTCAGCCGTACTGCTTTCGTGTCAGTCCTGCCGGTGTGTACGGACAAGCACCTGACCGGGGTACGCGCTTGACTGCGCAACCTGGTATGTATCCGTTCTCTGTATCCGTACAGAGTAAGGGGACATTCTGCCCGCTGTCTGTTAATTAACACATCGACCAACCCGACCCGTCGTTCTTTTTATTTCACGGACTGCTGCGTCCTTGGTCGCCTTGTCACTCTTTACTCGCGATTTGTTTGGGCAGAAATCTGCCATTCGAGCACAAGATGCTGGTTTCTCTGACTGTGGGCAAGGTCGACGCCGGAGTCGCGGTGCTGCTCACGGAGGATAAACGACTGGTATGCTGAGCGTTGCACCGACGTCGTCCCGGCTCGCCGCTCTGACACTGACATGATTGTAGATAGAGTTCCCTTCGATACTGCTGCCCTCCTCCATCAACTCAGGATCAATTGTCGACATCACCGTCACTCAGAATCACGAGGCCGAGGAGAAGACACGGGAGGCATTTGCTGCCCTCCAAAGCCAGATCTTGACTACCTACGGCATCAACTCCCCTGCCACGCCGGTCCTGCGACTTCGAAATGCCACGCAGACGTCGCTCGTACTTGAATGGGATCCTATCCAGTTGGCCACGACAACTCTCCGGTCGCTCTCTCTTTACCGAAATGGAAGCAAGGCAGGCAACATCCCGAGGCCGTTGGAGATGACAAGCACGAAAATCAGTGGATTGGCCGTGGATTCAGAATACTCCTTCTACCTAGTCTTGAAGACAAGCGGAGGCACATACACGAGTAATACTCTGACGGCGAAAACACATGCAATGAACAACCTGACCGGCATCACCGTGACCCCAGGAGTCTTGCCGTCACAACTCCGAGAAGCCCTGGAGGCTGCGGTGCAGCGCATCGGTGCGAGGATCGTCGACACGGTCAGAATCGACACCACCCATTTTGTCTGCACAGAAGGCCGGGGGCGTGAATGGGATAGGGCAAATGAGATGAACATACCCGTTGTCCGGCCCGAATGGGTCGAAGGTTGTGAGAGAGAAGGCAGAATCATCGGCGTTCGTGGTTACTATCTTGACGCCGATCCAAAACAGCGACAGGTTGGGTCGAACCCATCTCTTTCCGGAAATCGGTCTTCTTTAAGTGCACCAGCAGCTCCTGCAACTGCTCCTCAGCAAGCCAGCATCCCTCAGAGACCCAAAGACCCAACGCCCAATAGTCCAGATCGAGAGAGTACCGTGAGTGGAGAGCCAGGACCTGAACTTCATCCGCCTTCTCCGCCACAGAAAGAGTTGCCACCGACCCCCGCCGACGTGGATGAGGATGAGGATGGGGATGGGGAAGAGAGTAGTGGATCCGAAGAGGCAGAAGGCAAAGCAGAAAACACGGAAGAACCCACGGGTAAAGAAGCCGCCTCTTCGGACGATACAGAGACCGACCAAGCGTCGTCCGTGGAGGAGAGCCATCAAGCCGAGGGTGAAGACAGAAAAGGTACAGACATGGAAGACGTCGCGCTGTGACGAGGATCGAGGATCTAGGATCTATGGAAGGGATGCAGTTCAATGGTCGGATGAGGACACTCTCCCTGGGACAGACTGACGCAAGAGAACCGACGATTGCGTGGCACGCTGCGACTCCCTCGACTGCAGGATAACGGATGGGCTGCTTGGTTGCGTACAAATCATCCGCCTGGAGGAAAATCCGCAGGGCGGCTACTCCAGATAGCGAGCAGCTTCGCTGACTCTATCTCGAACAGCATAATGAACGGTCTGGAAGCAGAGTGCCAGGTTGTCGCAGCGGGCGTTTCTGGGTGTCGAATCCACCTCTCGGCTTGTACTCGCGGATCTTGGGTCGATCTGGCATCCTCACCAGCAAATCATCAACAAGATTCTCGAAGGGCATGGTCCTAGCTTCAGCCCTACTGCTGCGGTCAGCATGCTTCCAGCCGTCAGCTTCGGCCATTGGCGGCCCAGCCTCACCAGGGGGGCAGGATGCAGGCCAAGCAACGTCCAGCTTATTATTGTATGAGGCTGAAGGGCAGCGCAGCCCGCAGAATGGTACCAGCTGCACAGCCACTCGCATTATTGTTCATATTGTTATTTTCAGCCTCCCGATCATCACCACTCGGACCAGTTGCTTGGACCATCCCAGCCCTGTCCCTCGTGGAAATGGTCTCGGAATGTGGCTTCTGAGGGCTCCTGAGGCCTCCCTCTGGCCCGTGCATCTATATAGGACCACCTCTCTCCCGCCTCCCCAGATATCTTTTCTCTCCATACAATCCACTGATCTGCATCATCATCGCATACAAAAGACCGTCCTTGTTTCCTTTGTTTCTGTCTGCTTTTCCTTTCCTTCTTCAAGACAATCCTAAGTCAAACAATTCGAGATTGAACTATTCAAGTCAGCCCTTCGAAAGCAATCCCACTCTAGCCATCTCAACCAACACATTCCCCAAGTCATCCAATTTCAAAGAAAATGGCCAAGTCATCCAGACAATCCAGCAGCATCTTCGCCATTACTTTGGGCGTTGTCCTCAGCAGCCTCATTCTCTGTGATGCTGCTCCTCTCACGTCCCGAAACCTGGCAAGAAGCAGTTGGAACACTACCACGCCGACTCCTCCTGTGACGACGGGGACATCCGGCCAACCACTTGCTACCATTTACCCCGAATACACTTCACAATACAATGGCAGAGACGGTGCGGTTGACTTCGATACTGCACAGGGTCTGGTCTCGCGCTCACCGACCAATGGCGGCGCCGACATCAGCACCCTGGTCACCTTCACTGTCGGTACTCAATACGGGTCAAACATCTGCCAGCTGGTGTTCGACCTGACCAACCCAGGCTCCTCGGCATCTGGCTCCCTGAAAACCCAGATCTTCACTTCTCTGGCACCGGCCACCGCGGACGCCGCGTCCTGGCCCAACGGCAACCTACGAGACCAGGAGCTCGGCTCCATCGATCTCGTTGTCGGTGGACGTGCTACCTGGGAGCAGGGATCTGGGCCTGGCGCCACCAACAACGGCTTCTTCCCTTGCAGTAGCATTGCAGGCCAGATCTACGGTGGCGAGATCGTCCCTCAGGGAGACACTGACGAGGTCTCGTGGACTGCTGGCCAAGACGGCATCAAGATCATTGTCTGGTAAAGAAAGGAAGGAAGACAGATGTCCCCGGGACGGGAAAATTCTGAATCTGAATCTGCATTGAAGCGTTTTATTTGTCGCCTTTACACCATTCATTGCATAGCGAGCGGGCGGGAAAACCAAAACCGGGTTCAGGTACAATTACCAAGCGAAGACGCTTTGTTTTGGAGTTTTGTCGATCCCAGAGGAGCTAGGTGCTTGCCTCTGACGACTTTTTCAAGAGATGGAACAAAGGCAGACTAGACTGTCTATATTACCTGTACAGTATAGTATACCTTAAAGATGTATCAAGAGTACATAATTTGAGACTGAAACATAAAAGCCCTGTTCTAACACTCCTCTCCTGTCATGGATACGTACTTGATTAGGTACGTACTTGGACCTCTCCTGAATACTTACTTGACTACGTACGTACCTGAAATAGTATTCCTCAATATTCGAGTCACTCAATGGAGTCTCTGGGTCTCTGGGTCTCTGGGTCTCTGAGTCTCCAAGCATCTGAGTTTCCGAGCATCAGAGTACGTAAGGTATATACATGTTATATTATATATATACACTAGAGGTATCTAGGAGGTATGAACAGAACTCCAGGGCCTTCTACTTTCTCCCTTCTAAGTGTCACGGTTGGCCCAAACCGTTACACCACGACGGTCGCCAAAAAGAACGAAGTAACTAATTCACGAGTGAATTAGCTACTTGGTGTGTATAACCGTTACACTAAGTAAGTATGCTAGACTAGATAGATCACTTGGTATCGTCGAAGCTCATCAATCCCACGACGTAGATTTATTTCTTTCTTTCCTTGGTCTATTGATTCTAAACTGTGCTTGAAATGCTCCAAGTCTAGATCTAATGTTAGGTAGGAAGGCCCTAAGGGACTCATGATCTCTGATCTCTGATCTCTGATCTCTGATCTCTGATCTAGGTCGACATTGCTGCTCTTCTGCTCCGTCGTCATGGGCCATGATCGCTGTCCCGTCCCGTGCAAGTGCAGGTGCAGGTGTATGTGGTCGAATGAATGTTTCTGCTCATCCATCAGCCATCTAAAACATGGCCGATTTTCACCACATCATCGTCCTCGTCATCGTCATCCCTTCACACCCACCTCCTCTACCTCCTCATCATCCCTTCACACCCACCTCCTCTACCTCCTCATCATCCCTTCACACCCACCTCCTCCACCTCCTTGACCTGGGCATCGCCTTCGACCCAGGCCTCCTCGATGTCGAGTCGTTTCTCGGCCGCGGAGACAAACGGCGCCGCGGAGAACAGGAAGTCGACCTGCTCCAGGGTCTTGCCGCCGGTCTCGGGACAGAGAAAGAAGACAAAGGCGACGGCGACTAGGTTTCCGGCAAGAACCCAGATCCAGAACTTCCAGCCCACGTTGGTGAGGCCGATGGGCCCGGCGAAGACGGTGATGAAGGTCATCAGCCACTCGCCGCAGCCGGTGAAGGCCCCGCCGATGTGCCGGTACTCCAGCGGGGCAATCTCGGACGCATAGAGCCAGACGCAGCCTTGCCATGCATAGCCAAAGACAAAGAGGAAGACGAAGATGATGCCGATGCCGGCCCATTGGATCGCCGGCGTGGCAGGCACGGCTTGCAAGACGGTGAAGATCAACATCAGCACCGACATGACCATGGCGCCGTACATGAGCACCGAGCGACGGCCGACCCGTTCGATGGTGAAATACAGCGGAACACACCCGAGCGCGAAACAGATGTTCAGGATCCCCGCGAGTAGAGACACGAGCGACGGGCGCGCTCCAACTTGGCTGAGGATGACGGAGCCTGCATGCCGCGTGTCAGATGATTGACCCTTGCCCACGTACACTGTACGACGGTGCATCTAACTTGGGGAGGTTTCACGTACTGTAGTATGCCATCAGGCTCGACCCCATCCACTCTCTGATCATGGGCAGCCAGAAGCAGATGCACAATCTCCGAATGATCTTCATGGGAGTCCGATCGATGATGCCGGACGTGAGGAACAACTTCCAGTGCAGACTCGACTTTGCTTCGTCTTCGGCCTCGATGGCGAAGAGGATTTCCCGCTTGGTCAGTTGCACCTTTTCCGAGTCGAGGGGGGCGTCATGCAAGCGCACGAGGGCGGCGTCGCCTTCATCGTGGCGGTTCTTCGCGTAGTAGTATCGAGGCGTGTCTGGAAGGAAGAACATGCAGGATCCAGCAATGACGGCAAAGATGCATTGGAACGCGATCGGCACCCGCCAGGAGAACTGGCGGTTTGATTTGGTGAAGCCGTAGTCGATCCAATATGCGATCGGAATGCCCCCGATCAGCATGCTGGCGTTCAGCGCGTTGGCAGGCCCGCGGTCACCAATCTCGGCGCCGGTTTCAGCGAGGTAGGTAGGAACCGCACTCGAGATGCAGCCAATGGCAAAGCCAGTGATGATCCGTCCGACAGTCAACTGAGCCACCGAGTTGGCCGTCGCCTGGATGATCGATCCGATGACCGCAGCGCAATTGCCCAGGATGATTGTACCGCGCCGTCCGATCCGAAATGCAAAGGTTGCCACGATCAGACAGGTGATACATGCCGACAGGCTGTACGAGCTTGAGATCCACGGAATCACCCATTCGCCTGTAGGGTTGCCAATGGCATCAAGAAATGGTTGGTGCAGTAAGACCCCTCCGAGAACGCCGGCGTCATACTATTCCGTCTCAGCTTAGAGGATATAAAAAAGGATATAGAGTCTTTGGGGAAAGGGTCTGGTGGTAGTGGTGGTACTCACGCCGTACATCATGAAAGAGGTGCCACAGATGAACTGCATCAATCGGTAGAGGTTTCGCCCTCTGACCGTGATGAGCCCCATAGTAGCGGTGCTGGAAGGAAGCTGCGCGACCGCGTTCAACGTAAGAATAGGCAATGAGATGGAGATCTCGGCGAAGTGAGCAGATGCTGGGGAAACTGAATAGAGGCTCTCGGTCCAGTATTTATGTCCAGGATCAGGGGGGCCGTCTCCACAACTGCGTCCAGCTGCTGGCCCTCATACGAGGCAAGGTCCTTTCCGATCATCGTTCAAGCAACCCTACAGTCTTGCAGGAAGGGCCGAGGACAAACTGGTCGGGTCATGAGAATTCGTATTCTGATTGGATCTTGTCCTATACCCGAGGTTGGAGAATGTGTCTGTACCTCTGCACTTTGGGTTAACAATGGAGCCTTTTTGCGGTTGATGGAGGAGGGTTCTTGGCCGGGGTATAGTGTTCACGGAAGAGGCTGTGGGACATGGCCGGCCTTGTCCCCGCAGAGTTGGAAATGTGATGCGGGGAGATATCTCTCCGTAGATATTGGCAAGGTTCCGAGTCAGGATCTGTTGACTCAGGATCACCCATTCCCCATCACCCGTCTCCGCCGAACTTGCGAGCCGACAACGGTGGCCTCCTAAGCCTTCTCCCCAGCATGGCGACAGAGCACAAGGACGCAATTCGGCAACTGGTGTGGCCACGGCTGCGCGAGGTTGCCATACCAGACTCCCGCTTCCACTATGATTTTTCGAGTTTCATCGCCGATTTTAAAGGCTCAGACGCTGCAACAGAACGTCTGGTCACCCTGCCATGTTATATCAATGCACAAGTGGTGTTTGTCACTCCCGATAACTGTCTAGAGAGGCTGCGTTTTCGAGCTCTTTCTGATGGCAAGAAGGTGCTCGTCACCACGTACGCCATCCGGCGCGGATTCTGGCTGCTGGATCCCGCCGTGATCACGACCCCGGGACAAAGACAGTTGGCAAGCTTGTTAGATGCCATGGAGAGACCCGGTCTGGCCAGACATGTCAGTCTATCCGACATGACGGCGCTCGATCTTAAGGTTGATCTCATGGTGACCGGCACTGGTGCCATCAACTTCTCAGGAATCCGATTTGGGAAGGGCCACGGGTTTTTTGACCTCGAATGGGCTATATTGACGAGTATAAACGTGGTGGCCCTTGATGTCCCTTGCATTGCGGTCGTGCACGATTGTCAAGTGTTGGATGAGGAGCTGCAACCGGAACCATTCGACACCGTCTGCGATTTGATCGTTACACCGACCATCATCCACGACGCCGCAAAGCAAGGACTCGTGCCCAAACCGACATGTGGTGTCTTGTGGGACAAATTGCAAGCAGGAATGCTGGATGAAATCCCCCCATTGCGTGAGTTGCAAGAGCTCCAAGGGAACGGGAGGAAGTAGTAACTCCTCTCGCGTGAGAAAAGGGCTCAGCCTGCAAAGAGTGTCTCCGGCCAGACACTGATGTACCCTGTATCTCGTATTCTGTATCCTGTATCCTGTATGCCGTAAAAGTGTTAGGACGTCGAGGCCTGGAGGTAGGCTGGGGGAAGGTTTAAAGCAGCCACTCGATTTCCATTCCAGGCTTAGCCGGGTATATTTCTTCTGACGGTGGTCTCTAGCATCGCACTATCCCTCATTCGCTGGTTGAATCCCGACATCGCTGCTAGGTGGCTGCACCTCCCAGCAACCCCATCCAAAATCCAAAATTTGTATCCCCGACTTTGTGGCTACTGACGGTCTCGACTTGTGACTCACGACTCACGACTCACCACGGAGATGCAGTTCTGAAAAGGCCCATTCTGTAGCTATAGCTGATGACTTGAATTGGAATTTCTCAATCCTGCGCTCTCTCAATCGCTGCCATCATGGCAGGCTCGCGCACCCTCCTGTCTCTGGCCTCCCGGACGACGATCCAGTCTGTACGCAGCCCGACCGCTACACCCTTCCTCGACTCCCTCGTCCCTGCATTTAAGCGAACCAAGTCGACGACGTCCACCTCAGCTTTGGCCTACAAGGCTCTCCATCGACGATCGCCACTACCTCTGCCGGTCTCCGATGCCTCGCCCCAGTACGGCGCAGCTGCAGCAGTTTCTTCCATTCTTTACGAGACGCCGGTGGCTTCTCAAGCGCCCGCGAAGAAACATGTTTTGAACTGTTTGGTGCAAAATGAGCCGGGTGTTCTGTCTCGTGTGTCCGGCATTCTGGCTGCTAGGGGCTTTAACATCGACTCGCTGGTTGTCTGCAACACCGAAGTGGAGGATCTGAGTCGAATGACCATTGTCTTACAGGGTCAAGACGGTGTCGTCGAACAAGCTCGCAGACAGCTGGAGGATCTGGTACCTGTGTGGGCTGTGCTCGACTATACATCTGCCGCCCTGGTGCAGCGTGAGCTGCTCCTCGCCAAGATCTCCATTCTCGGACCCGAAGTCTATGAGGAGCTGATGGAACACCATCGTGAAATGACCAGCCCCGAGGCCGAATCCGAGCCCGGCGCGCGTGACCTGGAAAGCGCCGAGGAAAACGCCCAGCAGCGACTGCAGGAACTGGAGGCGAACCAGCCTCACGAGTCGAATCTTATCCAGCGGGCCAAAGAACTCCTCGGTCAAGGGGCGAGCTACCACCCTAGTCGACTTGCTGCTAGTCAAGCCCTGCGCCATAAACACGAGCATCTCGAAGCGATCACTCACCTGACCCATCAGTTCGGCGGCAAGGTTCTTGACATTAGCACGAACAACTGTATAGTGGAGGTGTAAGTGACTTCTGATGAAATCCACAGCTTGAACTTGCTAACATGACGCAGCTCTGCTAAACCGAGCAGAATCGATTCCTTCATCAAACTGATTGCTCCATTTGGGATCCTCGAATCAGCAAGAACCGGTCTGATGGCACTGCCTCGTTCTCCTCTGTACGGACCTAATGAGGATCTGCAACGGGATGCGGACGATGTTGTGGACGCCAGTACTCTCCCCCCGGGTTAGAGGCCGGTGAAGTCGTGAGTCTTTGCGTGGGGCGCATTGGGGGATATTGTACTTCAACTCCAGGGTGGGTATCTAAGATTCTCCTGCTGGACCTTTGGGGAAATGTAAATCTTGCCAATTTCTACTCAAAGCTGGCCACAATGTTCGCTCCGCAAATACTTCTGGTTCGACATTTTGGTTGTGATGTGCGCCGCCTATCATTCTCGAATCGCTTAGGGTTAGGGTTAGGGTTGGGGTTGCTACCTAGTACCTCACATCCGGGTCGGGCCTCCTAATAAGCCGTACGTCACTCCGCGTCTTAGCTGTGGTGGCTGCGCCTTACATACCTGGTACCTACTATACACAGCCTACAGAGTGCCCCTTACATACATAGCCACAACCCCACCCGTTGTACGTTGTAGTTCTCCTATATCAAGTCCCCGTGGCATTTGATTGCAACACGGGCACGACTCTCGGTTTTGCTGTTGCTACCCACGCGTAATCCAACCTCTTCGACGGAGTATTACAACTCAGCTACCCTAAAATAGATGTTCTATTTCCGGTCTCAAGCTATTCGCGTAGCAAGTTATGCTCACTCCTTCGTGTCACAGAACTCTATCCTTCAGCTTCCTCCCTTTTTCAAACGGAGCGGGCGCCATCTGATACCTCATTTCCCACGCCAGCCGTCTATTGCTTACTCAAACTCAGCCATGGAGTCAATTCCATTTGCTGAATTCGTCCATCTAGATGGCACCACAGTGACCGACAAGATTATAGGTATTGGAGGCACCAATATTGTTGTCCAACAAGGAAAATACGCAGTTAAGGTTCCTCGTCTGTCAAGAATCACAGAGATTGGAGGAACCACCGTTTTATTAGACCAAAGCAAACCCCCCAAAGAAGGAGACTACGACTATCGTGCCCAGCTTATTCGAGCACTGAAGAACGAAAAGGACATTTACCGGAGAATCGGCCCTCATGTAGGGATTACTCCCTGCTATAATATCTCGTCGACGCAGCCCTCAGTTCAAATGCCGCTCATGGGAAAAGATCTTCAACACTATCTAGCGGAGAATAGACCGAGCCGGAAAGAGCAGCTGGCATGGATGAGACGATTAGCGGATACACTCGCCTACATCCACTCCCGTCGCGTGATTGCGGCCGATATTGGTCCATCGAACATAGTCCTTGACAGTGCATTGAACGTGAAATTCATCGACTTTTCGGAATCAACGCTAATGCCGCTTGACTGGAATCTTGAGGGCACGGACTCGCTTGGATATTCGATCCTTAGCGATATTGGACAGCTGGGTGCGGTTATGTTTCAGATTGTGACGGGCCAAACTGGTAGGTTTGATACTGAAGATGCCAGCGGCGAAGTGACTTGGCCACCACGGGATAGCCTCCCATCAACAGATAATGTCTGGCTGGGGCCCGTGATCGAAAAATGCTGGACTCAAGGGTTCAAATCTGCAGGAGATCTCGCCGGTTATCTGAAGCAGGTGAACGATGATGAGTGAAACGGGTGTAAAAGAGCGGCAACCTACAAGCTTCGAAAACTCCACGTCCACAGAGTCTAGTTGTCATGAGAGTCAGAGCCAGGTGTGCTCTCATTGACATGACGGAGGAATACTTGACATTTGATCAGTGTGTTGCCGTTGAGACGAAGCGTGTCCTTAAGACTAGACCTATGTAGGAGGCAGCATGCAGGGTTGGTTGGGTGGTCAAACAACGCTGGAAGTTGAGCACGACATTTCGCCATTCGATTTACGGGGACTAGTTAAATACTGCCGGGAACGCGCAGAGCGCCAGAGGCAATTCTACCACTGCACCAACTGTACCATTCCTCGAGGTAGAAGAGCCATCAGCCCCTCCGAAGCCAGCCTTGTGCTAAAAGCGGCGGGCGATTTATGCTGGGCTCAGCTCCAGCTAGAAACATCTCGAAGTCGTCACGACTCTACTCCCTACTCTAGCTTTCAGAAGACCAGATCGCAAGCTATAACTTCATTGTTGCTTTGAATTTGGAGAACGCAGGATAGTCTCAGTCTCGGATCTTCACACTCGGCGTGTTTGGGGAATCAGAATCATGACCTCTCGTATTTCCGGACTGCCTTCGATCGGGGACTTCTTCCCTCCGACGCCACAGGCGGCTGCCCTGGTCTTCAACCTTTACAGGCTATTTTCAGTTGTAGGTGCCCTAACTGCGACTTGGTGACGTGTCAAACCTCTCCAAGGTGTTTGCTGGAAGATCAGACCCCTTCCCTTACTCGGAAAGAATCCATACGGCAGGTTGCCATTGTGTGGTATGCCCCTCTTCTAACTTGCCATCTCTACTAGATCTCTCTTCTACAATGGACGCCTCTCGGGAAGCTACAAGCGATGGGCAAGACTTCGACCAACTCTCGCTTCAATCTTCCGGGCCGTTATGCATGGGCACTGGCGGAATTGACCGGGCCCATCAATCTGCTATACATCCTTCTGACCCTGCCGTCAAAGCTCGATCCTGCGCCTCACTCGACGACAAGCTTTTTGGGGACAGGCCTACCGGCTCAATATGAGATACTGGCGTGTCTATATCTCATTCACTATGCAAACCGTGCCGTCGTCGGCCCGCTGTATCTGGCCCCGAGCATGTCCCAGATTCACCCGACTGTGGCCGTATTCATGGCTCTCCACCAGTTTGCAAATTCAAGCAACATTGCCAGCGGGCTTGTGTATTCTGCGCTCGGGAGCGACGGCGAACATGGCTCCATTATCTCCTTTACATCGGTGGTTGGCCTCTTTATGTTCTTCTCAGGGCTGGCGGGAAACATCCGGGCCGAAAATACTCTGTTCGATCTTCGACGAGGAGCTGCAAAGCGGAAGGCAAGGTCAGAAGGGAGGGTCCAGATCACTTACGACAAGGTCTACGTCGTTCCTCCACCTGAAGGCCCTTTCAAGTATGTCTTGTTCCCGCACTATGTGTATGAGTGGCTTGAATGGACAGGATTCTGGATCCTTGCAGGCGCGTGGGGTCTAGGATGGGGATACCACAGCCCGGCACTGTGGTTTTTGATAGTCGAGGTGGCCACGATGCTTCCAAGGGCGGTGGCCGGTCGGCGATGGTATGAACAGAAGTTTGGAAAACGGGCAGTGGCCGGCCGCGCAGGCGCAATTCCTGGACTTGGATTATGATTTTAGGGCAGACAAGGAGGAGCAGGAGTGGTGTGAGAAAGCCTCAGGAGCCTCCTCTTGACGTCGCCAGCCAGGCTAAAATGTCGTGTGTACCTGTCGGGACGTAGTAAGCAGCGCGAAACCCTCGCGGGCGAGCTAGCTGCAGCCAACAGTTTCAAAATCAGACTTTCCCATACTTCAGGGTGGAGGGAGATCTCACGGTGCAACAAGGCCCTTCCCGTTGTTCCACCGGCTTGTTTATCACTGCAAAGTTCACTGCACATCGGCGTCACACAGGGGTTTGCTGGCGGTCGGCGAGTCATGTCGGACGGAGGCAGCTTGAGCGACCTTGATTAGTACCTAAGTAAGCTAGGTGGTGGTGGTGGTAGTGCTGCTCCCCGAGTAACACGGAGGGACTAGTCGCAGCCTGCGGTGGTGATTGGCACGCGGAGCAAAAAAGGCCACCGCAGCCTCCCGTCACGTCAAAGCTCACTTGGTGCTTGAAATTTTTCCAGTCCAGAACCCCTCCATGCATAATTCCCTCTGACCTTCTATTCTCTCTCACCGCCCCCTCTATCTCTCCTCCTGCTTTCGCCCATCCCATCGACCCTTTCCCTCCTCATTGTCTATCGGTTCCTCTCAGAGAACCGTCATCGGAAACGCTATTTTTCGAACTCGTCCGCCCTTTGCACGAAGATTACTCAAGATGGTTCAATCGTAAGTCCCTCCATTGGAGCACCACTAAATGGCCCTGCTCTTCTCTAACATACACACAGTTCGATCCTCGGGTTCCCTCGTATGGGCGCCAACCGAGAGTTGAAGAAGGCCACTGAAGCTTATTGGGCTGGCAAGATCTCTCAAGACGACCTGCTTGCCGAAGGAAAGAGACTGAGACAGGAACACTGGAAGATCCAGAAGGACGCTGGCATCGACATCATCCCCAGCAATGACTTTGCTTTCTATGATCAAGTCTTGGACCACATCCAGCTCTTTGGCGTCGTTCCTGAGCGATACACCAAAGACAGCCTCTCTCCCATTGACCAATATTTTGCCATGGGTCGAGGTCTTCAAAGACCGGCAACCGACAGCACCCCTGCCGTCGATGTTCCCGCTTTGGTGAGTCACCATCCCGTTGTGGAAGTGCTTAGCTCTAACGTCTTCAGGAAATGGTGAAATGGTTCGACTCCAACTACCACTACGTCAAGCCAACTCTCCAAGACAACCAGAGCTTCAAGCTATCCTCCAACCCCAAACCGGTCGCTGAGTTCCTCGAGGCGAAAAAGGCCGGAATCACTACCCGACCCGTCCTACTTGGCCCAGTGTCGTTCCTGCATCTGGGCAAGGCCGACCGTGGGCAGTCCATCGAGCCCATTTCGGCCCTCGACAAGCTCCTACCTCTCTACGAAGACTTGCTCAAACAGCTTAAGGAGGCCGGTGCCGAGACCGTCCAGATCGATGAGCCCGTGCTGGTCTTTGATCTGCCCAAGAAGACCAAGGACGCCTTCAAGCCCGCATATGAGAAACTGGGCAGCCTGGGAAGCAGTGCTCCCAAGATTGTCCTTGCCACCTACTTCGGTGATATTGTCCACAATATTGATGTTCTCGCCGACTTAAAGAACCTCTATGCCATCCACGTTGATCTTGTTCGCAACCCAGAGCAGTTCGAAACCGTGGCAGCTGCATTGGGCCCTCAACAGGTCCTCTCAGCCGGCGTGGTTGATGGCCGAAACATCTGGAAAACCAACTTCAAGCGAGCCATCGAGATCGTGGAAACTGCCATCCAGAAACTGGGCAAGGACCGAGTCATTGTCGCCAGCTCCAGCTCTCTCCTCCATACCCCCCACACCCTTGCAAGCGAGAAGAAGTTGGACCCTGAAATTGCCGACTGGTTTAGCTTTGCCAGTGAGAAGGCCCAAGAACTCGCCATCATCGCCAAGGCTGTGACAGACGGTCCTGCCTCGGTCAGAGATGCTCTTGAGGCCAACGCCAAGTCTATGCAAGCCCGCGCTTCTTCAAGCCGGACCAACGACCAGGCGGTCAAGGAACGACAGAGCAAAGTCACCCCAGAGTTGCATGAGCGCAAGTCACCATTCCCCATCCGCATCTCTGAACAACAGAAGCGTCTCAACCTGCCCTTGTTCCCGACCACCACCATCGGATCCTTCCCTCAAACAAAGGACATCCGTATTCAACGAAACAAATTCACCAAGGGCGAGATCACCGCTGAGGAGTACGAGAAGTTTATTGAGAAAGAAATTGAACTGGTCGTCAAGATCCAGGAGGAGCTTGACCTCGATGTTTTCGTCCACGGTGAACCCGAGCGAAATGACATGGTTCAATACTTCGGCGAGAGACTAAACGGCTATGCTTTCACCACCCACGGATGGGTCCAGTCGTATGGTTCTCGCTGTGTCCGACCACCCATTGTCGTTGGAGACATCTCCCGGCCTGCTCCTATGACCGTCAAGGAGTCTAAATATGCGGCATCCATCTCGCCCAAGCCAATGAAGGGTATGCTCACTGGCCCCATCACTTGCCTGAGATGGTCGTTCCCTCGTGACGATGTTCACCAATCCGTCCAAGCACAGCAATTGGCGCTCGCTCTCCGTGACGAAGTCGTCGATCTCGAGAAGGCGGGTATTTACGTCATTCAAGTCGACGAGCCGGCTCTGCGTGAGGGTTTGCCTCTTCGCGCCGGCAAGGAGCGAACCGACTACTTGAAGTGGGCCGTCGACTCCTTCCGCCTGGCCACTGCGGGCGTTGAGAATGGCACCCAAATCCACAGCCATTTCTGCTACTCTGAGTTCCAGGACTTCTTCTACGCCATCGCCGCCCTCGACGCCGATGTTCTCTCCATTGAGAACAGCAAGTCTGATGCCAAACTTCTCAAAGTCTTTGTTGACGAAGCTTACCCGCGTCACATTGGACCTGGTGTCTACGATATCCATTCGCCTCGTGTCCCTTCGGAACAGGAAATCCGCGACCGGATTGCGGAGATGCTGCAATACTTGAAGCCGGAACAACTGTGGATCGACCCTGACTGTGGTCTGAAGACCCGACAATGGAAGGAGACCAAGGCTGCACTGACCAACTTGGTTAACGCGGCCAAGCACTTCCGCGCTCAGTACTCCAAGTAATCGTGTGGCTGTACTAGAAAGTACAATCTCTGGCGATTCTGTTTGTGCTCGGTCAATCAACCTGATCTGAGCTATGGCGCAAAGGGCATGACGGACTGATTGAATGAAAAGTGTTTTCAACATGATACCACGATCGCATGGGGCTGGCAAAAGTCGATCTTAACATCGGCGTTTTTGGCTGGCTCTGGACCAGATGGGGACGGGCTTAGAGATGGCCAGAGATTTCAAGACCATCGAGACGAATGTTGATTTCAACATTGATTGTACAAGGGCAGAACATTGACTACAGATGCCGCAAATGAATGAATCGAAATAATTAGAACCCTCAGTCGTATTTAAAACAGCCTGTCTGTCTCGCTTTGACTGGTAAATCATTCGTGCTCGGCCATTGTTGTCCACGTGATTTCGCGATTTTACGGAGTACAGTAGGTCGCGTCATGCCAGTGTGGCGGGGCGTGTCGAGTCTGCCAAATTGAATTAATTGCCCAAGTGTGAACTCGAAGGCTATTAGTACAAAGTATAACCCGTCACCTGGGCAATATTCCGAATGTGCGCAGGTCTGCCATAGTGATTGTCGCTCCTCGAACAATACAACCTTCACCACCAATGGATTCCGAAGGGCCACCTGCCTCTCGGTGTCTAGAAAATGCCGCCTCATCACCCTAAGGTGCCGCCGCCTCCAGAGCCGAGCCGGAAATTCTTCGATCCATTCAATTCGTCGTCTACAGGCCACCAGCGCGCCGAGAATCGCTTGTCTGGAAGCACGTCGTGGCGGGACTCGCGCACCTACAAGCTCCTACACCAACTTCGCGACTCCAGCGGCCGAGGTGGCGATGGCCATGTTGCCGATCTGGTAGGCGCCGGCAGCGAGAATTTCGGTAAGGACGGACGCAAGGAGAACGGAGGGTGGGAAGTAGGTGCGCCGGGGCTGCGCGACAAGGGATGGCAAGACATCAGGAGCCTCATGGACGGCAACCGCAAGCGATCAATCAAGAGTCTACCCGTAGAACAGGAATCATCAGACTCCCTACTATCCAAGCGGCCGAGGCTAGAGCCAGTATCAGAGAGACCTGAGGAGACCAGCAGGTTACCTTCGCCATCACGGCCACCGGCGATGGAAACGGAAACTCCTCAGATCTTTCGGAATTTGAACATCTACCTGAACGGCTCGACGGCGCCGGTCATCTCGGACCACAAGCTCAAACAACTCTTCGCCCAACACGGCGGCGGCTCGTCCATTTCGCTGGGCCGCCGGACCGTCACCCATGTGGTCGTGGGAGACAGCTGCGGCGGTGGTCTGGCGTCGGGCAAGATCCAGAAGGAGGTGGCCTTGGTGGGTGGCAAGGGCATTAAATACGTTACGGTGCACTGGATCCTCGACAGCATTGAAAAGGGCATTCGACAATCCGAAGCAAAATACGTGCCCAAGCATCTGGAAGGCAAAATCGGCGGCAGCGGCCAGGCCAGTGTGCGAGAGATGTTTCAATCAAAGACGAAATGACACCGCTTGTGGGAAATGAGAACCATGCCATCTTCATACTCGGGTTTCCGACGGGCGGGCAACAGTACGCCTCGAATAGCCGCATACCAGCAACATATAGGACATTCCTTCAGTTTGTGCTTAGATTGGGCCATTCTGTTGCCGACAATCAGCTTTAAATCCAGCACTAGATCAGAAAGACGATACTTACCGAACCTCGTCCGAGCAGCGTTCCTCTTCAGCACCTTGACTTCATCACCAACGTTGATTTGCGCAGCGGACTTGCCCTCAGGCACCCTGGCCAAAAACCCATAGCGGCCAAAGACCGGACTCCATTTTGCTCCTAGATCAACGCGGCGATCGCGCTGCAGCTTCTTGAGGATTTTGCCGGCCTCGCCCTCGCCGACCTTGCCGGTGGCGTAGTCCACGTTCAGGCTATTACACCGGGCGCAGTTCTGGGTCAAGATGAACTTTGTGTCGTTTCCGACTTGCAGCTCGGCCCAATAATCCTCCTCAAAGTCTTCTTGGGCGCCCTCGACGATGATGTTCGGCCGGAACTTTGAGATATCCATGACCTCGCCCTCAGGCAGCCGCCGCTGTGCGTTCTCCCAGCTCTTGGTGCTGACGATGAGATAGGGCGCGACATCAGCAAACGAAAGGCCTTCATCAACACCTTCGTAATCCTCATCTTCGTTCTCTTTGTTATGTCCGCTGCCGATGACGGCTCCAACCAACGAGCCGGCCGTCGAGGTGATACTGCTGAACCACGAGCTGCCTCGGTGCACGTTGCCGTCTGTCTCGGCCAATCCGCTCCTCTGTCTAGCCGCCACACCTGGCGGCATATTTCCCAACGCCTTCCTCCTATTGTTTCCGATATAGAGCAGCTGAACTTCGTATCCGAACCGATCGCCGAACCACCTATTGTACTTCTCGCCCATATTGTACCCGACGCACGCACTCGAATGCATGGTGATCTCGACCTGCTCCAGCCCCTCCGTCTCCGGCGTCAGCGAAACGTGCAGCGCTTCGTGGCCGATCTTCTGGTCCGGTCTGTCGAAGGCATGGTCTTTGGTATACGTGACAACCACTTTGGTGGGAACTCCGCTTTCCGCTTGCTCGGCGAACGCGGTCGTGAACAGGCACATCTCCGGGAACTCTGCCACGTGCATGTTCTTTTGCTGGTCGACGTTGTACAGCATGAAGCACCTGTCGTGCGGGAACCCCGTGTACATGGCGGACAGGCCGGGCAACGAAATCCCACGTAGGGACTTGATGGGATACGTGTAAAGCTGGACAGTGCAAACAGAACAGAGCGGTAGAGATCAGCGACAAAAGCGACACCCGCATATCACAGGGGAAGAGAATGAGACATACCTGTTTCACTCGCATCGAGCCTGGCCTTTGCGTGTTCGGTTCCGGTTGCGACGGTGTCGACTCTGCCATTTTGTGCCTCTCCCTCTCCGGTGTGAAGACAGGCTTATGCCTCTCAGATAGAGACTATTCACAGCCTTGCACCTCTCGTTTTTCTTTTGCCGAGTTCCGCAACCGCAATCGTGACCTTACAGGAGGGAAGATCTACTATACGCCGCCGTCTCTGTCAATCAAGATCAAGATTCAAAGGCGCTCGTCTTCGTCTTCGTCTCTGCAACCGAGCGGCGAACGGAGATGCGCGAAGCTAAGATTCCGTGTCCGGTGGTCGCAATGTTGAACGTGAAACTGAACGGTGTCAGTTTGATGGTGGTCGATACTCGTAGTTCGATATTCGAGCGATAGCGATGTTGATAACGACTATAATCTGCAGCTCCTCTTCTCCACCAGAACCACTCACCCTGTCGCTGCCGCCGCCGCAGTTGCCCACTGTACTGGCTTTGCACGTGCAGACGATAAGATAAGCAACCATGACTCATGTAAGCATTAATGCGGAAACCATGATCGCGCCAAGGCTCCTTAGGCTACCTTAGTCCTAATACAGCGTACAACTTTTTCCGGCCTCTGCCACCAGTACGAACGACGACGAGCATGGACTGAGTCCTCCGTACCAGTAGCAGCGTCGACAGAGCTGCAGTCTTCGCCATCCCATCGATCCTGTCCTTCCAGTTCCGGTGACAGAGGACAGTTGCTTGATCGTCTATCGTCTGTTGGACAGGCAATGAAGACACCCGCGGCGCCTTCCAGAGGTCTCCTGCGCTTCCTGCGATCTCAGTCCAACGTCGCCTTCAGCAACCCCGGTCCCGGTCCCGGTCTCTGTCCCTCGGCCTCTCTAGCACCTCCCAACCCAGCACGGCTCTGCCGGCCTCGGCCTCTGTGCACATCCTCTTCCCGGTCCTTGCCAAAGCAGCAAACGCCGTTCGAGGATCTATGGCGCCGGTACCGCGAGCCATGCAAAGCCTTGCCGCCTCCCCGACTTGCTCCTCCCCATCCTCCGCAGGCTCGAAGTGCTAGTACACGCACTCACGGTCTCAGCTTTTGGCGCCGTCTACTTCGTCGTAAAGAAGCAGCATCGCGCTACAAGCAACTGCCAGACCCGCCGGCGGGGCCTTCCAGCTACGATGAGACGTCTGCTCAACTTTTCAATCTCTCCCGATCCCTTTCCCGCAATCCTACCGGCGGAGATCTGAAACTCCGCTGCACCGAGTTCGATGCCAACGGATCCGTCATTCTAGTGTCTGGCGAATTCAAAAAATCGGAGTTGATCGCAAAATATGGCCTGCTCCCGCGTGATCTTCGCAAGATAGACTCGTCGGTTCTTCCCCATATCCTTGTCCGCCCCACCGCCATTCTCATCAACCTCCTCCACCTCCGGGTTCTCATACAGTCGGACAGAGTTTTGGTGTTTGACGCATATGGGAGCACAGACTCTTATACACAGTCGCTGTTCATGTACGACCTGGAGGGCAAACTGCGACAGAAGTCGGATCCAAGGAATGGCTCCACATATCTTCCCTACGAATTCAGAGCTCTTGAGGCCGTCCTCATCTCTGTCACATCAGGTCTCGAAGCAGAATTTGCACTTGTGCGCGAGCCGGTGGTCCATATCCTGCGCGAACTCGAAGAAGACATCGACCGAGACAAGCTGCGGCATCTACTCATCCATTCCAAGAAGCTGGGCGGATTCGAACAAAAAGCCCGTCTTGTACGAGATGCGATCGACGATCTTCTCAATGCAGATGACGATTTGTCGGCAATGTATCTGACTGAACGGAAATCAACCGGCAAGCCCAGAGCCGAGAACGACCATCAAGAAGTGGAAATGCTTCTTGAATCGTACCATAAAATCTGCGACGAAATTGTCGAGATATCAGGCAACTTGATTAGCAACATCAGAAACACGGAAGAAGTGGTCAAGGCCATTCTTGACGCGAACCGAAACCAGCTCATGCTGCTTGAAATCAAGTTCAGCGTCGGAACTCTAGGTCTTGCCGGCGGAACCCTGGTCGCCGGTCTTTATGGCATGAATCTCAAGAATTTCATGGAGGAGTCCGACCTTGCCTTCGGCGGAGTCAGCGTTGTATGTTTTGTGCTGTCGGCGGTGATCTGCGTCTATGGCATGCGCAAGTTGCGCAAGGTGCAGAAAGTTCGCATGTGGGGCGAGGGAGTGGAAGCTCTGGGCCCGCGCGGGAGGATAGGTGGTCGAGGAAACTGGCGCAGCGAAGCCGTGGAAAGCCAGGCACAGCGGACAGCAAGGCTGAAAGGAGGCGGCGTCAGTCTCGGCGGCACTGCATCGAGGCCTGTTCTCTGGCCGGGTATGGATGGGCTGGGCATGCACAAACTCAACATCGAAAGTGAGGACGATCCGAGAAACGTTGTTATTGACCCTAACAGTGACGCGGACGCCGTGTCCGAGTCTCCTCGCAAGAGTGTTGTTGATGGTGCGGAAGCACAGACGAAGCCGGACGGGCAGAGGTCAAAGGACTCTGTGAAGAAGAAGCGCGCTTGATCACACTGACAATCGCACATGGCACTCACGGGATGTTCATGGATTGCGCCTCGCAGCTCACCGGCCGTGACCTGCGGTTTAGATATACACACAGGCTAGGCGACTCTTCTCTTTTTTGCGTTCAAGCGGGACTGTCGGCGTTGCATTGGACGGAGTCGAGGGGGCGATTGATTGGGCGGTGACGAAAGACCCAGCCTCGGGCACCCTCATTGGGGGTTTCTATCATGCAGTGTTTCCCGAGGACTTTGCTCTCCTCAATCACACGAAGCAGGGCTAGGGCATTGGAGCACCTACCAAGTGGTGCGTCGAAGTGCTCCCCAGAAAGACCATTGCTGGGTGCAAACGCAAATGCAACGGCTGTGGACTAGTGGTTTCGACGGCTTAGATCGATCGGCTTGAAGCGATGTACGAATACTATACGGATACCTGTTATGTCTTATTAGTCCTAGTCCATGCGAATCAGATGCTCTCCATTTTCCTCCTCCTTTGGACGTGTGGTCATGAGCGATGCCCGTTCGTTTCTTCCTTGAGGTTATTATATGCCACACAATGGCCGGCGTATGTATGTTTGTTGACGGAGAAAAGACCGGCAGAATTTGGCATCCAGTTCAATTCTCTGACACTACACGTAGAGCTCGCTCTAACTCGCCGTGTCCCGCTGGACGACAGGTTTCCAATGAGATGCCGATCGCACTGATTGCGTTGCTGCTTCCGTCAACCCTTCAAGTTGTCGGCGTCCCTGTCCCTGTTGCTGAAGCTCACGCTCACACCTCACACCTCACACCCACACTCAAGCCCCCCATGCCCACACCCCTACTGTCCTGCTAGGCTTGGATCATCGATTACCAGTCATCATCGTCGTCCTTCTCGTCATCTGTGAAGCGATAGAATTAGCATGCGCAGGTCAAGGTATCGCACAGAACACAGGCATAACTCACCGCTCCCGCTGACTTTCTTCTTTCTTTGGTTGAGAGCTGCCTCTAGCGCACTTGCAAGTCCACCCTGTGCATCTGAGCCTCCGGCCGGGGTTCCAGGCGCACCAGGAGGTGGAGGGGCAGCGCTAGAATCTGCTCCTGGCACCATCGCGGCCGAACGGTCACGCTTTTCGGCGTCGTTAACTCGGCGCAGACGGCCGCTAGTTGTTCCTCCAGTGCTGCGAATTGCGGCGAGAAGATCATCGCGCCCACCCCCTCCGACGGGAGGCAGGGGAGGAGGGGCTGGGGCGGCCCCTGAAGCGGGTAGAGGAGGGGGAGGAGGCGGTCCAGAGGATGAAGGAAGAGGAGGAGGTGGAGGCCCTGCAGAAGAGGGCATCGGAGGGGCAGGAGGAGGAGGAGGTGGTGGTGGTCCTGCTGAAGAGGGCATTGGGGGAGGAGGTGGAGGTGGAGGCGGAGGTGGCCCTGCTCCCGCAGGGGGAGGAGGAACTGCACGAGTGTTGGGGGGTGGTAATGGCGGAGGATTATTCCGCCCCGGCGGTGGAGGTGGTGGCGGAGGCGGGATAGCAGCAGGAGCGGTTGTGTGAGATGGTGACGGTCCTGCTTTGGGCGGCAATGGCGGTGGTACGATCTGAGCAGAAGGTGTATAGCTTTCCCGGCTAGGAGGGGGCGGTGGAACAGGTCCACGACTTGGTGGAGGGGGAGGAGCTGAGGATTTACGTTCTCCTGTAAACGGGGGAGGTACCTTAAACATCCCGACAGGCTCCTCTTCGATGGGCGCCTTCGGGGGTCGAGGCGGCGGCGGCGGACCTGGATTTGCAAGGGAACCCGAGGAGGCACGATTCCGGCCTGAGGTATAAACTGCTGGACCTTCTTTGACGGCGTATTTGCCTGCGTCTGCGATGGGCGGAGGCGCTCGAAATCTTAGTTGCGGAGTGGGAGCCGGAGATGGTGTCCGAGGAGGAGAACTTGACCTTGGGGGCGACGATGCCCTCCCAGGGGCAGGTCTTCGCGATGGCGGCGGTGCTGGCGGAGGACCTCGACGGCTCGACGAAGCCGTGGTACCCGTATTCTCCGGGCTGATTCTTGGAGCAGGGGGCGCTGCAGGAGGCGGAGGTGGAGGAGCTCTTGACCGCGTCTCAGAAGTCAAAGGTAGGGCATGGGCGATAGAACTTGCCATTTCCTCGGCCTGCTTCTTCTCGACGTAACTCTTGATGAAGTCGGCATTCTGTTCGATTTGGTCTTCAGTGATACCCATCACAAGAAGCTCGTCCAGAATCGGTCTCCACGATGGATCAGCCAGATCAATTCCCCCTACGATGTTCGGAGAATGATTCGAGGTGATCGGGCTGTAGATGGGTTGGGGAGCAACCGCCTGCGGTTGTTGTGTCTGGATAGGGTTGGAGCTGTGCCTGTGGCCACGAAAGAAGTTGCCCACTCTGCTGTAGTGTTTGTGCGATCCCCCAGGAACGAAGACCTGGCCTCCGCCGGGGGCTGAAGCGAAAGGTTGTGCCTTGGTGTGTTTGCTAGCATTCTTTTCCCGCTCATCCATCTTCTTCTTGAACTGGCGGGCCTCCTTCTCGTCGGCAAATGACAAGCCCGCCATGCATTGTTCCAACTCGAACGAATAGAAAAAGGTGCGATCCTGGTTATATTGGAAGGTATCGTAGATTTCTTGATCCCAGATGACTCCTCTATTCGCAGGCGAGATATCGACGAGTTTGATCCAGAAGGTGTTCCCCACGAGGTCGTTGGAGAGAACCGCAGCCCCCTGGAGACCCGTGTACGTCCATCGTTTATGGTTAGGATGGGCCACGTAAAGTCGAGCGACAGCCACAGCTTGGATCTTGTTTGAAGCTTTAGGGACGGTGCGCTTGACCGTCTCTTTGTCGGCGTCGGAGAGAATTGACGGCATGGTGGAAGGATAGCTGTAGCCGTTCAGGCGGACTTCAGGAGAGACTCATCGAGCCCTTCGTGCTCGGTACTCGATCGAGGAGACGGCTGTCCCTATGAAGAGGGAGAGAATCGAGTGACGATGACTCTAAACTGTGATATTGGAAGAGATCGATACTGTCACCTGCATCTGACATAAGGAAGGCAGGCGATAGGTAACCCAGAGCCGGGGAAGAAGGGAAAGCCAAAGAAAGCTACCATACAGTAATTACGGAGTACTGTACCACCAGTACTGTAATGCGCCGCGTTTGCCGCGTGGCTTCTGGCACCGGGAGACAGCCAGCGAATTACTGAGAGACCCCGACAGCGCCTGGAAGAATGATTAGTTAGGGCTTAGGAGCGGCGCCGATCCCTGGTTTGCAGGGGACAGGCCCCTAAGCCCTTAGTTGCTTAGTCCCTGAGGCGCTTGTTGAGCTGCCCAGTGCCCGGGGCCTAGAAGAGCTGTGGGGTCGGAGCTGTAGCTTGTGACGATGACTTCGGGCCTGAGCCTTCGCCTTCCGTCATCTTTCGAATCCCCCACCTGCATCAACAACGTCATCGCTTTGCAGAGCAAACGCCGCAGCCTGAGTGAAGTGGCACGGTCACGGTCACGGCCCTGCATCATCGAAGTACATAAGTTGTCTCTTCGCCAGGTCAGGATTCCACTTCCTCGTCTTCATCAACCTGACTTCTGTGATCTTATACCAACTCTCAACATCCACCGGACCAGTATCCAATCCAATATCTACCCACCATCATGCCTCAGCATCCCGCCGAAGAGAACACCCAATCCCACATCTTTGACAAGGTTGCCAAAGAATCTTCTGACTCCACGGCTTCGAACCATCCTCTCCACGATGAAAACAAAGGGCCATTGAAGCAGGCAACCTCTGAAGACCATAGAAGCAAGGGTCCGCAGCTCTCGGACAGTAAGAGACCCTCACACGATTATAGCAGGAGACGGTCCGCTGACCGTTGACAGACCTTCCCCCAGCCGCTGACAAAGAGGAGTTGAGGGCAAAGGCTCGAGAGATGAACAAATAGGCGTGTACAACGGAGTACCGGTGACGGGATGAATTGAAATGAAATGGAAGGATGGTATCACTCGCTGCATCGATAACCTGCATCGATAATGGGAAATGTGATCATGGCAAGTCAGGCACAAAAAGAATGGTTCATGGCTTGACAAGAGTTTCTTCTCATAAGTGTTCCAGCGCCAGTGCCTCAAATAGCCCTCTCTAAATCAATCCTGAGCATTTTTCTTTCGCCCTCGCTATGCATCCAGTAGGCCCATTGCTGTCTCGATTGCCTCAGTCAAACGTCATGCCCGACGCGCCCGCTTCTCAGGAGGCTCGCCATCGTCTCCCCGTTCGCGATCATTGCCTCCGGCGGAGCCATTCATGTTTCCCGAACTTCCAGGCACCTGTTCCCCCTCTTCAGATGATCTGGGCAGAGTGATGGAGAAATATACAAGCCTGCGGGAGTGACTCTCCTCGCTCTCTTTTCCACGCTTCTGGGTTGCACTGCTTGCCTCCGGCGTTTTGACAAGCTCGAGCTCTTGGCCAGCGCCGTTGCCTGTATCATCGTCGGCTTTCTTGCTCTGGTCGCTATCTGGGGTTTGTCGAGCGTCGCCTGTACTCTTACTACCGCCATCTGTTGTCTTCTTGTCGTCCTCCACGAGTTCACTGTACTGCCATAGCGTCTTCAAGTCTCCTTTGACTAACGCCGTGCCCCAGAGTGACAGAAGAACCCCGGGAACCAAGTATAGCAATGCTGGTTGAGCATGCTGTGCAACCTGCATCACCACAACTGTGGTGCACATCCCGACAAGATAGCCAAAGATTGTGGCGAAAAAATACGGCTTGGGGAACTGCTTGGCCTTAACCTCCTTCGACCACAGTTGTCGGCGGGTCCACAGTCGTTCACCCCAGCTCCCTCGCGCGTTGACATAGATGGGCTTCTGCGCATCGGTTTCCGTCACCGTGTTGCTCGACTTCTGAGTTCTTTCACCTAATCGAAGATAATAGAGATACAAGTCGAATCTCAATGCGAAGGCGAGCATCATGCCAGGAACCACAATATCGCCCAGACCCAGCATCGCCATTGTCCTCTTCTTTGAGAGGCACTGTAGGTATTCTTCCATGGCTGCCGACCCTTCAGGTGCACCCACTGGGAACACACAACCATCAGGTCTTGGGAAGAGTAGTTTGATAGGCACATCCAGTTTTGTTGCCACTGTCACCATCATGGGCGTGAAGAAGACAAAATAGATGTCGTAGAAAAACAAAGCGCTGAGCACGAGCGTCCCCGTCCAGGCGGTGGTCGGAGTCATGTACTGCAGAGATCCATAACAGAAGGAGAAGCCGAGAAAGTTGGTTAAAAACCATGGCTTGGACACAAATCCATGATAGTAGACGACGACGCAAGACAGAACCAAACTTGCGACGGCCAGGACGTCAATGGATTCCTTGAGGGTGATGAGCCCATGGACGTGCAACCTAAGTCTTGCTTCCGCATAAAGAACGTTTCTGAGTGTCCAGATCCGCCGGCTCACGGAGCGAGGGATCGGTATTACCCGCAGGAATGCTGGGAAGGGGGAAGTTGATGTTTTGCCATCCTCACTCCTGTAGCAGCGCTGCTGCCCGTCCACCTTCCAAACCGAACCGCCGCTCGAGTAAGTGGATGGGAAGCAAAGCGACCGAGCCACCCGAAACATGTCCTTCAGAAACTTGACGGCAAAGAACAAGCCGATCTGAGAGAAGTAGATGCCCAATGCCCAATTCAACCAGGCCGGATCTTGAAGCCATTTGAGAATAAAGTAGAGCGAAGCCAGCGTCCCACCGGCCAGAAGTGGGAATAGAAGAGCGTCCGAAGGAGTCAGGCTCTCGATCTGCCGAGCTTCATCTTCATCGCGTTCCTCATCGTCCCCGGTTGGTGTTTTGGTCTTGCGAGGCGCAGCGGACGGAGGTCTTGAGAGCGAAGCATGCGCGGCGGTGTAGATAGGGAAGATAGCCGATACGAGAAGATGTAGGTAGGTCGGTAGCAGCGGCCGCATTGTTTCCAAGTCGTAGGCTACTCGACCGAGAAATTCCATCACCGGTCCAGGTGGTGATGCCATCGTTCTGTTCTGCTGCTAACATCCACGCCACGACAAAAAGCGAGTGCGTTGTATCTAGGACTCCTGATTCAGCTAGCTCGGGCTTGATCGGATATCTTTTCACGAGTCCTGAAACAACGGCGTGAAAAGGCAATGCTGGTCGAAATGAATGCAACGGTGACCGAAACCAGTCCTTCACTGAAACAAATTGAAGAGGCCAGGCTGTCCTTGGCGACGTGCCATTGGTCAGCCTTGTGCCCGTAGCCCCAGGAGGCCCTAGGCGCCCTACTATGTGCTACCTACAGATTCTACCCGTAGCCGCAGGAGGAACGAGTACATAGTACATGCCTATACAGTTAGAAAAGCTCACATTGTCTCGAGTAGTGTCAACTATTTGTCCAACCTTTCTCGGCCGTTGAGCTGGACACTGGTTGCAGTTTCAGTGTAATAAACAAGGAGACGCAGAGACCGCCCTTGGACTTTTACCATGGCCTCTTCCGCCCACAGCACATCTCGCCGATATGCGAGATGATGTTTCAGTGTCTCGTTTGCGATCCGCAATGAGGCAGCGATAGATTTCGGACCGTGGTCCTTCATCTCATCCAGCAGGCAGTACTCTACAGACTGAAATATGTTCCGCGCTGGAGCTGCGAAGTCTATCCGGTGCTCGAGAGCCGGTAGGTCGGAGAACCTGGTACTCGCATCTGGCTCGAAGAGCAACTCCTTGCTTCTGCTGCTGGTGGCAAAGCTACCACGCAACGTGGCCATAACGCGATAGAGCTGGTACATTCCTTGCCACAACATTGTCTGGCAAGCCCAAAAAACAAGGAGGGTGTGGGCAACAGACAGGTGCGGAAAGTGAAACGCAACCGGGAAGAGCCTCCCATCCTCTCCGTCCTCATCACAGATTTGCCCACGAGCCAGCTCGGGCCAATATAAAGGTCCTGCTTGGCTTCTGACCAATTCATCATGGAATGAGGCGAGATCGCGATCCATTTTCCAGCACTTCGTAATCATCTCTGTCGCAAGCCGGAGTCGGCTGTCGGAATCCATGTATGCAAGCAGTTCACCTTGCCTCTGGAGCTCAGGAGCAATAGTGACAAAGTCATAGACTTGGTCAAACAACGTTTTCGGATGACTCTGCCACGGTACTTCCTGCCACACAGGCTCCGACAGAAATGTCGGCTGCTTGGTGTCCAATGCATACAGAATCTAGATCTGTGAGACAAAGACCTCACACTGGGGGACCATGACTTACACTTTGCACTCGAAATTGAACGAAAATCTGATGTGCCAACCCTTCGGTGTGTGCCTCTGGGCCACGGAGTTGCATCAGTCTTTCGCAACCAGATGTGTGGCTGATATACCCATGCTTTGAGTTGCTTGGGCACTGGCTCAACTCATAGGTGGCTAATGCGATGCACGCAGCCAACGTCTGCTCATGGTACATAAGCTCGGGATCCCAAAGTGCCTTTTGAAGCTGGTGTAGTCCACGTTGGTAAAGCCTGAGGCTCTCGTACTGCAAGGTTGGGTCGCCGTCATAGACTTCGCTCAATTTAGCCACACATAACGCCATTGCCGATACTTCCAACGCAGAGTTCAGATATAGCATGGTTGGTAGCTGACAGAGCCACAGCCTTCGATGCATGGGCCCGAGGTGGGCTTTGGGCAGGTGGAAAGAGAGATATTCCTCGAGGAGTTGCTGTCGGATTGCTGGGGATGGATCGACTTGACCGACCTGACGAAGTGCAGACTTGACGGGCTCAAGAATGCTCAACACTGTTTGCTGTTGTGGAGGTCTCCTGTGGCAAACGACTGACTTCGCTTGGTCGTCCGCTGGGATCTTATGCTGAATGAAGATTGGATACCGAGAATAGCCTGTACAGGCCCGCCTCGACTTGATGCACTGGGCACAAAAGGGCTTCTCGAGGCCGCACTAGATCGGCATCAGCAGACACGAATAAAAGCCCACCTCAGACCAGCGATATGGATAAAAGCACTACGCACCGCTATCTTGCGCTGTCTGCATGTTCCACAGCCTCGAGCGCGAGCGACACCAACCATTGAGGGCCTTCTGACGACGGCTGTTTACTTCGGGAGAGCTTAATATGGGACTCGATCAGGGTCAGCAGCGCTGCGAGATAAGAAACACTCGGTCATGAAAGAACAAGAAAGAATCTGGGAACAAAGAGCTTATGTATAAGGCAATCGATTGACTTTTGTGTGTGCTCATAGCAGCGCTGAGGGGATCTGTTCACAGATGGAGAATGGCGAATGGCTGCCTGGTGAACGATTCGTGGCTGATTCACTAGGCTGAGAAGGGCACATTCTGCGAACAGCATGATGTGGGATTGGCCGAAGTGTTCAGCGTGACATGCGAGCTTAACTATTGGTCGTTCCCAGGTACCCTTGTTGGAGGGCATGTCGCCTTGTAAGACAACATCGTCGCCTACAAGCCGGACGTTGCACACTCGTTCACTTTCTCTCGTTGGGGAGGAATCCGTGGTCTTGCTGCCTGCTTCCTAGCCGAGTCATCGCCGGGCTCTTCAGATCGAGATCGTTTCGTATTTCTGGCCATACCAGAGGCTTGCTTCTCACTTGGGAGTGTAGGCAGGTTGATGTCGGTGCCCAGTCGATTTGTGTAATCATGGATGATATCTGACCGGGTGTCGGATTTGTCGAGCTGGACCTTGTTGACAAATCGTAATGCTTGTTGAGCCAGAACAAGCTGGTGCTGTTTGTTGAAGCTGACGAGTCTCAGTTTGTCTCTGATTTCTGCCGTTGTGGCCTTCTCAGCCTCGAGAGCCTCGGACTTTTCCTTCAACGACGCTTCGAGCGACAGTATTCTCTCGTTCATCTCCGACTTTTCCTTCTCACGGGCCCGCATGGAGGCTTCGAGATGGGCATAATTGGCTTTCAAGACCTCATATTTGCTTTCGGTCTTGCTTCCACGCAAGACCTCGTCTCCAATGCGTTGCTCTAGCTGCTTAATCTGACGCATCCAATAACATTCCTCGTGTTTGCAATTGGCATCGCGACAGGGCAGCGGACTTTTCGACATTCTTTCTCCCTACAGCTGCAGTTGGGGACGCTTGGTGATGGAGGATGCAAAGGTAACCCGGGGACATATGGCTCCGCGTCAAATGCTAAATTGGTCAGATTGCCTAAGGTTTGGTCATGCCGGAATACTCACCGCTTGGAGACCGAGCGCCCAGGTTAAATCTAAGTCGCAGTTTTGATTTAGCAGCGAATGCACTGCAGGACGTGAGAACTGAAGATAATCACAGAGATTCTGTCTCTGAATTATATAGGCCGATGCCGCCACATACAGCTTTGCTCAGCCGACAAACACGATATCTCCTTTGAACACATTTCTTTGTCCTTCAGAGACTCATTTTCGCCGCCGTGGCAGGCGATTGGGAAGGAGACCAAGCAAAGGGGCGGAGACGTGCATGTTGCGTAATTTCAATTTCTTACCGCCGCCATGTTCCATCTCTTTGCTGCTGGAACTGGACCTGAAGTGAATGCGCCGGATCTAGACTTGGGCGACCCTGTAATGCGATGCATCGGATCCAATCGACTTGGCTGGGAGGATTGGAGAGATAGACACTCAGGCAGCAGCGGTACAAGTCTCATAGATGGTCCACCCGCCATGCAAGAGAGCGTATGCAGAGAACCTGGTCAGGTCCAAGATCGAATGCAACACACCGCAATGCACAGCAACACACTGTACAGAGTACGGAGTCAGAATACAGAGTACTAGAGGTACAGAGTACCTGCTACACGTCTGGCGACGCGATGGATGTTGAGGTTGAGCCAGAGAAGTCTCTGCTTCACCGTAGCAGGTAGCAGGCTTGTATGTATCACGTGCGAACGCGTTTCTACGGAAAAGCTTGTCGCCCAGAAATGTCTCCAAACCCCGCCTGCGCCTGGCGTTCCAGGTTCATCTCGCACTGAGGCCTCAACCCCTCACCCCCTTGACGCGTCCCTGTTCTATCTTGACATCTTGACCGCCTAGGTGTATATCAAGCATGAGACCTCTGAACGAGCGTGTAATCCCCTACAAAGCGAGAGCGTGACTGGTGGAGATGCCTCGGGCGCCGTTGCCGTTGAAACGCAGTGTTAGTATCACCGATCTCCGTTTCACTCTGCGCCGGGTCTTTGGCAAAGACTCGTTTCGACCGCTGCAGGAAGAAGTCATCACTGCTGCCGTTGCCGGCCACGATGTCTTCCTCTGTGCAGCCACCTCATTCGGGAAGTCCCTCTGCTACCAACTGCCCGCCGTGGTGTCTTGGGGAGTCACCGTCGTCATTTCTCCGCTGCTCGCTCTGATGCACAACCAAGTCCAGTCGGCACAGGAACTGGGTATCGCAGTCGAGTCCATCAATGGCAGAACCCCGTGGGCCGAAAAGGTGCGCATTGAGACGGACCTTCTTTGTGGGCATCCCGCGACCAAGCTGCTTTATGTGACCCCTGAACTCTGTGCAACCGATCATTTCCGCAAACTCATCCTCCAAATCCATCGCCAGGGTCAACTTGTCCGCGTCGCCATTGATGAGGCCCATTGCATTAGTGAATGGGGTCACGATTTCCGCCCGACGTACAAGGAGCTCATATGGCTGAAGTCGACCCTCAACTGCCCGTCGGTCCCTATCATGGCCGTGACCGCCACGGCGACCAGGCAGGTCCGAGACGACATCTTCAGCATTCTCGGACTCGATGATGGGACAACTCGATGTTTCTCAACCTCGACCGTACGGCCCAACATCCACTACGAGGTACAGTATTTCTCCGAGTCGAACCCGGAAAACGGCGAGAACGACATCCTACCCTATCTCATGAGCAGACTGGAGTTCATGCACCAAAGACGCCTGGCACGGCTCAATTCTCTCTTGCAGGAGGATGCGGCTGCTGTGGTGGCACCTATCAGCGGTATCATATATGTGTCACTTCGCTCGACCGCCGACTGGTTGGCCTCGAAACTCACCGTGGCCGGTATTCGAGCACTGCCGTACCACGCCGGGCTGGAAGACGAGAAACGCACCCAGACCCAGACGACCTTCCTTCGATATGCCACGGCGGATCCGGGTCTCTTGCAGGCCAGGGACGACAGAAGTCTCATGACCTCGTTCAACATCATTTGCGCCACCACGGCCTTTGGGATGGGCATTGATGTTCCGACAATCCGATTCGTCATCCACTACGGCCTACCTCGAGGCATGGAGGCTTTCACGCAAGAGTCGGGCCGGGCGGGTCGAGACAACAAAGCGGCATCCAGTATCATCTTCTACACCCGCGAGGACAAAGAGCGGTGTGAGTTCCGGGCGAGATCCGATGCCAACCGCGAGAAGAGCAAGGCCAAATCCGAGGCGAGGATGCAGTCGCTGAAAAGCATGGTCGATTTCTGCGAGAACACGGACATCTGCCGCCACCATCTGGTCTCCCGCTACTTTGGAGACCAGGCCGGGCTTGCCGACTGTTACTTTGCCTGTGATGTGTGCAAGGAAGGGCCTGCAAGGCTGAAGAGGCGCAAGGAGAAGGGGCTGGCGACAGAGACGGAGGCATTTGCCTTTACCCAGCGTGAACCAGTGATGAATTACGACTTCGAGTAACGAAAGCTACGACGAAACGACTTAGATATCCCTTGGAAGACCGAGTGCGGAACAGGCCCCAAACCAGCATACAATTGTGAAAAGTATACACCATCTTTGAGACCGCGCTCGCCGCAGCCTAGAGATGTCTTCTTGTACAAGAACAGCAGATAGTCGAGTTGAATGATATCTCTGCCATTCCTGCCCAAGCCGCGATCCAATTCGTGCTCCAATGATCACGGTTTCTTCTCATAATAGCCCCCCGAAAAGTCCACCAGCCACCCTTTCTCCACCTTGCTAAGATCTTTCATATACACCTTGGCTCCGGTCTCCAAGACCTCATGAAACACGACAAACTCGGCCTTGCGGTTAAACAGCAGACTTGTTGGATGCGCGTACATGGCAACATTGCCCGACACCGACCGAAAGCTTCCATCAGGCTGCATCTTGGCGGCTTGCGAAAAGTAGCCAGTCACAAGACATTGGAGGATATGGGTCGACTTGTCTGTATTTGTGGGTTGCACAGTCGAGAGGTGGGGCGGCTTGGAGGTTGATAGCGACTCCTGAACTTTGACCCCCAGGCGCTCCAGGTATCGTCGTAGCTGGTTGCGAACACTCACAGCTCGCTGCATCGACTTGAAATTTAGATGATGATCATGGCACCACCGTGCTTCTTTCTTTCCCTGGGCCACAAAGGCTTGGTAGACGTTGAGTAGAGTGAGGTGATCGCCTTCCTCGGCTGCAAATTTCTTCCTCGACAGATCCATTGCTTTCTTCTCGCCGGAATGGTGGAACCAGACGTTGCCCTCGAGCGAAGTCATGGCGGCTATGGTGAGCATCTCACTTTGGCAATTGAACCTTGGGTCGGAGGATACCAGCAAGCATTTGGCCATCATCGGCGGTATGGAGAGCTCCGCCATACGTGTCCCCAGGGGCGAGGTCAGCTTTGCGTATTCGTCGATCGCGCCCAACGAGTAGAGGAGGTCGAAAGCGCGGACGAGTAGTTGAGAGGGCGGTGGCGATAGGAAATCGAAGCGGACAATATTATCGATTCCCAGCGCCTTCAGCTGAAGAACTACCGGTGCAAGGTTCGAGCGTTGAATTTCAGGTGTGGTCGTGGCAGGTAGAGACTGGTATGCACGCTCTGTATATAGTCGGAAGCACTTCCCTGGTCTGGTGCGGCCTGCGCGGCCAGCTCGTTGGGTGGCAGAAGCTTTGGACACCGGGAAAGGAGCAAGCCTGTCTATGTTTGTGGTGGGATTGAAAGAGCGGAGTTTAACAAATCCACAATCGACGACATAGACAATGCCAGAGATAGTGACCGATGCCTCCGCAATGTTTGTGCTGAGAATCACCTTTCGCGTATTTTCCGCGGCTTCGTAGAAGACGTACGATTGGTCTTCCGAACTGAGTCCTGCGTACAGCGGAAGGGGTTGAAGGGCCTGGGCTTGTGGATGCAGCGTCGAAGCCAGGTCGGACAACTTCTGCATGGCGATTTCAATCTCCTCCCTACCGGTCAGAAACACGAGGATGTCCCCTGCAGGTTCTTGTTGGTGGATGGTAAAGGCAGTCTGAATAGCCTTGTCGACATAGTCATCCGCTGGTTGATCGAGATACAGGATATCAACAGGGTACGTCCGACCCTCAATGCTGACAATTCGACACTGTTCGCTGGAACTGTCGTCGCCCCTGAAAAAGTCGGCGAATCGCTCAGCTTCAAGGGTGGCGCTGCTGACAACGATCCTCAACTCCGGTCGACGCTTCATGATCTTCTTCAGGAGGCCCAGCAAGATGTCCGAACTCAAGGACCGTTCGTGAGCTTCGTCCACCATAATGACAGAATATCTTGACAACAGCGGGTCAACCAAGGCTTCACGCAATAGCATGCCGTCGGTGAGGAACTTAATCCTGGTCTCCGGAGAGGTCACATCTTCGAACCGAATCGAATATCCGACCTTTTCCCCGATCTGACATTTCATTTCTTCGGCGACGCGGGTAGCAAGGGTGGTGACTGCCACTCGCCTAGGCTAGATGGACTGTCAGGTATAGGTTGAAACAGTCTGAAAATCCCACTTACCCACCTGAGTGACTGCAATGCGTTTCCAGCTGTCGCACCATCCTGCTTGCTCTAGGTATTGAGGGAGTTGAGTAGTCTTGCCGCTGCCTGTTTGGCCGACCAGCACAGTGACTTGGTGGGTTTCGATGGTGTATAGTAGGCTGTCTCGATGCCTGGCAATTGGGAGCAGCTCGGACGGGGTGAAGAGGGCGGGAATGAACTGGAGATCCATCTCTGCAAATCCGGTGAGGGTCTACAGGGATGGAGAGCTCAGTCTGGATCGTCTCCGAATTGGTCTCCTGCCGCCGACACGATTCAAAATGAATCATAGCATTATAGGTACCTCAGGTAGGTAGGTAGTTTAGAATAGTTATATTCAGTCGATACAGAGTAGGCCGTTAAGGTAACTTAGGTGCCTACCTATAAGGTACGTACAGTATGTACCGAGTGAGGGAGAACCTACAGTAGGTAGTTAACTGGCACAGTACCTACCAGGTAGTATTCCTGTTCAGTATCTTGTCGTGAGATTCGAAAGTCGAAAGTCGAAAGTCGGAGCCGCACCGCCACACCTGCGCCACGGAATTTTGTTGACCGTCAGCCACTTCGTCACTGCCAAGAACAACTCTCTGTAGGTGCCTGCGCCGCAAATGCTGGCACCTACGTGTAGGTATACTCCATAGTATTAAGGGACGTACCTAGAGTTGTGGTGCTACTCTCAGTGTCATGGTCCTACATTACTCTGTGCCATCTTGACCCATCTTCGACTCTGTCCATCAACAAGTCAAGCAAGTCAAGCTACAATTCCCTTGCCTCATCTTCCAACATGGCCAACTCTGGCGCTGTAAGTCCCTCCATCCGCCCGCAGTACCAGCTGGATCCTGACTTCCATCCGTAGTCCTCTCCCGTCTCGCCCCTCAAACCATCCGATGGACCGCCGGAATCTCCTACCACAGCCCGTCCACTGGACTTTGACAGCGACCAAGAGACAGGCACCGTGGCCGCGGCAACTCCATCAAAGACGCAAACCTCTCTGCCCGATCCCCCCCCGAAAGACGAGGAAGCTCCACCCCCCAAACCTCCCAGGCCCATGAGCCCTCGCGAACAAGCAGAGACTACGCTGAGAGAAGCCTTTCCGACCATTGATTCCAGTGTCGTCCGAGCAGTTCTAACAGCGAGTGGCGGGAACGTCGAGCCGGCATTCAATGCCTTACTGGGCATGACGGATCCAGACTCACAACGGGAGCCTGAACCACCAGCCAAACCTCCACGCCCGACACAACAATACCAACCTCCTCGCTCAACCGCCAAACTCAGTCAGGTAGAAGCAGATGAACTCTACGCCAGACAACTGGCCGAACACTACAGTGGTGCCAGTCAACCAGGTCAACCTCGTCGCGGGTCTGGTGGTAGATTCAACGAAGATCTTCCCGGATCAAGGGCAGGACGACCAGGTGCAAATCCAAATCCAGACGATGTTCCCTGGCGGAGTTTCATCGATGGTATGCCACATCCGCGTCCAGTCCTGACAGCGAGATCACACTGACCAATGATTACCAGATGACCTGCCTGAAATCCGGGACAATATCCGCAAAGGCTTCATGGAGACGCAGAGCACCGTGAATAAATGGATATCGGTGTTCAAAAAGAAGCTAGATGGCGATGATGAAGAGTCGGACTTGAATCAACAGCCAGCACAAGGCTATGGAACAGGTCGGGGTCGGGGTTACTACTCTTCAGCTCAGTCTCAGCAGCCGCCCGGCCGGCGTAGCACGGATATGCGGCGAAGTGCAGACCTACAGCGGTACGATGCGGACATGCAACCCATCGGAGATGACTTTTCCAAGCTGGAATTACGCGACAATGACGCCCCTCCCCGCACGTCCAGCCGCCCACTGGCGAATCCAAATCTCTTCCGGCCTGGAGTTGCTGGGCCAGACCGGCGGTCTTCGGCTAGCGCGAGTCGGAAGGTTTCCTTCCAGGATGGCCCGCCAGAGGAGATCAAGGATATGTACTCTGCGTCGCCGAAGCCTTCGCCGGCTGCAACAACATCCACGCCAAACTCGGGCAAGGCGAGCAAATGGCAGCCGCTGGCGACACTTGATCCGAGCCCCGTGGCGGAAAACGACCCCTTCAGCCTGGGTGATAGCGACGAGGAGAAGGACGCCAAAGTGATTACATTGAAAGACGACGAACCATCCAACACCGGCGCGAGTGACGGCGCCAAGACCCACGAGGATGAGCAGGTGAAACAGGCGACGGACGAGGCTATGAAGGAAAGCATAGGCAGTGCAACGAAATGAGTTTGGTATGCAGGAGGCAGAGTTGCACGCGAGCCAAGCCTGATCGAGTTGCCGTGAGCAAAGAAGGCCTGGGACTTCAGATTCCCGTCTCTTACGCCTGGTAGGTGCCTGGGAGATAACAAGCCCAACTTGAACTGTGCACAATCTACAATCTCCACAGTGTCTCAACGGGATAGAAATGCAATTTTTCTTTTTGGGCGAGGATGGGAGAAGAGTACGCGACTCGACATGAAGCGAAGCAGTTTGGATCATGAAGCGAAGTCTATTTTTGAGTGCTGGCGTAACGATTGCCTTGGTTGTCCTTCTCCTCGATCAGAGAGAGATATATATATCCGAGATATGGATACGTACCTTAGGTACCTACTGCTTACCACTGGACGGTGTCAATGCCGACGTGTCACGACGAGCCTCATGGCGGTACCTGCTGGTGCTGTTGGATTAGATCTTGACGTCGGTCGCTCTGCCCGTGCTGCCCACGGCATCCATCATCCACTCAATACGCTCCTGAATCAAGGCGGTTCCTTGCTCCATGAAGTCGGTGAGCGGGGTGCGGCCGGCGTTCTCTGCTGCGTACCGCTCATAGTTGCGCAAGACGACCTGATTGACGTTGAGCCGGGTCATGCCGACCTGGACGCACTGTCTGAAGATGTCGGCGGTGAACTCGTTGGTGCCGTGCATGACCAGGGTGACTTTGCCCCGAGCGGCGTCCCTGATGGCGGCCAGGCGGGGGAAGTCGAGCTTGATGTTCTCGACGCCGTGGTAGGGCCCGTGGATGTTGCCGATGGCTGGGGCGAGGAAGTCGATGCCAGTGTCGATGAACTGCAGGGCCTCGGCCGGGGTGGTCAGGATGCCTTCGAGGTCGCCCGTGTCCTGGACGCCGGCTTCGCCACCGTTGATGCGCCCGGGCTCTGCTTCGGTGGCGATGCCCAGGTCGTGGCAGTAACGCACCAGCTCGGCGGTGCGGGCCAGGTTCTCCGGCTTCTCGTAGTGTGACATGTCGACCATGATCGAGTCGAACTTGCCCGTCTGCGCGGCCCGTCGGATCGCGTCCGCGCTCTGGGCGTGGTCCAGGTGCAGGCTCATGGGCACGCTGGCGCTGCGGCACACGTCCGACGCCAGGTTGACCAGGTGGTCCCACGCGTATTCCTGCGCCCACGGGAACAGCAGGATCTGGCACGGTGACTTCTTGGCTTCGGCCGCCTTGCGACAGGCGATGATGGCCTCGAGGTTGTAGCACACCACCCCTGGCACGCCGTAGTGGCCGGCCTCGGCCGCCTTGAGGATGCGCACCGAGATGTTTTGCGAGAGGTCCGGCATGTTGGAGATGGACGGACGGAGAAGAAAAGGCAACGTTGGGCGAGAGAGGGTGGGTTCCTTTCGACCGTGACACTGCTGTAGCCAGGAGTCTGGCCGGCTGCGTCGTCGACGTGATATACCACCGGGACTATCAGGTTCTGCCTTCCTGCGCGTGGGCGCTGGCCAGCAAGAATATGTAGGGAGTCGACCAGGAGGGACCTAGCCGGTCATAGGAAGGACGCCTGTGTATACAGCAACAGGACTACTCTGCACGGTAGTTATTAGTAGGTGATTATGTGGTATACCATTGGTAAATAAGTACCTCAGGTAGTCGTAGTATAGGTTGCTCCCATGGTCGGTCGGGACGAAGCTGCCCCGAAATGCATACGGAGTAGTACGGAGTATTCCCGTACACTGGCAGAGTACGGAGTACTCGTAATGGTCGGCATGGTCGGCTACTTCTCCGAGTGCGGAGAACATATGGGCACGTGACATGGTGTCTTTGTCATCATTTCTATTGCTCAAGTGCTCAAGGGCTGCGCTGGCGAGGGTAGAGTGAACGCTGGCGAAAATCCTCTGGCCAACAAGTCAAGGACACCGGAGAAACGAGAGAGGGCGTGGGACTGCTAGGGACAAGGGACAAGGGACAAGGGACAAGAGACAAGGGACAAGAGACAAGGGACAAGAGACAAGGGACAAG